AGTTCAGTGCGGGATTTTCAGTGTCGGTCATTTTGGTGCCGGGTTTTCAGAGTTTGTTCCAGAAATGGAGCAAATTCTGGAACAAAACGTTTTTGGGGTTTGTTCCAGAAATGGAGCAAATTCTGGAACAAAAAAAAGTGGGACGAATTGGGGCGTGACATTTTGTCTGTGGGACGAATTGAGGAGTGACAGCTTGTCTGGGACAAATTGGGGGCATTTGGAGTTTGTTCCAGAAATGGAGCAAATTCTGGAACAAAAAAAATGTGGGACGAAATAGGGAGTGACATTTTGAATGTGGGACGAATTGGGGCTTAGTTCGAATTTTTCGAGGAAAATCTCAAATTTTCGAACTAAATTTTTTAGTTCGAATTTTTCGAGGAAAATCTCAAATTTTCGAACTAACTTTTTGGTTTTCATTTGGGTCATGGTCAGTTCGTTCAGCGCCATTTGGTCATGGACAGTTCGTCAGTGTCATTTGGGTCAGAGAAGGGTCAAATCAAAGGCCTAGTCAACGTCTAAGGAAGCCTATGCCTAGTGCCCTACTGTCTACACCTATTGAATAAGAACCCGTGCCTTTGGATATAACTGGCAGGTATGAAAGCCTGAACCTATGGAAAGGATTCTTTAAAAAAGGGGGGGTCGGTCAGTTCAGTGCGGGATTTTCAGTGTCGGTCATTTTGGTGCCGGGTTTTCAGAGTTTGTTCCAGAAATGGAGCAAATTCTGGAACAAAACGTTTTTGGGGTTTGTTCCAGAAATGGAGCAAATTCTGGAACAAAAAAAAGTGGGACGAATTGGGGCGTGACATTTTGTCTGTGGGACGAATTGAGGAGTGACAGCTTGTCTGGGACAAATTGGGGGCATTTGGAGTTTGTTCCAGAAATGGAGCAAATTCTGGAACAAAAAAAATGTGGGACGAAATAGGGAGTGACATTTTGAATGTGGGACGAATTGGGGCTTAGTTCGAATTTTTCGAGGAAAATCTCAAATTTTCGAACTAAATTTTTTAGTTCGAATTTTTCGAGGAAAATCTCAAATTTTCGAACTAACTTTTTGGTTTTCATTTGGGTCATGGTCAGTTCGTTCAGCGCCATTTGGTCATGGACAGTTCGTCAGTGTCATTTGGGTCAGAGAAGGGTCAAATCAAAGGCCTAGTCAACGTCTAAGGAAGCCTATGCCTAGTGCCCTACTGTCTACACCTATTGAATAAGAACCCGTGCCTTTGGATATAACTGGCAGGTATGAAAGCCTGAACCTATGGAAAGGATTCTTTAAAAAAGGGGGGGTCGGTCAGTTCAGTGCGGGATTTTCAGTGTCGGTCATTTTGGTGCCGGGTTTTCAGAGTTTGTTCCAGAAATGGAGCAAATTCTGGAACAAAACGTTTTTGGGGTTTGTTCCAGAAATGGAGCAAATTCTGGAACAAAAAAAAGTGGGACGAATTGGGGCGTGACATTTTGTCTGTGGGACGAATTGAGGAGTGACAGCTTGTCTGGGACAAATTGGGGGCATTTGGAGTTTGTTCCAGAAATGGAGCAAATTCTGGAACAAAAAAAATGTGGGACGAAATAGGGAGTGACATTTTGAATGTGGGACGAATTGGGGCTTAGTTCGAATTTTTCGAGGAAAATCTCAAATTTTCGAACTAAATTTTTTAGTTCGAATTTTTCGAGGAAAATCTCAAATTTTCGAACTAACTTTTTGGTTTTCATTTGGGTCATGGTCAGTTCGTTCAGCGCCATTTGGTCATGGACAGTTCGTCAGTGTCATTTGGGTCAGAGAAGGGTCAAATCAAAGGCCTAGTCAACGTCTAAGGAAGCCTATGCCTAGTGCCCTACTGTCTACACCTATTGAATAAGAACCCGTGCCTTTGGATATAACTGGCAGGTATGAAAGCCTGAACCTATGGAAAGGATTCTTTAAAAAAGGGGGGGTCGGTCAGTTCAGTGCGGGATTTTCAGTGTCGGTCATTTTGGTGCCGGGTTTTCAGAGTTTGTTCCAGAAATGGAGCAAATTCTGGAACAAAACGTTTTTGGGGTTTGTTCCAGAAATGGAGCAAATTCTGGAACAAAAAAAAGTGGGACGAATTGGGGCGTGACATTTTGTCTGTGGGACGAATTGAGGAGTGACAGCTTGTCTGGGACAAATTGGGGGCATTTGGAGTTTGTTCCAGAAATGGAGCAAATTCTGGAACAAAAAAAATGTGGGACGAAATAGGGAGTGACATTTTGAATGTGGGACGAATTGGGGCTTAGTTCGAATTTTTCGAGGAAAATCTCAAATTTTCGAACTAAATTTTTTAGTTCGAATTTTTCGAGGAAAATCTCAAATTTTCGAACTAACTTTTTGGTTTTCATTTGGGTCATGGTCAGTTCGTTCAGCGCCATTTGGTCATGGACAGTTCGTCAGTGTCATTTGGGTCAGAGAAGGGTCAAATCAAAGGCCTAGTCAACGTCTAAGGAAGCCTATGCCTAGTGCCCTACTGTCTACACCTATTGAATAAGAACCCGTGCCTTTGGATATAACTGGCAGGTATGAAAGCCTGAACCTATGGAAAGGATTCTTTAAAAAAGGGGGGGTCGGTCAGTTCAGTGCGGGATTTTCAGTGTCGGTCATTTTGGTGCCGGGTTTTCAGAGTTTGTTCCAGAAATGGAGCAAATTCTGGAACAAAACGTTTTTGGGGTTTGTTCCAGAAATGGAGCAAATTCTGGAACAAAAAAAAGTGGGACGAATTGGGGCGTGACATTTTGTCTGTGGGACGAATTGAGGAGTGACAGCTTGTCTGGGACAAATTGGGGGCATTTGGAGTTTGTTCCAGAAATGGAGCAAATTCTGGAACAAAAAAAATGTGGGACGAAATAGGGAGTGACATTTTGAATGTGGGACGAATTGGGGCTTAGTTCGAATTTTTCGAGGAAAATCTCAAATTTTCGAACTAAATTTTTTAGTTCGAATTTTTCGAGGAAAATCTCAAATTTTCGAACTAACTTTTTGGTTTTCATTTGGGTCATGGTCAGTTCGTTCAGCGCCATTTGGTCATGGACAGTTCGTCAGTGTCATTTGGGTCAGAGAAGGGTCAAATCAAAGGCCTAGTCAACGTCTAAGGAAGCCTATGCCTAGTGCCCTACTGTCTACACCTATTGAATAAGAACCCGTGCCTTTGGATATAACTGGCAGGTATGAAAGCCTGAACCTATGGAAAGGATTCTTTAAAAAAGGGGGGGTCGGTCAGTTCAGTGCGGGATTTTCAGTGTCGGTCATTTTGGTGCCGGGTTTTCAGAGTTTGTTCCAGAAATGGAGCAAATTCTGGAACAAAACGTTTTTGGGGTTTGTTCCAGAAATGGAGCAAATTCTGGAACAAAAAAAAGTGGGACGAATTGGGGCGTGACATTTTGTCTGTGGGACGAATTGAGGAGTGACAGCTTGTCTGGGACAAATTGGGGGCATTTGGAGTTTGTTCCAGAAATGGAGCAAATTCTGGAACAAAAAAAATGTGGGACGAAATAGGGAGTGACATTTTGAATGTGGGACGAATTGGGGCTTAGTTCGAATTTTTCGAGGAAAATCTCAAATTTTCGAACTAAATTTTTTAGTTCGAATTTTTCGAGGAAAATCTCAAATTTTCGAACTAACTTTTTGGTTTTCATTTGGGTCATGGTCAGTTCGTTCAGCGCCATTTGGTCATGGACAGTTCGTCAGTGTCATTTGGGTCAGAGAAGGGTCAAATCAAAGGCCTAGTCAACGTCTAAGGAAGCCTATGCCTAGTGCCCTACTGTCTACACCTATTGAATAAGAACCCGTGCCTTTGGATATAACTGGCAGGTATGAAAGCCTGAACCTATGGAAAGGATTCTTTAAAAAAGGGGGGGTCGGTCAGTTCAGTGCGGGATTTTCAGTGTCGGTCATTTTGGTGCCGGGTTTTCAGAGTTTGTTCCAGAAATGGAGCAAATTCTGGAACAAAACGTTTTTGGGGTTTGTTCCAGAAATGGAGCAAATTCTGGAACAAAAAAAAGTGGGACGAATTGGGGCGTGACATTTTGTCTGTGGGACGAATTGAGGAGTGACAGCTTGTCTGGGACAAATTGGGGGCATTTGGAGTTTGTTCCAGAAATGGAGCAAATTCTGGAACAAAAAAAATGTGGGACGAAATAGGGAGTGACATTTTGAATGTGGGACGAATTGGGGCTTAGTTCGAATTTTTCGAGGAAAATCTCAAATTTTCGAACTAAATTTTTTAGTTCGAATTTTTCGAGGAAAATCTCAAATTTTCGAACTAACTTTTTGGTTTTCATTTGGGTCATGGTCAGTTCGTTCAGCGCCATTTGGTCATGGACAGTTCGTCAGTGTCATTTGGGTCAGAGAAGGGTCAAATCAAAGGCCTAGTCAACGTCTAAGGAAGCCTATGCCTAGTGCCCTACTGTCTACACCTATTGAATAAGAACCCGTGCCTTTGGATATAACTGGCAGGTATGAAAGCCTGAACATATTTAGTTCTTGACAATTCAGTTTGGAGTGGTATTAAAACTAAGTGGTGGAATTCATCTGGGTGTTTCATTATAGAAAAAGTTCGAATTTTTAGAAAAAAAAGAGGTCGTCAAGTTGGATCGCTTTTGGAGTTTAGGAATTTCTGAAGCTCTCGGAGCTTTGAAGAGTTGGGTGTTGGGTAAACCCGGAGTCGGCAAGAGGGGAACCCTTACCCCATTTTTAACCAACAAAAAAATTATATGATAAAAAATGCCACTTGTAAAGAAAAGGTCTTTTTGCATTCTTCTAAACGAATCCGCAAAAATCCCTTTTTTACAAGTGGCTTAATTGTGCTTTTCCGTTTTTCAATCTAAGAATCTAGATGTTTTGATAACATTTTTTCTTGCAAAAAATAAAACAAAAAATTCGACGCAAACGGAAAAGCACTAAAAAATAATAATAACATATTTCATTAAATTTCTTTTAGACCTTAAAATGTGGCGGAAGCATCATTGCCACATTTTTAGCTTCTCTCATCGTTGTAACTCATCAGCAATTTGTTGCAATCCATTGCTCATTTTTAACACTTCTTGCAAAAATAAGTCTCGGTGTACCTGTTGATGTTTCAGAGCCGCCAGCCACACATGTACAAGGAGTATTTGTTGTTGAAGCACACATCTGAATAATATCTTTAAAATTGAAAATGCAAAATTTCCGTCTTAAAAAATGACGAAAGACAGCCCGTCCCTGCCCCCAGCATGCTCAAAGAGAGTTAATCACCCAAGAAAACAGCCCTTTCACTCCCCAGCCTACCCAAAGACAGTTAATCCCCCACCATGACAGCCCATCAATGCTCCCAATACACCCCAAGACAGTCAATCCATGTCCCAGCTCATCCCTGCTCACATCCCCCACCAAAACAGGCCACTCCTGACCCAAGCTCATACCCTGTTAAGACTGCGTAACCCTAAACCCAACTTCATCTCCCAAGACAATCCATGCTATCCTCAAAAAAACATCCAATCCCTCAAACAAGAAGGCCCACCCCGAAGACACCCAGGCCAAGCTTTATCCCTCAAAATCAAACCTTATCATCCTCCATTGTTTGCTTGATGTTAAAGCAGTAAGACTCAAGTTGATTCTTATTGTTAGCCGAAACACGGTCACGTTGAATTTCATCCTCGCTGAAAAAATAAATATCTAAAAAGATTTCTTTTTTAATGGGTGGACTCGGCGTGCCAAAAGTGTGGGATGCCACGCTTGAACCGTTACAAATGGGTTAAGAAATAAAAACAAACCATATACACAAAGAGCTCCACCTTTAAAGCCATATGGATCAACATATCCTCGGGGCAAATATGGATCGAGGATCTTTCGAGCTTCGCGTTCATGTCCCTGAGGAAAATATATAACTAAAACTATAAAGAAAAAAACCTTATGAATCAACCCAAGTGATGCAACAGCATTGAATTTATTCCAGTCAGTTGCTTTAGAAATACAATCCAAATTCTCTCTGAACAAAATATAAGAAAAATATTAAATTTCAAAATAGCATCCCACCCCTTCAAGGTCGAGAGTCTCGTGGACAGGGGTTTGCCACGGTGGAGGCCTTAAGTGGGGGTTTTTGCCGACAAAATCGTCGGGGTTCCTGGGGACGGAGTGATGCTCTAATTTAAAATATTGAATAAAACCTAAGAACATCATCACAAGTTGTCCCAGTATGCATTAAACCATTGGCAATAACACAGTAGCATTATGAGCACACGATCCTCGGTCTACATCGACGTTCTAATTTGATCAAACACTGAAAAGAAAAATAAATTTAGTGAAATGTTTAGAATAGTGAGAAGCTTAGGAAAAGGGAAGAGGCTAGTGAAGAGTTGCGAAATCCTCAATCCATCTGGGAGTAACAACAAGTCCTAAATCCCTTAATAAGTTCAAAGGGCAACTGAAAATAGAAAAAAGAGGGAAGAGGCCCCAACGAGAACGTAGGCCTTTACTAAAGAGATAAATTCCCCCACCCATAATGAAGTGAAGAGAATCCTCAGTTCATCAGAGATAAAAGGTTAATTTAAAAAGAAAAAAAGAGGAAAAGAATATTGCGACAAGAAAATTTTAATAAAAAACCAATATCCAAAAAAGAAAAATATCACCCGTAAGAAAACCCATGCCCATAAGAACTAAACAAAAAGATATAAAAAACCTGACATATCGAAAGCACTTTCAAAGCAAAATTCTGCGAACCCTTCTTTTCAATTTGCAAATCAGCATCCAGCGTATGGAAAATCAAATCAAGCACCAAAGTTCTAAACTCAATATCCAATTGTGATTCCCAAACTTTATTGAGCGTTTCAATCATTACAGGTGTTTTTTCCGCCTCGTTTGATTTGATTGCAGCCTCCACCATATCAATTCGTCGAGTATCAAAAGCCAAACAAATCACAGAATTAAAATCGCGACGTTCAAGGTTTTGTTGAAAAATGCGATCAATTATAGCGGCTAATTTTGGTTCAACCTCCATTTTTTGATTTCTCTTCTTTTTGTAGGTATCGAGAGCTTGTTCAATAATTCTGTTGACATACTAGAAAAATTTTTAGAATTAATTAAAAAGGGTCAACCAACACCTACATCCTAGATCTTTGACCCAGAAGACTTACAAGTTTTTAAAGGAAATATCAAAAGGGAATATCGAGAGTTTGGTGTGACTGAAAAGTAGATTATACAAACCCAGAGATGGTAATCATTTATCCATCTTAATCCTCGATATTCTCTTTCAAAAGTAATAGGTTTTCAGCAATAGGTCTTAAGAGTGCAGGACTTCTGGTTTGAAATACCAAGCTATCATGCTGGGTAGACCAATAAAAAATTAAATAAAAATTGAAATACCAAACTATCATGCTCCTTAAAATCGTCTTGTCGAGGAGTTGAACTAAAATTGTTGTCAAAATCACGAACGAAGGCAAGCGCTTTTTCATAATTTTCTAAACAATAAGCAACTTTAGAACAAAGTAGAGCAGTCTTTCCTCTTCCAGCAAAGTTCACAGAGTCCAGAGAAGACAAATGAGTCATCACGGACCCTGGAGTACCCTGTCTTGAAGTACCCTGTCCCACAAAGGGAACCAGAGAAGACAAATGGGCCAATTACGGACCTTGAAGTACCCGGTCTTGAACCTTATCTAATGGAGAAACAAGAGAAGGCAAACGGGCCAATTACGGACCCTGAAGTACCCGGCCTTGAATCTTATCTCAAGGAAACCAGAGAAGACAAACGGGCCGTCCCCGGAACCTGAAGTAACTGTCTTGAATCTTGTCATATGGCTACCCAGAGACAAACAGGGCAATCCCGGAAGCAATTATGGACCTTGGACAATACCAAACTTAAATCACAAACCTCATTAACCTCGACAACTCTCTTAACAATCTTTTGAGAATAACCAAACAAAATGTTGAGTTGACCTCCCTCTAGATAAGGTTCCAGCGATTTTGAAATTTTTGTTCCATCTTTAGGCGAAACCAAGGCAAAGAGTTGTCTATTCCCATTAGTAAATCGACCAGATTTCAGTAAATAAAGGGCAAAATTGGTAGCAAATTGATTAGTTGAATTTAAAGTTGGAGTAATTAGAAGAGTAGTCATTAGAATAATTAAAGGTCGTTAATATTAAAATCTGAAAAAGTATTTAATTAAAAATGCGTAACATTAAAAATCAATCAAACCAAAAGACCCAACCCAAAGACAATTCCGACACCAAAGACCCAACCCAAAGACAATTCCGACATTAGAGAGAGGTAAAAGTCGACTCACAATCAGCTCGTAGGATATATAAAACGATATATTTCGGAACCGCCAACCGAGTAAAGTAGGCCAAAAAAAGTAAAAAAACTTCCTCATCCCCGTCAATTCTTCCAATTTCGAAAAAATTTATTTCCGCCTTTTCCTCACTTTTAAGACTTGCCAAATCTTCAAACTCCAAAAATATTATGCTTTCATTAATCAATTCAGTTGTCTCCACAAGTCCAATTTGTATATACATCTTGTAGCTAACAGCAAAAGCATGACATAAAGCGTGAAAAGAAGAAAAACGAGCAGATTTTTCAGTTTTACATTGAACTATTGGATGAAGAGGTAGACAAATATCTGCAATAAAGTGAGTTAAAAATTGAATATAAAAATAGTATAGGAAAAATAATAACACCCTCAAAAGGATTTGAACCTTAAACCTATAAGAAGAGATGTTGAACTGGAAAATTACTCACTCAACTAAACCAAAAGACACCCACCATCCAAAATTGTAAGAAAAATGTTCCTAAACCTGTCAACCCTAAAAATCAACGGCTTCATTAACCCTATTTCACTACAGTCTCCCCACAAGTCACTAAAAAAGACAAAAAATAAATTTGGACGAATTGGAGAAATAGAGAGATGGTGCTCTCCAAAAACATAAAAAGATGGCGAAACAGAGGTGAAGGTTTACAAAAGAATAAAAATACCAAGATGCGGAAGAAGAAACTCCTCCTTCACAGTACCAAAAGAATGGAAGAGAACAACAATTGAAGGAATTGCATTAGTTTGCCTAAGACAGTCAAGCAGCGAACACAAAGATGTTAGGAATGAATGCTGCTTGTTTTTCTCGTCTGCAATGTTACCTTCCTCGTCTATTATGACAAAAACAGAGCGTATCTGTAAAAAATAATTTTAAGGACTAAGATGAATAGAGGAACAAGGGAAGCTAATCAACTAAAGTAAACGGTCTTGAGGCTATCTTACTGAGAAACTACAGAAGACAAACGGCCAATTACAGACCCTGAAGTACCCGGTCTTAAACCTATCTAACAGAGAAACATGAGAAAAATGGGTCATCACGGAACCCGAAGTAACACTGTCTTGAATCTTATCTAACAGAGAAACCAGAGAGAGAAACAAACGGGCCGTCCCCGGAAAATAAAGTACACGGTCTTGAATCTTATCCCACAAAGAGAACCAGAGAGGACAAACTGGCAAATTACGGACCCTGAAGTATCACGGTCTTGAATCTTATCTCACGGAGAACCTAGAGAGTGGTCCACGGAATCTGAAGTACTCGATCTTGAATCTTGTGTCATAAGGATAGCCAGATAACCAGAGACAAACGGGGCAATCCCAGAAGCTTTTATTGACCCTGAACAATACCCAAACTTAAATCACAAACCTCATTAACCTCGACAACTTTCTTAACAATCTTTTGAGAATTAGCAGAGCCAAACAAAATATTGAGTTGACCTCCCTCAAGATAAGGTTCCAGTGATTTTGAAATCTTCGTTCCATCTTTAGGCGAAACCAAAGCAAAGAGTTGTCTGTTCTCATTAGTAGATCGGCCAGCTTTCAGTAAATGAAGAGCAAAACTGAGAGCAACTTGATTAGTTGAATTTAAAGTTGGAGTAATTAGGAGAGTAGTCATTTTAGTAGTTAAAAGATAGTTAATGTTAAAATCTGAAAAAGTATTCAATTAAACACGCGAAAGATTAAAAATCAATCAAATTCTGTTGAAAAAGAAGGAAATACGCGCAAAATTAAAACAAATGATCTCGATCGGAGTTAAAAAATGGGTTAAGGTAAATGAAGAAAAAGTTGTTGAAGATGAATGTGTGCAAGACTCAAATGGTGAAGACTCAAATGTACCTAATTTAAATGGGATGAATTGACATTAAACAGAATGCCAAAAATAAAATCGATAAAAACACGGCAGAGAGATCGGTAACGAAAATCAATAAACGACCCCTTTGCCCTCTCCAGGCTTTTCCCCACAAAACTTCCCCCCCCCCCCCTCCCAAATGAACTAAAAACCTCCAAAAACTGATTCCATCCATTGAAGCACATTCTGCTTTGTCCATACCATCCATGCCACTGGTTGAGCTAAAACTTTCAAAAAAATCGTGAAATCAAGAAAATTGAAAAAAACAAAGACAAATGAGACAAGGACAAAAAAAACAAGAAAATGAAGAAAGGGTGGGGTCATTCGCTCGCACATTTTTAGCATTGCAATTTTTCATTTAAAAAATTTTAAGATTTACCGGGCCAAGGGTTGATCAGGAAGAGCATGTAGACGAGGACGAGCATGTAGACGACCACCACCACCACCAGTGCATGGAGTAGAACGAACCTGGCTAAAAATCACCCCCTCCCATTATAAATTTTATTATTTTTTTAAATTTTTAATAAAAAAACACACCCCGACCATATTCCACCAACACCACCAAGAGCATGAAGAGAGCCACCAACCACCACCACAAGCATGAGGAGAGCCACCACCACCAAAAGCATGTTGAGAGCCACCAAACCACCACCACAAGCATGAAGAGAGCCACCAACCACCAAAAGCATGTTGAGAGCCACCAAACCACCACCAGAAGCATGAAGAGAGCCACCAACCACCAAAAGCATGTTGAGAGCCACCAAACCACCACCAGAAGCAAAACTTTTTAAAAAAATTAAAAAAAATTTTTTTATTAAAAAAAACAGGCCACCAGACCACCACCATGAAGGCCATCAGCATATTCTCCAAAGGCCACCACACGAAGAACAAACATAAAAATAAAAAAAATTTCATTTTTAAATTAAAAAGTTCAAAATAAACTAGGAAAAAACCCACCGTTTGGATGAAGCCATCCAGTCAGGGCCACCACATACCACCATGTAGAGCACGGTCGAAGGCGCCTAACAAATTAAAAAAATTTCAAACTCAAATTAAATAAACAAAAAAAAGCAAATTTAACCGGCCAGCCATCCAGAAGAAGCATGTGCAGACGTCGGGACTGGCCTTCAATTTGAAAAAATTTAGATTTTTTAAAAAATTTTTAAAAATTTTTTTAGCAATTTTTAAGCGCGCGCAGCATTGGGGTCAACGAATAAACGAATAAAAAAGATAAAAAAAACAGATGAAATAAATAAAAAAATGAAAAAAAACAACAAAAAAGCGTAATCTCCGGAGATTAACAAAATCTGTGAAAATCCAGATTTTAGAAAAAAAGTGACGCCAAATAAATTTGAACTGAAAATTAACGCATTTCATTGTGTTAATTTTAAAATTGGAAATGTCAAAGTGTAAACTAGTTGATATTTTGTCGATAACTATAAAAATGAATTATTATATTAAAAGAAAATATTTCGATTTTTGTCTAACAGCTTTAATTTTTGCCTTACATATATTTCTTTTAAAATTAAAAAAAACTTTTTAAATTATAATAGAGAGCAATGAACATTCTGCGTCATAAAAAATGGCATGTACGTACAAAAGAAAATGTAGCCAGAGTAAGAAGAGATGAAGCAAAAGCAGCAGAAGAGGAGAAAGCACGGGCTGAAAGAGCAGAACTTGCTGACCATGAGGTTTATTTTTAGCTGAACTAATTTTATCAACAAAATTTAAGGATCGTATTCAACGCTTAAGATCGAAGAACATTGGCAATACATCAGATGTAGCAAATGTTAAAGATATTTTTGGTTAGTTTTTATTTTTGTTTTTTGCTCCTGTCTATATGACGCGTCCAATAGCATCCCTTTTCACGTCCGGAAAAATTTATGCGTCCAATCTACGGCGATGACCACCCAGTTCTACGTCTTGAGTCTATGGTCTGGTATTGTACTGGTGTAAGATAACTGGATGAGTAGAGTTTTCTATTCACATAGATTTCATTGTACTAAAGTGAAGAACAATGTACATAGCGCCTTTGATTTGACGCATAAAATTTGACTGGAAGCATTGGACGTTTGATTGGACGCGTAATCTGGACAAGAGCCAAACTGTGTTAGTTAATTTTGTAAAACTAGGTTCGAGCGTTTATTCGCAAGATTGTATGGGTGGAACATCATGTAGTACTAGTGCACGTAATGAACATCATGTCAATTTGTTTAAAGAATTGGAGGAACAAGAACGCAAAAATTTTGCAAATGGTAACAAGGAATATGCTGCTGAAAAAAAGAAGGAACAAGATGATTGGGAGTCAAAAGTTGGTATGCTTAAAAATGTGAAATTAAAAAGACAATCATTTTAGGGATCATGAGGCGTTTTGCTGAAGACACAAAAGAATATTCAAAGGACAATGAATGGTGGGAAAGAATACCCTTAATGCGTGAACATGACAAAAAGCCTCCAAAGGTTTCAAAGAGTGAAAAGAAGTTTTTGACTAGTGAAGAACGAAAGGCCATAAAATTTAAGAAGGACAAGAAAAAGAAGCGGAAGGATAAATTAAAAGGAATCGAGGATGGTTTGTATTTTTGTCTAAAATTTTTTTAATTGTTTTACGATTTCCGGCTTATCAACAGCAGCCCACCCTTGTGTTAATATTAATCTCCTTCGGCAGGAACGTTTGGCTAGGGAACGTCGAGAGCAACAACGTGTTAAAATGCTCACTAAACAGGAAAATAAAGATGATGTTGAGGAAAGTTTTGATAAGATGGTGCACTTGAATAAGGATAGAGATCGTCGATACAATTCCCAATTTAATCCAGAATTTTCACGTTTTTGAGATGCATATTTCTTATTGTCAGTATTTCTATGAATAATTGAAAAATTTTTTATAAGCTAGCCTTTTCTGTTGTTCTTTTTAAGGTCGACATATTGTCCCATTTTACCTGAGAGGATCCTTTAAGAATTGCCAAGGAGTCGACGTTTTGATTCAGTTGCGTAGATAAATCTTATAAGCAAACGATCTTTCTGGTAATAGACCTTTTGTCCCAAGCCATAAACTTATGACGACATTATTTGTTTTGTTCCTCGCGGTGCATAAGGTTGTGGGGGTTTTTGTTTTACTTTCCAACATTGATGATTAATAATGCGTTGCTTGTTTTTTTATATTAAGGTTTTTAAGTGGTTTAATAAAGCAGCAAGTATTTGATTATGTATTCTCCACAACAGCCCAATCTGTTACAAATCTTTCAAACTGTTGACACTGATCGTTCAGGTCGAATTAGTTCCGATGAGTTACAGAGGGCGCTGTCTAATGGGACATGGAGGCCATTCAATCCTGAAACTTGCCGTATTATGATTTCTATGTTTGACTCGGACAATGATGGTGGAATTAGCTTCAATGAGTTTCAAGCTCTTTGGAATGTAAATTTAATTATTCTTTCTATTGTTTATACTTTTTTCATTTTCAGTACGTCAACGACTGGAGTCGAACTTTTCGCACATTTGATCGTGATAATTCAGGAAATATTGATCGTGGTGAGCTAATGTCTGCGTTGACACAATTCGGTATGACTTTATTATTTGACTGATTGTTAGTTTAATTTCTTTACAGGTTATCGTCTCTCGGGGCCATTCTATGATATGCTTATGCAAAAGTTTGACCGTACTCATTCAGGTTTAATTCTACATTTTTCTTGGTTACAATTGCTTTTCTTATGTAAGGAAGGGTCAATTTCGACGATTTTATTCAGCTTTGTGTTGTTCTTCAAACGCTCACTGCTGCATTTCGCGAAAAAGATTCTGATCGTGATGGCTGGATTCGGATTCGTATGATTATATTTTACAATTGGAATCCATTATATTTTTTCAGATTATGAGGAGTTCCTTACGATGGTGTTCTCCATGAAGATATAAATGAGTTTTTATGAATGATGTTTGCTCAACAACAATGCTTGTGCCTGCTCATATCAATTTTTTATATATGCGTGATTGTTTAGATAGTGGATATTAAAATTAGTGCAACCTTTAGGGAGAAAAAATAATAAAAGCTTATTTTTACGGGTTATTGAGTTCCTCAATTTTCTATTTTGGCATTTCAAAGGTTGCATGATTTTCGCTCTTCTATGTTTTAAAAAATTATTTTTTCTTTGTTTTTAAAAAAAGAATATTTTTGTCGTTTTGAGTTTCTTAATAATACATGTTTTTGATTACATGTACTTTCTATTTTATAAAATATATTGTGTTTTAAATCTCATTAGGGAGGGATATCCGCGGATTTGGGACATCATATCCGTATCCATCCGTATCCTCCCTATTTTGAAAAAAACACTTTATCCGGCTGTATCCTAGGTTATCTGGATATTATCCGTACCCACAAATGTTTCCTAAAAAGCAAACTTTAATGTTCTGATAAGAATTAAGTGGGGCAACAAATCGGCCATTAACAATTGTTTTGGTGCGGCTTTAGTGATTTTTTTAGATTATTCGCTTTATTATATGCTTTTTGTATTTGAGTTTGTGGATTGCTTGTTTTTATTAATCGTTTTTTTCAGAAAAATTATTTTCTAAATTCTTCATTTGCTTTTCATCTATTCGCTGAGTGTATTTTTATCTGACGTGTCTATATCCTTCAATAATTATGCCAGTTCCAAGCCGTTCTCGTGTTTATCCTGATATAAATATAAATAAGCCGCGTGAATACTGGGATTATGAATGCCATCAAATTGGTTAGTTTTTTTATTTTTATGATTAAAAGATTTTTCTATCTAAAGAATGGGGGAATATTGATGATTATCAATTAGTTCGTAAGCTTGGACGTGGTAAATATTCCGAGGTTTTTGAAGGAATTAAGGTGCCAACTGAAGAGAAAGTCGTCATCAAAATTCTTAAGGTTTATTCTTTTTGAACTTATTTACTTTATGCACTCGATCCATTACACAGGCGATCTTAGGGTAAAAGTTGGGTTTATGTGACACCTTTTCTCATCATATATGAGTTCGTATTTATTTCGAACCCCAACTTGATCTCGATGAGTGTGTCAGTTTTTCAACATAATTTTTTAATTGAATTCGCCTGGTCGAATTCAGGGTCTGGGATTTGATATCAGACTTGATACCGATGGCCGATTTGGCGTCATTCGATTTAATTCGTCGAGCTATTCCGACTGACATATCCAAGTCTAAAATCGCCTGGTAAAGTAATGGGTTGGGTACCTAAAGTAAATAAGTTTCTATGTTTCTATTTATTTTTTAAATTATAGCCTGTGAAAAAGAAGAAAATTAAACGTGAAATTAAGATTTTGGAAAATCTTAGAGGCGGTGTCAATGTTATATCACTTTTGGATGTGGTCAAAGATCCAGTTTCAAGAACACCTTCGCTCGTTTTTGAATACATCAATAACACTGATTTTAAGGTTAAAATTTAAAAATAACTGTCAGGTTCTGATAAGTAAAGCTAGTTCGATAAAATAAAAATCGATAGAAAGTTTTTCCTTTCCTTCATCAATGGGCTAAAAAAGGTTAATTTATTCACTCTAGTTTTACATACCTAGGGCATTTGTTAACGATTGTCTGTTTATAACTGTTTATTTTTTTATTCTAGCAATTGTATCAGACGCTTTCTGACTACGAAATTAGATATTATCTTTTTGAGTTATTGAAGGCATTAGACTATTGTCATTCTATGGGAATCATGCACAGAGATGTTAAGCCGCACAATGTGATGATTGACCATGAAAAACGTCAGCTTTCGCTCATAGACTGGGGCCTTGCTGAGTTTTATCATCCCCGACAGGAATATAATGTTCGGGTTGCTTCAAGGTAAAAATTGTTTTTTAATTCTATTTAAATTTTTGAAGGTACTTCAAAGGGCCAGAGCTTCTAGTCGATTATCAGGTCTGTTTTTTGGACTATTTACTAGTATAATATATTTATTAGTGTTATGATTATTCTTTGGATATGTGGTCATTAGGATGTATGGTTGCGTCTATGATTTTTAGGAAGGAGCCATTTTTCCATGGACATGACAATTATGATCAGGTTAAAATTTTTAAACTACTCGTCTACTTATTCTTTACAGTTGGTGCGAATTGCAAAAGTGTTGGGAACGGACGAGTTGTTTGAATATATTGACAAATACCAGATTGAGCTTGATCCACGCTTTAATGATTTGTTGGGAAGGTTTTTTAATATTTTGATCACAATTTGCGGAAATAATTTCTTAGGCATTCTCGAAAACGTTGGGAACGGTTTGTTCATTCTGAAAATCAACATTTGGTTACGCCCGAAGCAATTGATTTTCTTGACAAACTTTTGCGATATGATCACCAGGATCGGCTTACTGCTCGTGAAGCAATGGAGCATCCGTTTTTCTGTCCTGTTGTAGAGGAACATAGGAAAAAGATGATTTCTGCTACAACATCAACTAACAATATTGAAAGTATGAAAAATTTATTTTAAAATGTAAAGTTGAAATTTAGATTCGTGCCTTGCTTCTGTGGCTTCCCCGTCACCTAATGATCTTGGTATAAGTGGTAGTTCAATAGTTGGTAGTGCTCAATGAACACTAGCTTGATGGAGTTATGGATAGAGAAATCCCACTTCCGCTTCATCATCGTTTTTTCATTTCTATGACTTTTTTGTGTTATTCCCAAGACCCCTTTCCCGTCCCAATTATATTTACACCATCAATCTCGATTAGTTGATGGACACATAAAAATTTTTTGTTTCGTTTGGCTTTGCGATTTAAACTGATGTATTTTTTTATTCGAAATGTTTATTTTTCTATGTAAGGTTATAAAATTCTATTAAATTTTGTTTTAATTTTAAAATTATTTTTTAAATAATTTCCATATTTAATGTAAAAAAACCATAATTTTCTTTTAGATTATACATATTTAAACGTTACCAAGTCTTAAATATTCCAGTCTATTTAACCATCATGTTCGGAAAGCATTTCCGAGGCGTCGCTGTGCAACTTGGAAAAATTTCTCAGACTACAGTTTCTTCTAATGCAGCAGAATCTTCTCGTTCTGAAAGAATGGAAAAACTTCGAAATGGTATTGTGGAGGCCTTTGTATCTTCGGACATTAATGTGAGGCCTATTTATCTGGACGTTCAGGCTACTACTCCTACGGTTTGTTTTTGTAATTTTTCAAAATTTAAGGGGGAGTCAATGGAGTTTCGGATTATGAAAATGGGATTTATTGGTGAGTAAAGTTTAATTTCTCTTGAATTAACAGGATCCTCGCGTTGTTGATGCAATGTTACCTTACCAGCTAAATGATTTTGGAAATCCACATAGTAGGACACATGCTTATGGTTGGGAGACAGGTAGTACAAATTATTTTTTGTTTACTTTCTTTATTTTACAGAAAAAGCAGTTGATATTGCACGTAAACAAGTTGCTGATTTGATTGGTGCTGATCCGCGTGAAATTATTTTTACATCAGTATATTTTTATTTTTAATCTAGGATTCATTTAAATATTTTTATAGGGCGCAACAGAGTCAAATAATATTGCAATTAAAGGCGTTGCAAATTTTTATCGAGTTGCGGGAAAAAACCATGTGATTACTGCTCAAACTGAGCACAAATGTGTTCTAGGTATGAAAAAATTTATAATGTTAAATTTTATTGTATCGAAATTTTAGACTCATGTCGTTTCTTGGAAAGTGTTGGCCATGAAGTGGTATTATAAAACTAACACATTTATAGTTTACTAATTTTATTTGAAGACATATATCCCTGTCAAAAGCAATGGCGTGATTGATCTGGAAGTTCTTGAAGAAGCTATTCGTCCACAAACATCATTGGTTTCAATTATGGCGGTAAATAATGAGATTGGTGTACGTCAACCATTAAAAGAGATTGGTTAGTTTATTCTTTTTAATGCCTGTTTTGATTTTTATTTTTAAGGAGCTTTATGTCGCAAAAAAGGCGTCTTCTTTCACACAGACGCAGCTCAAGCTGTTGGAAAGATTCCTTTGAATGTTGATGATTTAAATGTTGATTTAATGTCGATAAGTGGGCACAAAATATATGGTCCTAAAGGTTCGAATTTTATTTTCTTTTCTTAGACTAACGAATCACGTTTTAATTTAGGAATCGGTGCGATGTATGTCCGCAGAAGACCTCGTGTACGAGTCGAGGTTGTTTTATATTTTTGTTGGGACAATGAATTTTTTCTAATTTAAGGCTCAAATGTCCGGAGGCGGTCAAGAGGTACTACCTCAAATATTTTAAAGCGTATTTATCTAATGTAAGCGTGGTCTTCGTTCTGGTACTCTTCCTGCCCCTCTGATAATTGGATTTGGAGTTGCTTGTGATATTGCTCAACGTGAACGCGAATTTGATTATGCGCATGTCTCAGCATTGGCAAAACGTTTAATTGATGGACTGAATGCAGGGATTCCAAATATAGTTAGTTTGAATTAATTTGATCCTTTTAAATGAAATACACATAGTATGAGATCCAAAATGTTTCATCAATAGCTTAAAAACAGAAATATTTAGAAAGGATTTGGAATACCAGAATATTATTTTTTATAAATAACAAATAAAATTAATGATTATTTTTCTAGATGCGCAATGGGGATCCTGATATGTGGTACCCAGGTTTGTAAGTCTTATTATTTTATTATACGCTGTCTCAACGAGTATTCCATCATTATTTTAGGTTGCGTCAACCTTTCATTTGCTTACATTGAGGGAGAGAGTTTGCTTATGGCGCTTCACGAGGTTTTGTTGAAACATTCTTTTTTTTATCTTTAGAATAAAGGTGGCTCTATCGTCAGGATCTGCTTGTACCTCTGCAAGTTTGGAACCGTAAGATTTGAATTAATAATTCTGGTGCGATTGTAACAAAACTTTTTTTAGTTCATATGTGCTGCGCGCTATCGGTGAGTTAAATTATTTGTCGATATCTTTGTTTATAAATTTAATTTGTGTTTTAAAGACCTGGATGAGGATTTGGCCCATTCTTCAATTCGTTTTGGTATTGGAAGATTCACAACGGAGGAAGAGGTGGATTTCACTGTAAAAAAATGTGTTACTGAAGCACATCGACTTAGAGAGGTTTTTTCCTTTTTTAATTTTAAATGAATTGTGAATGTTTTTAAGATGTCACCACTTTGGGAAATGGTACAGGAAGGAATTGATTTGAAAACGATCAAGTGGACTCAACATTAAATTTGTCTAGTTTATTTTTTTACTGTTATATTCAGACCCATGGCCATAAAAATTTCAGAATTTCTAAAATATTAGAGCTATAACTTTGTTCAAAATTATAGAATCCGGGACCCTGGTACGTCTTGGCCTGCCACCGTTATACATAAGTCTTCAAATTCACCTCAAGAGTTAAATGCTCGAAATATTGACTTAAAATTTTGATAGCAATCCTCTGATTCTTTCATTGCTTTTTGTGAATTACTTTTGTTTCTTTTCTCTTGTTATTAAATATTTGCAAAGATAACATCGATTTTTATAAGAAAAAAATATATCCCGAGCGGTTTCGAACCTTTCCCCTATTTTTTAAAAATTTCCCACTTAACCAAAGGCATGAAAAGTTCAAATTATTTTTTCAAGTAAAAATTCAACTATTGGGCTAGCACAGAAAGCAAGTAAAGAATTAATGTATTGCCATCAAATTTTTCAAGCAAATATTTTGAAGCATTTAACTCTTGAATTGAATTTAAAGAAATTTAATGACATGTAAAGATTTTCCTTTTACATTGCAGAATGTGGATTTAAAATTTCTTTTCCCGTTTTCTTTTCCGATTTTTTTCATGTCTTATGGTCTGACTCGTTGATTTTGATATTTCCCTTTTTCAATTATTTTCGTGAAATGCCAAAATTTTTATGATCATATTTGATCGAAATTAAAGGATATTTATTTTTATTTGAAAAACTAGATTAAATATGTTGTCGATATTTGCTATCAAATACTTGTTTTTCATTTAATCTTCAGTTTTATTTAATTTTATGTATCAGAAAAAATGAAGAATCCGTCAAGTTGGTTGCGTCAACTTTTTGTATCATTTAAGGAGGCGCGTATAAAGAAACCATCATCTACACAGAATCAATCAGTCGGTGTTTTAAGAAAGCCTATGCCAAGTGAAATTGTTGCTAAAAAGGATGGGTCAGCGGCACAATTTGATCAAATAACTCATACAGGTCAAGCGTGGGATCAGGTTAATAATTATTTTATTTGGAAAATTAATTTTAAATATTTTAATAATTTTCTAGGCAGACTATCGTCTTGCTCGTTTTGAATATTCTTCGAAGCAAGTGAATCCTAATATTGCTGCTCACCTTGTTGCAGAACAAGCACCTGTACCAAGCGAGGAAAGCGTTGTTTTTTGTGATGGTGGTCACTTCCATGGAGGTCATCCAAAGGTTGTTTTTATTGTTTATTTTATTTACTAACTTTCTATTTTACTTAGGTTTTTATCAACTTGGATAAGCCAGGTTTTTTCCTTATTGAATTTTGTGGAATTTTTGGAAATTTTAGGAACTAATGCTTGTGGTTATTGTGGACAGCGATTTTATAATGTGCATAGTACTGGACCTGAGAATATGGAAACAGCGCATATACAAGTATAAAATGTTTCTCAAAAATAGGTTTAATGTATTTAAATATGTTAGTAGATAAAATTTTTTTATTTTTTTGCCGTATAATTAAATCAACCACGAGGGCTATTAAGGGGGAGGGTTATGGATTGATATATGTGTGTTAGTAATTGTCCTCCTACGTGCCAGCTGTGTAGGTGCTACGCAGGCACTATAAAGCAGCCAACAACTCATTTTTAGATTACCTGCAGTTCATTTTGCTATGGGTTAGGAATTCTTTATGTATTTTAGGGAATTTCAGGAATTTTGACTTTAAGAGAAAAATTATTTATCATTTTTGCTTTGTGTATTATAAAAGTCACCATCTATTAAAAATAATAAATTATCGTTTATTATCTTAACGATAAGATTTGCTTCACAAGCACAATTTATTTCATTCCTTTAAATTGTATAAGGAGGAGTAATTAAAAAAGGTAATAAAAGCAGATGGAGAACACGTCATACATTTAAGTAATTAAAACTAATTTCCTCGTTATTTGCCTCAATATTTAAAAAATTCTATTTCTTTAGACAATTAAAATTTTAAAGCTTCCTAGTTAAGCTTATAAAATTGTTTTTCATTTATTCAATTGACTGGCTTAAGCCAATTTTCTATAATTGTTTTCCTAGTTACCCAAAAAGGATTCGCTTTATCATCAGAGGCCACTTTTTTTAATTTTCTTAATTTTCGCCTCATCCTTCTAGTTAATACACATTGCTTTCTTTGGCAATTAAAAAGTTCAATTAAATAAAAAGCAAAAAATGCCGGAAGTACTTAATATTCCCATAGTGGAATCAACAACTTCTCGTTACAAACCTAGTAATCTAACACGAGTTGCCTCAATTGTTGTTTGTTTTCTATTTGCTGTGCTAATAAGCACATTAACTGGTTTGTTTACAAAACAAAGAACTTGAGACATGTAAATGATTTAACTTTTACCAGTCAGGTACTTTTCTTCGGCACAAGTTCAAGAAGTAGTTGACCATAGGCAGTCACGAACCCCTTCAATCTCTGAGCGGATGGATGCACTTCACTCAAAGGTTGCTGAACTTGAGCGTACCGTGAATGTAATTTCGAGAAAAAATCATTTTTCATGGAACAATCAACAATCGAAAAATTTGCTTTTTTCCAAAAGTGGATTCAGAAACATGGAAGGATCCTCTGTAAGTAGTAAATAGATTTAAATTTGTTTAAGAGCTAAGAATCTAATAAGTGGTGCTTTCAGGAACACAACCGTTTGCAACAACAGAAGCGAATATTCCAACAGTTACAATCTCAGATGTTGCCACGACCTGTTACACGCGCGCACTTATTAGTCCCTCAAGGCCAGTTAGAACCACAAAATTCTTTTGAAAAGCGAATGGTATCTTGGCAGCCGGTAAAAAGAGAAGATCCACTTCTATGGACAGAGGAAATAAGTGAACAAAAAATTTATGATGCAATAGCAAGAGAGAAAGGCAAGTCTTACTGTTGAGTTTAAAATTTAAGATAACTGAGAAACTTGAAACATAGTTTTACTTTTACTATTTTTGTTTTTCATAATTCAGCAATGTTAACCATCGAGCAACAACTTGCTGTCGTGGTAAATTTTTTTAAGTTAAAAATACAACAAATCTTATAGCTCCGTGCTGGTGAACGCCTCGGTATTTCACCTGAAGCGATTCTTGAACATTTAAGGATCCAAAACGGAGGTGGATGAAGGGAAAATGATTGGACGTTAAGTTCGCCTTTTGTAAATTTTTTATTCTTTTGATATTTAAAGTAAAATTTTTGTTTACTCGGCACATTTCTAAATCTCATCCCTTTGAAAGCTTCCAATAGTGCCGTCCCTTATCACATCACTTTCCCCTTATGTTCGCTCTTGGGGATGTGTTCTACCCGATTAAACTCTCTGCCCGATCCTTTAAATATCAGAGAGACTGAAAAAATTTTAGTATGTCAGTTTGATTTCGAAATTTATCATTTGTTAAGGACTATAAAAATTGTCAAAAAAGGGAAATGCATGAAATTTATGAAGTTTACAATTAAATCGTTAAGAAAGAACAAATAGATAAGGATTTAATTAGTATTGTTATAATAATTGCTGGATACAAAATCAAAATTTATAGTAGTTTGGGTCCAAATAAAATTCGGAAAATTTTCAAAATATTTTTTCAAATATTTGTTCCCAAACTATCAACTATATTTAAGTTTCTTTATACACATGAGATCATCAGATTCTCCATTTAAGGTGGTTATTTCTTGATAATTATGATTAGATTATTGAATAAAAGGATAGTAAATAGTTCCCTATATGAAAAGACATTTGATTAGCCTTGCTTTATTCAGAATTTTTGCCCTAATAGAAACAGGCATCCTTTCATATAGGAGGTATTTTAGATTTAGATTAAATGATTTAATATACGAGATTTAAAATTATAATAGTTTGAGATCTAATAGGTAAATAATTTAGAAAATCTACGTGATGGCAATTTGTTGCTGATGTAGATAATTCTCTGAAAAAGGAAAATTTTTAATAGATTGTGTATAAAGTAGATATTCATAATTGCAATATTTTTAGTTAAGTATAAGAATTCTAAGTCGGAGAAACAAAAATTACAATTTGAACAGAAAAACGCAAATTGAATATGAGTTTGACAACAACATACAAAGACTAATATAATCACGAGATAAGAAAAAACTGATCTTTTGAACCAATATAAAATAAAATAGTTTATATGTATATCATGAGATAAATGACTAGAGCAACATAAATACGATGACTATTGAAAAACAAAATTCACATACTTGAGTTTGCGAAACATCAAAGGAGTTTAACTTAAAAATTTTGGATAATTTCTAATACATATACTTTAATTTGGAATAATTGTAGACGTATCATTAACACATTTTCTCAAGATTCAGTAGGGTTTCTCTCTAGGTTTCTTCAGCTGCACCTGAAATTAGTGGTGACCTAATATTCAAACTAACGGAGATTTTAAACATTATGTATATGACTACACGCAAACCCACCTTCAAACGTTTCATTCCAACCTGAAAACCATTCATAGATTGGATAGCGGTCGTAGCAGAATTTGGATTATCATATGAAACAAAGCCTAAAGAAAGAAAATAACACTCACAAATACACTCACACTCAAAAAAATTTGAAATAAAATTTTGACTACACGGCGCACGAATGTGCCAAATACATATACACATACAGATTTAAAGCATTAAGGTCTACGTATAAGGGAAACTCTGAGTGAGACTCAAAATAGGGGGGAGGGGTGACATATCCATAAAGTACCGATTTAGCTTAAGTATCAGCATTAAGCAAAACTAACCAAAACATTTGCTTTGATTAGTGGCTCGATCGACAAAGACCTTGGCTGAAAGTAACTGCCCGAATGGGGCAAACATCTGGATCTAAATACAAATTTCAGTCGGTTACTATTAGGTTAATCCTTTACCAGTTCATTGTCTGTGAACTCTTGAGGTAGATGATATATAAACAGATTGCATCCATCTGGGCCCATTGAATATTCTGTTATGAGAATAAATAATTGGAGGATTACTAGGTAATTTTATTTATAATTTTATTTACCTTCCTTTGAATGATGCTGATTAGTGGTCAGGCCTGCTGCAGTTAGTGCTTGTTGTTGAGCAATCAAGGCTTGCTGCAGCATTTGCCCATAGAGACCCGCTGACCATTAAATGGTTTAATTTAAAAATACGTTCGAAAATTTTTTACAGTTTAATGGTTGATCAATTCCAAACAGCATTTGTTGCCCACAAGTATTCGGTTGTTGTAGAAATGCTGCTGGCTGCTGAGATGGGTAACTGCCAGGCATTAAACCCGCAACGTTTGCCCCTTCTGATATGGAGCCGCACTGTCCTGTCCCAGAGGAAGATGATGTTGCTGTTGCTGAAAGCTGTTTAGATTGCCTCAATAAATGCAAGGATCCAGTGGTTGCACCACTTCTTGCTGCTTGTATTGCTGAACTACCTCCTACAGCACCCAATAATCCTATGCCAGTTGATGAACCTTGTTGTGAATTAGGAATGATGCCGAAGAGATCCTTGGAATTAAGGGAGACCTAAAGACTAACTAGTCGACTAACTTGTTGAAGGGAGGGCATAAAAACTCCAGGCCCTAAAGCTGCGGCTACCATAGCTGCTGCTGGATTGATTAACTGTTGATGTGCCATTGAAGCAGCAGCAATTAATTGAGCCTGTGCAGCTTGAGCTTGGATAAGCTGAAAATTGTACAGTGTAAGGTCGAAAACATATGGAGCTTACTCCGAGTTGCCCAAGTACATTGGAAGTACCCAACGAGTTTGCAACTCCATTAGGCGTGAAAGTGCCGGGATAGCCTGGAATACCTGCCACGGCTGCTGCTTGACTACTTGCTGCCATTAACTGTTGGGTCTGTTGAGCAGTTGCTAACTGCGCACCATTGCCTGCCAACGGATTAAGAAGTCCCAATTGTGCAGCCATTTGCTGCATTCGACGGACTTGTCGTTCTCGTTCCGTATCTGCCAATTTAACAACCAGGCTGTTAGACGCGCCCATTGTTTGGCACCCATGAAGAGCAAGAATAGCACGCTCGGCTTCAGCAGCTTGTGAAAACTTCACAAAGGCGCATCCCTATATTGCACTGCTTGCTGACCTTTCAAGCTAAAAACGCTCACCTTTGAGACATTGTCGGCCCCTCGTAATACCGTTACTTCTTCGATACGTCCATATGGAGCAAACATAGCCCGTACCTGTCAAAATTATGTGCTAACATTTTTGTCATTTTGTTGAAGAAAGGATTAAACGGTTTATTACTTGATCCTCATTGTACTGCTTAGAAAGCATCCCCACAAACAACTTCCTGTCTTCAGTGCTCTGTTTAGGCGAACCACTACGACTTTCAGTATCTGCAGGTTTAATCTGCATAGGTCGATTCATCTATATACATAGAAATGAGATTTAATATTTTGTAAACATACTCCTGGTAATGCCTTCTGGTCATGAAGTGCTGCTTGACATTTTAGAGCACTTTCACGGTGGCAAAACGTTAGGAAAGCGCAACCCTAAACAGGATATTTTTGCATTTTTATTCAAGAACACTACCTTGTGCATTCCAGTATATTTGTCTTTAAGAATAGTAAATTCAAAGATTTTGCCAAACGACTCAAATATGTGTCTCAAATCCTTTTCCTCCAAATTGCGAGGGATCTGTAAAAGTTTTATTGTTTTAATCATACTTTTGTCCTAATGTTTCTTTAGAATAAATCCTTCAATTCCCCTCTAACATGTTTAATTTTATCGCTAATACCTGTCCAACAAATAATTTTATTGCATCCACATCCTTTACTGGAAATCCATTACTGTCAGTTGATGCACACCTTTTTACATTGTTCCCAAAACTATCAACTACATCAATACTTCCATTTTCGGAACGTGCTATCATAACTTCAGGATTAAGACAATTTTATGTATCTGTGCGTATCATTTTCATATTTAATCTCATGTAAGTCTGAAATCTTCGAGTTACATACTACTGGAAATCAAAAAGATATTGATGTGCTAAGGGATAGTGAAGGAGTGATATTTTGTTGTGAAGAAAAGCAAGAGAGAATGACAACTGGAATAAAGTGGCCAAAAAATGCAGGCAGCTGTGAGGAGGAGAATGGCATTTTCGGCGAGAAAATGACAAATGGAAAGAAGCTGAATGAATACAAAAGATAGAAAGCACGAAAAGGGACGGATAAAAAAGAGGCTTTAATTGCCAATGCATGCATGTGCCGGTCGTGCTTGTCTCATACATAAAGCTATGTTGAGGTCGATATATGTATACTATGTTGGTTTAAGTGGGGATTTTCCTCCTGCTTTAAATTTTAAAAATACATATGTATTTAGATTTGGAATTTTTAACAGTACTGGTTTTGAGTTTGCCATTTTGAGAATTTAAAAATTGTTTGATTTTTATCATTTCCCGTTTTACTGCTCAATTACATTATTCATTATTCAAGTGGTGACCTTTTGTCCACACGTGGCGTTGGCGACCTTTTGCCCGTTGCTTGGTCTTGGCGACCTGTTGTCCGTGCTTGGTCTTGGCGACCTTTTGTCCGTGTTTGGTCTTGGCGACCTTTTGTTCGTTGCCCAATTATCTTCAAGCCCTTTTGTTTTTCATCATTTTTTGCCAAATTTTTTCATTTCAACAATTATTTTTTAATTCGAAGCATTTTTAGTTTTACTTTTTAGAGATTAATTATTATTTCAATTTTTATTTGATATAAAATGTCTCAAATGCTGAAACGTTTGCAGATAGCCGCGTTCCATATGCCAAAATTGGATGGTCGCTTAATTCTCGCGTATAGATGCTTTTCTTCAATTAAGTTTGAGCCAGCTGGAGGAGGAAATCTTTTGCCTGCCGCTGATCCGAATGAATATGGTATAATTTTATCTTTGGTCTTTTTTCGTTTAAAAGATTAGGGTACTTATGTCGTTTCCCTCCCTCATCCTATTTTTTCCTTGATTTCTTCCTAACAAAATTTCCCATGATTTCCCAGTGGCTTCATCTAATCAGTCGTAGTGTGACACATCTAAAAGACAAAAAAAGTGTTGCCGCGGAGAAATTTTGTGAAATTTTGCAAGGAATAAATAAACGCCCATTTTGTACATCAAGAAAAAAATTGGGTGGGGAGGAGGCGGGAGGAGGGAAACGACACAAGAACTAAGATTAGTGGTCTTTCTATCATTCCTGATTTTTGACATAAAAAATTTTTTAGGTGATGTGCCGGATTCTATTGAGCAGGCATATGGTCAAGAAAAGAAGATGATAATTGCTCGCCTTATGGGCGATGACGTGAGTTGAATTTTGCAGTTTTTGTATTGTATAATACTTTAAGCGCTACGAGCCAAAACTATTCTATCGAGCGGAGAACAGCACTCGCGACTATCCTAATTTGGTTCCTTGTCACTTGAACGAGAAGCACATGGTTTGCAAATGTTTGTTTGTTTTTTATTCTTTTATTGAATTTCTAAGGGTATACTTCATCCAAAAGAGATGGATGAATGAAGTTATTTGGTAATTTTCTAGTTCACGTGTCCATGGAAAAAACAATTAGAAAGTGTTCTTTCGATATTTTTAAATTTGAACGTGTGTGTTGCATGATTTCGCGTATTAGCTTAGAATTTGTTTATTTCGCGCTAATAGTATTCTGATTCAGCACACTCGACTTCCACTAATTTTTTTCTAAGGACAAGTAGGCTAGAAGATTACCGGTTATTTTTAGCTTGCATTAATTTTATGTCCTATGTTAAAAACCTTGTTAAAATCTAATGTATTTTAGCACTCTTATATATTTAGGTGAACCTGATGCTTCATATCTTATGGAATGGATTATCCGGAAAGATGGAAAGCCTCATCGTTGTGAGTGTGGACATTGGTATTTTTAGTTTTTAATAAATATTAATTTTTTAAAATTTTTCTTTTAGGTTCAAGGCGGTTGACGCTGAGCCTGAAACCGTTTAAGAATTATTCGATAAAGCAGGTTTTAATAGGATTAAGATTTTCTTTGGTTAAAGTTTATGTTCATTATTGTTTTAAGTATATGCAGTTGTAAAAAATAAAGTGATACTTAAATGACTTGTTTTTGTGATGTAATGTTGGTGAGTCTTAACTTTGACTGAATGTACTTTTCTTCAAAGGGGTCAACCATGGAGACCCTAACCCCGAAGATTTTAGAAAATGACTAACAGGTCATTTCTCAGTCAAATTTGAGATTCATCAATATACATGTTATTCATGTCTTTACATATATCTTTATCGTTTTTTAATATATGTTCAATTTCTAATAGAATATTTCATTTATTTGTCTACTATGATGTTTGTCTATCGAAGTTTTCAAGTTTTTAGACCTAGTCGTTTAGCCTCACAACAATGCACCAGACGATTATACTCAACAGAACTCGGTTTCTAAAAATTTTACCTTAAAAAATACTTTCTTTGTGTTTTCTAGATGCTCATGACTATGCATTTATGGGAGTGGGAGCCGACACGAGTGCGATACGTGGAGTACTGGAGAAATCTCAAGGCATTGACGTTAGTGATAATATTTAAAAATTTCTTGTAGTGATGTTCGGAAGTAGAAAAATTTTCAAGTGTAATTTTATAGAAAAAATTTTATATTTTTTCAACGCAGAAATTCTGAGGCTATCGTCCTCACATTAAAATCCTGCTTTCTTTCGTTAGGAGGGAAAGAGAAAATTATTTACATAGGAGAACAACATCACTAATTTCTAGTCAATTTTAATTACCTCTTTTTAGAGGTACCATTCAAGAATTTACTTCCGCCTGCTGGTTTCAACACGTGAAGAGCCAAATATGGTTTGAAATAACAAGTAAATATCCATTTTTGATAATTAAGGTTTATGCACAAGCTGGTGAAAACAAAGTCGTTGGATGCATCTGTATGTTTTGAATTCTTTTATTGACTAGGGTTTTTAGAAGATTTAAGTCGGAAGAAGGGATATTTTATGCTTACCACCGGTGCTTAATGGATAGTCTATTAAATTTTCTATCGTCTCATTTTTAGGTGAGAAAGACAGCAAACATGTGAATTATTGGATTTTAAAAAACGATGGAAAAGCTAGACGTTGCGAATGCGAACAATGGTAACATTAAAGAATTTTAGATGTAGTAGAAATTTCTTTTTTAAAAATAGATGATGTGGGAGTAGGAAAAGCTTAATCTAAAAATTTTTTATTTAGGTTCAAAGTGGTGGATGCTGAACCAGAAAGTGTCTGAACATACTGAAAAAAATTTTCTTTCATCATTTTTAAGCTATGTAATTTAAAGTCGTTTAAAAATTATTTTTACTAGAAACAAGCTAATAAGTGTTGAAATTCTGAATTTAGTCAATTTTGTGTGGGTCATTGATATGAAGAATAGTTATTTCAAGTCCGGTTAGTGTTTTCTTGTTTTATGTCTTACTTGAAGAAAAATAAAGTAAAAAAGAAGAATAATTATTTAAAAAACACTCCATAATTTGTAAGGCACGATAAATGTTTACAATAGGAAAGGTTAGACAAGCGTAGCCGGGTCGGAGGTTTGATCGGAAAAAACGGGTCAAGGATGTTAACCGTGTCATCTTATCAGCATCGTTTTTAGTTAGTGAAATGTAATACGGAATTTTTGAGGGACGAATTTTCACAAATCCGGAAAAAGAAAAAAACCTGGCTCTACCCCCGTGTCTTCTTATATAAGTTACATTTTTACAATAATGTTTGTGTGAATACATTGCAATTATCAATTTAATTTTCCACATTTACAATAAAAACCTCCTGTGAACTCGTAGGATGTGTTGGCACCTCAATATAATTCGGACGAGGCTGATTGTTTCCTCCAAATTTTTTATTATCACTTTCGTCGGATGTACCTTCCTCGTCTTCATCGTTCGAGCTAGGATCAGTTTCATCAGCCTTATCATCCTAAATTTCTTAAATTGTGAAAGCATTAATATGTTAAAAAAACCTTCTTTTGAGTTGTTGTGCCATGTCCGGGGTCAGCGTTTTGAGCCGCTGTTTCATGTCGTTTATCTTTTAGGTCTGCAGCACGCGCCCGGTTCGCACCAAGAAGCCCATCTGCGGCAAGAACACGATAAAATAGAACACAGTTTGTTGTGGTAAGTGAGAAGACCAACAGACTGTTAATCACTTGCAAATGCCATTGAACCAAACCACTTACATAATGGTAGAAAAGCCAACCTTTAATAAATTACAATTAGGTTCGGAAATAGTTGAAATTGAGTATTTCGGTGTGATCAAGTGAAGATTAATAGTCCCTAGAAAAAGATAAGCAAAAAGTATTATTCAATAATTTTGACGTTTGCCAGTCTTTGGGAGCGTCAGCGCACTCGATTATCTGACAAACGTTAAAAATATCGAATGAGCACTTTTCTTATTTTTCTAGGGACCATTAACCTTCACTATTATCACTTTATCCTAGAAATGATAAAAATTGTATACCTATTAATGCTGCGCTGACGGCAAGACGAAAGAGGACAAAAGTAGAAATGTTGAGCATGGCAACTGAATAGGAATGATTTATGATTTAAATAGGAATATAAAAATACCAATTTTAAATGCAGTTGAATTCTTTTTCTGTCGGTAGAGATTCATCAATGAGCGGGTGTGTAAAAAAATACTGAAAATAAAATTTTACAACTTTTACAACCTTTTAAGAATAACCTGTTAACTTCCATAAGCAAACCAATAACGACAATATACAGAAATTGCCCAGTAATATGAGTAACCGTAAATCCTGTAAGTACAACCACATGATGAAATAAAAGTTCGATTATACGAGCTGATCGCTCATTCACAACAAGATCAATAAAATCGTGAACGAGGTAACCAAACGACATTAAAACCTTAAAATAATCGGATTAACTTTTAAAGTGAAAAAAATTTACCAAATATTCGGCACTCTTAGTTCGCACTGTTATCAAAGTACTCTTCTCATTATGAATGTACTCTTCAATATTAACCAAAATATACAGAGCCCAAAGGCCAGAGAGGACTGAATGAAACAGCGAAACAATCTCGTTCGAAATGCGCCATTTCTTGTTAGGAGGAACAAGCTAAAAAAGCATGATATTTTTTAGGAGCATTTCTTGACTTAAAAACATTGGCAATCTTCGAGTTTACTGGTTCATAGAAAAGATGAACGAGAAGTGCTTCTCAGTGTTTTGGTGGTTTGTTAGCAGGTAATCGTGTATGTTGAGAATCTGAAGTCGACCAGATCGAACTCGTGTCTGGGATTCGAAATAGAACAAATTTGAGCTTGTATTAGGACTCATTGTCAGGACACATGACAATCTACCGCTACATACCGCAAATATAGAAGAGCACTTTTTGCCCTTTTTTTCTAGGAACCAGTAAACTACAAGATTACCAAAACATTTAATTTTTTAATTAAAATTATAATTTTATCAAAACCTGAAGAGATTTGCTATCCATATTCTTGTTCCGGTTTCGACGAAATGTACGAATTTTAAAGTAGCTAAACGTCCGAAAAGTCCATTTGCCGAAAAGGTACCATCTTACAATAAACTGAAGAAGCCGAAAGAAGAAAAACGACGACAGAGCCTAAAAAAGTAGAAAAATGTTAAATCTCAAATTCTAAAAAGCATACAATGAGAAACGGCAGCCACAATTTATCCCATAAGTATCCCTTGCTCAAATCCATCGTTTCTATAAGATGTTGTTATCAAAAAAATAATATATGACTAGGATGAAAGGAAGAGATTCGTGATTACTAATCAAGCTGAAATTCTGTCTAAAGTAAAAATTTTGGGTTTTTAAGGGGAAAAGGATCATCGAGTCCCGCCGGTTGAGTCCCGAAGCCATATTTTGGGCCATAACTCTTTCGATTCTTAATCGATTTAGGTAATTAGTATATCAATCGAAAGCTCAACCGGCGGGACTCAATGATCCCCCACTATGGCGTAGAATGTTCATTACTTTTTTAGCTATTAGAAAAAGTCCCAATATCATTGCATTAAATTAAATGAATTAGATTTAAAAAAATGTAAGCAAAAAATTTAAGCTATTAGAAAAAAAATCACAATACTTTCTTTAAATATTTATGCTGAATAAATGGAGGATATATTATCATAGTCTAGATTTTTTAATAAGGCACGAAAAAGGCTTAAATTAATATAAAAATATATAAATAAAAAATTTAAAAGTTAGTTCAAATATTTTAAAATTTTAGCAAGAATAAATAGAATTCTGGGATTGTTGGGAAAATAATTAGCAAAAAATACAACTCATTCAAATGACGCATGAAATAGTCTTGTGATTGAATTTGACAATGACAAAGGTTTAAGCATCTTTTTTGTATCACGAAAAACCCTCTCACGATATTTATTTGGACGATCACATTCCACACGAAGATTTCGGTAAGCACGCGATGCATTTAGCACAGTTTCACGAACTAGAGTACTAAAAAATATGAAAGATCGTTGAAGGAATTTTACAAAAAAATTAACCTTGCTTGAGATATATGTATACATGCACCTATAATTAATTCGATAATTCGACTAAAAAATTAAAAAATAAATACCATCAAAAAGTGGACCAAATTGTAAACGTGGATCTTGAACTTCAATGTGAACACGCAAAAGAACTGGGCTCGATAAATACAATACAATTAGCACATCACAAAATCGAGTAGCAATCATATCTCGTCTATAAGGTTTTGTATTTTCTGACCAAACAACATGCACCTGATTATTTTATGTAAGAATTTATGTATCAAATTCAAAAAAAACCTCATCATTTCCCAAGTGTTTTAAGCGTTGAGTAGCGTCTCCAGTCAAAAGTGTTGAAACGTGAAAAATAAGCTCAGTGTTTGCTGTCGCATAATAAATTGCTGTTTGTCTTATAAATATAATTAAGTTTCTGTGTAGGGAAAAATAGAATTAATACCCATTAGGAAGGCCTCCATTATATCCGGAAAATTCAGAAGAACCAATATGAACAGGCCAACCTTGAAGTTTAAATTAAATGACAAATAAAAAGAAAAAAACCTAATCCATCATAAAATTTGTTAAAAGTTTCTGATCCTGTATTGTTTGATAAGATTGATTGTTTATCCTGAAAATTGCCATAAGCGTTTTTTAAGAAAAGATACATACTTGTAAGTCATTTCCTCCACCTACAAAAATTACAGCAACTTTGTGCACTTCTCGACAAACGGTAGAGTCTAGATGTCGAATCTCTCGGTAAAAGTTTGATGGAGAATCTTTAGCAGAATCAAAAAATCCAAAAGTAGCATTAAATTTTCGCCAGCAGTTGTATTTACTTAATGAAAAATTTAGTGAAATATAGCATTAAAAATATAAACCTCCCATCCACAGTACTTGAATCAATGTTGCTATCATCGTTGCCAAGTTGATTAAGCATTTCTGACTTTGATGCTTCGGATTTTACTTGATCATAACCATTTATTGCTGTGACTTCTTCAGGAAAACGAGTACTTGATTGTATGAATTGTAGTATTTCAGGCACAGAGATATCTAGTGGAATCAAATCTGCTTTGTGTGCAAAAGTTGAGGATGATGAATTTATGGGAATTTGTGATGAGTGGCGAGGGATAGGAAATGGCAACTCCTTAATTGATAAAAGACTCTCTTGATCGGTGTTCAAAGAATTAAACCTGGAATGGATCAAAAATTTCATCAACTAGAGAAGATTTTTGCCGAGCACTCTGTGTTGATTGGAATAAAGGATTTGTTTCATCTGAAATTGAGTTTAGCCAATTATCAGCTGAAAGATTCGGCTCTTCCTCATCTTCAATCATCTCTATTTGATAGGCATACCGACCAAGAGCTGTTCTGCACCAAAGCATTTGTGGATCTTCTCTTCCCAAACTGAATATTTTCTTTAAAAAATTTTGCAAAGAAAAAAAAACCTAAGGATGGATGAATTTGTTTCCATGTAAATATTGCACTCATCACTCTCTTCTTTTTCAGTTGCCGCTTCTTGAATGGAATTCCATTGAGTAATTTGAAAGCCTGGTAGAGGAAATTGACCCTGAAAGGAAAAGTTTTAACGTTTTAAATGTTACTAACCGAGAGTCGAATTAAAAAGCCTTCGAAAAAGGTATCCTTATCAGTTTCAAATCGCTCTGCTAAAGCTTCTTTCCATTGTAAAGCAATGCTTTCTTTAGCACAAATTGAACAAAGTTGCCATTTCAAATCGTTTAACATGTTCACATTTTTGGCCTTTGACAAAGACAACTGAACAGCATCAATAAGTTGAGAATGAAATCCAACTCGCATAACTGATGCAATATTAGCTAAATAATTCTTAATTTACTGTAATCTTGTAAAAATACCACAAAACAAAGGTAACACTCGTGCTGCATATTGATGGTCAATTAGAAGATGTAACAATCTATCAAATAATACTACATCAGCTCTTTCTAGAATTAATAGTGAAAGTGCATTCACACAAAGCGTCAAAGAGAATTGGTCAAGTTGTTGTTGTTGTGATTGACGACGTGTTTCAAGAAGAGAGATTATAATCTAGAATAAAAATGTTGAAATTTTAAAAATAATGTTTAATAAACAACCTTTTCAGCATCAGGGTGATTTAAGGACAACAATGCAGCAACACGAATCTAAAATGTTTAATTTTCAAAATGGAAATGATTAAACTTAAAATTACCGCTCTTGCCGAAAATTCTTGATTTTTGATAAGCCTTTGTAAAGTTGAAATTGTTTCAGCGGAGATAATGGCCATATCTTTGATTAAAAACTTGATAAATTTTCAAAATTTCCGATAAAAACCTTCTAAACTGTTTATTGAAGGAATATGTTCAAGCGCTAATGGCGCAACTTCTGTACGTAGACATTCCGTTATGCGATGAAGAATAAAAACTCTCACAAGTGGAGGTAGTGGCTGTGCACTTACCAAAATGGTAAACATGATAGGAAGTGCGTGCGGCGCCACGTCTAAAGCGCAACGCAAGACTTGTATTGCCAACCAATGGATGAGAGGATTGGCTTCATTATTTGATTGGGCTCCCTCTCCTACTTGAATAAGCATATCCACAGCTCGGCCATATGTGGCAATAGTTTGTACAGCTAACTAAAAAAAGAAATTTTTCAATAATTGACGAAATGGAAAATTAAATCACTTGTTGGGAGCGATTCCATTCAGAAATTGAAGTATCAACCAAACAAATAATCCTCATCCATGTTCTAATCCAAACAATTGCCAATCCGCTGTTGTTTTGAGTAATCGCAGCCTAAAATGGTTAAATCAATATTCAGTCAGTAAAGAACAAGTCAACTAATCTTTTCATATGTAAGGGATTATAATATTAAATTCAGATCAGCGGACTAGACTAACGTGAATTGTTTTGAAAATATTTACATATTGAAAATTAAAAGAGAAAAGAGCGACTCACCTCACAAGGGCAGGTGTCAGTGCTACTACTATCGCTTGTTGTTTTTAAGTTGTTACAGCTCTGTAAATCATTAAAATAAATTATAAAAAATTGAGTTAAAATAAACCGTATTTTCTGAAAAGTTAGGAATCTCATCAATAGAATCGTTGACCTTTTGTGGGACACCAGAATCAATAGAACATACATCTATCGCAAATCTGGCTTGGCAAAAAAATAGTTGAAATTAGACTTTAAATCATTACAAATTTAAAATCAATGCTTTGGTGATATTAATAGTAATCCTTGACCATTGTTCAATAATCTGAATTTTCCATGAAGCACTGTGAAATACAACCAACACACAATCCCATAAATGGTTATCGATGTTGATTTCACGAAGCACTTGAACGAAGACCAAAGTGCCTAGCAAAGTACGCGTGAAACCTGCGGCTGTTGCTTGTCCAAATGCATCTGATCTTCTAACACATAAATCCACGATGGAGATTAATCTTTTAAGTAGTTCCTAACGGATCAAGGTTACGCATATTTAAAAATTAAATGAACAAACCTGCCACACAGACTTGGAAATATTCACAATTTGCATGCCCGAAGGATTTGCCAAATCTCTTACAATTTTAAGTATATTATGAGCAATAGAAATTGCAGATGGCAGACGATCGTTGATGACGAGAAGATATGGCGAACGGAAAAAAGAAAAAAGCATTCGAAGTAATAATTGAGTCCAATAGTCTGTCGATACACGCTTTGAATCAAGAAAATGGGGTAATTCTGGTTGTGATAGCCAAATACGAATTAAGGCAAGAACTTTTTGTATAACGTTAACACAGGAAAGTGGAAGCCTAAAAATTGATTTGTGTATTTTATAATGATAAATTCACCAACCTCATTGATTCACGCATCATTGTAAGCAAAACATTTATAGCCTTTTGTGAAGAAAAAAGTGCCTAAAAAGCAATCTAGAAATATTTGAAAATAAATGATACTTGTTTAAAGAGTGGAAGTCCAGAGGAAGATATATTATTACTATTGCTACGTTCAGAAGTTAATTGCAAGTTATTGGAGGAAGAAGTACAAGAAGGCAGAGTCGAATCAAATGGTTCAGCAATACGAACAAAAAATCGGATGAGCCAATATCTTTAAAATACTGATAGCTTTAAAAATACAAGATTCAAACAAACTTAGCAATGGTTTCAGGTTCTGCAGTCTCAAGAAGCGGTTTGTCATCTTTAACATCTTCAGCAAAAGTAGTCTCCAAACCGCTATTCACATCAATTCCATTTGATGTATCGGGGAATAACTCACAAATATACAAAACAATTATACGATCCAATAAGAATCTTGCACATTCCAAGCGTTGTAGAGGATTAGACCAATTAATTCGCATGGTCTCACGAATTATATATTCAAGAAATTTATCCAGGTAAATCTGAATGAAATATGTTCAATTAAAATAATGTTTAATAAATATAACCTGAAGTGTTTTTGCCTTTTCACGAGTAGATGTTGTGATGTCAGTCGAAAGTTGCTGTTGTTGATCTACTTCACTTAATGTACAAATCATGATGGGAATACATTTGGCAATGTAGGGCTCAAACAGTGTATTTGAATATTCACAATTTGTTGAGTTAAGTTCAAAACCCTCACAAAACATCTTTCAAATAAATTTAAATTAGAAAATATAACTTAAAATAACATACAGTCAAAATTCGATCAGTACTTAATTCATTGTTAAGAGGAAAGTGAGGCAAAACACATTGAAAAACAACATCCAGATTATAATTTGTTCGGCCATAAACAGCTAAGGTTTGATACCTTAAAGGTTTTTATATTTAAAAATAATAGAAAAATTTAAAAAAAACCAAATAATGAAAAGTCTGATAGCCAATTTTCTAACAGAAATTTCGTTTCGAGGATGGAGAACCATTTTCAAGATAAACTCAATTCCATTTCTTTGCCAACCTAATTTAAATTAAATGTAATGATTTACTTAAAAATTTTTTAAATGCTAAGTTTCTAATTTCAGAAGATTTTTTTTTGAAAAGTTAAAAAAATTTAAAATCACCAACTAATTTACAAACCAATTCCAACAAACTCCGGAGCATTTAGTAAAACTTGTTCAAGTATGTCTAACGCGGTCGTATAAGTTGCAGCTGCAAAATTTTAATTGGGGTAAAATGGAATTTAAAAAAGAAAATTTTTTCAAAAATTTCTGATGAATATAACCTAAACAGTAAAAATTATCCCCTCCTTTCAACTTCTATCTAAACATTAATCTTATTTGTGAACCAAAATTCAGCACAAAATAAACTAAAAAATAAAATTAATACCAGTAACATCAGCAATTGTTTGTTGTTCAATTAGTTGTCCATAATGACAAAGCATAAGTGAATCAATCAAATGATAAATTTCAAATCCAAAACTCTCGATCAACTGCCTTTTTTCCTGAAAATGACAAAATAACAAAGATTATGAACAAAAACTAATGTTTGTTGCACTATAAAATCAAACCTTACTTCAATTGTAAGATTCTCAAAAATCAACTTGAAATGTTTTGCTCTTGAACCAGCATCACGACCAACATCTGCAAACCGTTGAAGCGAAGAGTGAAAATCTTGCGGTTTCTTCCAAGTAAACATTGCTCAAAATTTCTAAAAAAGAAAGATTAAATAAAATTCATTCAACATAAAGAAACTAACATGAAAATTTGTAAAAACGTACGAAAATATGCAAAATCCAAGCATGAATAAGAAATTCCTTAAAACAAGTGTACTATCTCACTTTCCTTTTTTTCTATACCAAGAGAAATAGTAAATAATGGTTGAAAAGAGAAAATGCAAAAATAAAAACTTTACAAACAATCGAAACACAATCCTCAAAAGCATGAAACGGAAAAATTTAGGAAAATACTATACTACTTAAATACATTACCATTTAAATTCAGGAGAATACTTTACAACTCGAAGAAAACCTTAAGTAAAAACCTTAAACTAAATAAGATCAGTTTTGAATAAATATTTTATTTTGACATATGATGTATACATAATTAAAAATATGAAAAATATAGTAAAAAGAAAATTTCAACTAAAATCTTTAAAAGCCATACAAGTAATACCCAATGAATGACCCTGATACATTTGAACAACTGAACTTGACGCCAATTCCCACATACGAATGATTCCATCAGATGAAGCTGTCAGCATGTACTAAAGAAATTTTAACAATCATTGATTAAAAATAATAAAATTTCCTTACAGCTGAATCATTAGTAAAAGCGCAATCCCAGACCCATTTACTATTTGGAGCTGCATATGTGCTTAACTAGAATTTTGAGTTATTAAAAAAACCCCTGAAGACCTATTAACCCTGAAGAACAGCAACTTTTGAAAAAGAATATCGAGGGATTTGGAGAAATTTTGGAGGAAGCAGGGATTTGATGGGATTAAAGGTGATATGGATCTTACACACGCATTAAGATACACACCTACAATACCGAACCATAGGTTAAAAATACAAAACTGTAACTTAAGAGCTGGGTATTTATCACCCTTAATCCCTCAAAATTTCCTTTCAACATTTGCAGGTCTTCAGGGGCAATAAGTCTTCAGGATTCCGTATTTTTCATTAACTAACAATATAAAAAATTTTATCATACCAAATTGTGATCGTTAACGCTCCATAATTTAGTTGTCTGATCAGCTGAACATGTTGCTATTGCTAAGCTAATAAGAATAGAGATACATATATAGCCTCAACAAATTAAAAAAAAAACCTGTCAGGCCGGTATCTACACTTCAATGCAAATGATTTGTGAGCACGCAATTTCATTCGATACTTTGCATTGCTTATTAAATCTACTGGTAGAGATGAACGATGTGGCGGTGTAACAGTCATAGATGGATTTTTCAACATTTCTTAAATTTAGAAAAATATTTATAATAAACCATTTAATATGAAAATATGAAAACCTTGTTCAATTTGCTTCAATTCTTCATTTTCTTCGCCTAGTTCGGATGGTGGTACTTCTTTTGCACCATATCTTTGCTTTCGTCGAGGAGCAGGCACATAGAAAGCGCTACCATCTCCACCCATTTCTGATAGAGGTGGTGGTGCAATAGGAGGAAGGCCTGTGTCAATCATTGAACTTGAGTAGAATTCCTAAAATGAAAAAAAATTGAAAAATTTTAGAAAACTAAAAAATACCGTTGTCGACTCATCTTCCTTTAATTCTTGTGGAGTCGTTTGCCTTTGAAGCTTCTGCGTTGATCCATTGTCGGCAGTGGCATCAAGATGTGGAATTGTTTTAGCCAAACCGCTGCCTTTATGGTTAATCTCCCAAAAGAAAAGATTTCCTCTATTCGTGACGGCTGCACATTGTCGACCTAATCTATCTATATCAATGTGCACTATCTAAAGAAAAAGGCAAATAGAAAAACAAAAACTTTTTAAAATTACATATTCGGAAACATCAACTTCAGTAGACAATGTATCATCTCGGTCAGATCTCAAATCCCATATATAGACAGCTCCAGTTGCGTCAGAAATTAACAATTCAATTTGATTTGGATGGAGAGCAATTGAGTGAACTGGTGTATTTACCTAACATCAATGAATAAAAACATAGGAATACAAACTTGGAATATACGCTGACAATTAAGTTGATTGATACGCATGTCCCAAATCTGTAATTTATTTATAATTTTAAAGAAAACAAAAAAAAATGCAAAACCTTCGCCATGCAATCTTCACCACCAGTATACAACCAAACACCATCACTTTGAAATCCAACAGATGTAATGTTCTTCTCATGAACCCTTGAAAGAAAAAATAATTTAATAATAAAATCAAAACGCTTACGCTGAATTATGCAATCCTGAATTTGTAAGACAGTTGAGATCATATATACGCAAATTCTGCCAACCACCAATTAAAAATTGCGCACCATCCGGAGTAATACACATCGTATTCACTTGAGATTCCTTAAAAAATTTCTTGCTAAATAAAAGAAAAACCTCTTATATTTAATACAGATTCGACAATTAATCCTCATTAACCTTATAATGTAATGCTTCCAATTGCATTTGCGTTGCCACATCCCAAAGTCTAATCGTGCTGTCCATAGAGGCGGAGATAAGAAGTGGTTTTAATCCGTAACCCATACTTCGAGTTTGCGAGTAAATCTATAACTGCTATTGACAAAGCTCTAAATTTTAATTATATAAAATTAATAATGGTTAGAATCCTAAGCAAAAAATATAGAATATTTAGAGTAACAATTTTATCGGTCATATTATAACAATGGAAAAAGGCAACAAAACACAAAATAAACGTAAATCTTGTGATTATTCATGCCCTCATCTTTCTAAGCAACAATTTCGAATCTGACAGGAGCCAACATTTCAATTTGCAAAGCTTTTCGCACTTTTACCAGATGTGCACTACGTGGCTCTTGCGGTTTACCTAAGGGATTTTTGATTTATTTATATTTAAAACTAATTTTTAAACTGACGTTTAAGCGGAACAAATTTAGCCTTTCCTTCTTTAAAATCACGCTTTTGTTGGTCATTCTCCTTGCATCGCTTCAAAAACTCAGAACGCGAACCAGACGGCTTAACATGCTCCACACGAACATTAATCCGCTTGGGAATGATGCGATTTCTTAATTTGAGCAATAATTAAATCTAAAAAACTAAAGGATACCTAACACGTTTGTTGACGATAACGCCGAGCGCGTGTTTAGTCACGTTGAAAACTTTGCCTAAAATATAAACAGAAATAATTTGATAAATTTTTAGAAAAATCCCTGACCTGTTTTTCCATGATATGCTTTATGAGGCATTCCCTTCTGAAAAGCTCCATTTCCCTTAACAGTAACAATGTCTCCACGCTTATAAACTCTATAGAATGTAGAGAGTGGCTCAATTCCATGTCGACGGAAAGGTCGAGCAAACATATAACGAGTTCCACGACGATAACCTTTTGGATTAACCATTATTTATTTGTTGTTTCTAAAAGTTTTGATGTCTAAAATCTAAAAAAATGATAAAATATTAATTAATGAATTTTAAAAGTATTTAGAAGCAAAAGAACTTCAATTGTATTCACAAAATAATATACAGATTTATACAAAAAGATACTTAAGGTACATGATATAAATGCAATATATTTTATAAAATGGTCATTTTGCAGATTCACAAATTAAGAATGTGCGAAAATTTAAAAAAAAATATACAAATTGTATAGGTAAGAAAGAACTGGAATTAATAATCCGTTTTAGGCATAAAAATGGTTTTTGGTATAAATGAGATTATAACAATAAATTATAAAGACTCATCGTTTAAGTGAGCATTGTAAATTGTAATTTACAAAAATAAAAACAAGGATGGCAACAATAAAACATACATTAAATACTGTCTTTTTGTTCGAAATTGTTGTAATATTATTGCTTATTAATAAAGTGGCAGGAAAGGCAAGTGGCATGAAAATTTAAAGCTTACAACTTTTCTATCTGAAAATTAAAATTCCAGACTTTTAAAGTTCTATCCTAACACTAAGTAACTTGACAAGATTTAAAAGTTATAAGCCTCAAATTTCATCAAGAAAAGATGAATCTTGAATTTATTTGGCTTGCCTTTTATAACGTTTATCGTTGGATAGTGGCACTGATTCCTTCTTTCGTTGTTGTTGTTTAATCTGCTGCGGTAACGGTTTAGGTTTTCGACGCCCGGGCCTAGGGCCACATTGGCTATCACTATTTATTGGAGGACCTGGAATGAGAGGGAGGACTGAACAACCTGTAGTTAAAACTGGAGGAGGTGCATTAGGCAAACGTATTGGCAAAGGTTCGCATTGATTTATAATAGAGCAGCCTTCTAACGAATTGACAGGTTGTGTGTTTGATAGTGAAGCAGTTTGATCAGTCGAAATTGGCACTTGAGCACTAATTGAAGGCGCGGGATCAGTCAGTTCATATGGAGGTGGAGGATCTGCAGGAGGTACGGCAATCTAGAAAAGTATTTTTGCGTTACAAGCACTGAAAATCTTTTCTTACTGAATTTGACTGAATCAAAGGAGTTTCTGCGACCAAAGCAGAACTTCTAGAAGTAACATTCGCAACTTCAGGAACAGCAACCACGGAACGAGGAACAAGGTCACCTCTGGAAGTTGCGGGAGCTGAACGTGAGTGATTGTTTGTTGAGCGTGATGGTCTCTCTCGTTCATTGCGTTGAGGCACAGGTCGATTGTGAGACATCGCAGGTCGATTATTAGGTACTCCACCATGACCACGGCGCTAAAGAAAATATAAAATCTAAAAATTTTCAAATAATTATTACCAGTAGAGTGCCAGGATGACGTAAAGTATCAGAAAAATTTGCAGGGGGCAACTTGTTTGGATTTGTACTTGGTGTGTGGACTAAAATAAGACAAAATGTATCACTAAAATTGCTTTTAAAGAAACCGGCGCAACATTTGACAAACAAAGCCATGAACATGAGAACTACGATTCCGACAAAGACGCAGCCCCACCAATTTTCCTTTAATTGATAAACGATTAAAGATATTTTCAACAAAAAAACCTTGACAAGTTGAGTAAACTCCTTAATTGCCTCACGATTAAAAAGTAAATTCTTCAAGCGTGCTAAAGGCCCATTTGAATCGACTGAACGACATTTTCGAAATATATCGCAATAACCCTTAATTAAGATTAATAAAATAATTTAGCAAAAATGTAAATTTTTGCTATAAATGTAAATATATACCAAATAAAAAATGTAAATATATACCAAATAATTATTACATGGCGAGCCCGGAGGAAGAAGTAAGAAGCCTGCGCTTCGACCCTCCTGTGATAAATTTGCAAGCGCCAACTCTGGAAGACTCACAGAAGGAAGACATACTAAAATAAAACTAGTTTGAACAAATTTACAAGGAAGAAAAATAACCGCCATTCTTTTCACAAGCAAGCTGACAAAGGTCTTCAGGCCTGCCTTCGGTCAAGAAACAATCTCGCAAGTTGTAATGTGCACATAAAGAACCATTACAGCTTCCTTGATGACAAACCTGAATTAAGAAAGATTACGAAGATGACTAGAAATAAGCAAATACCTTTGTGCTATCTTGACAAGGCTTCCCGTTTGGCTTGTGATTGCTAGGTGGACAACTAGCTCTAGAACCATCACAAAATTGACGATGTTGACACTCTGAATCTTCCTAAAAATGGGATTAATGTATGAAAATAAAAATCAGTAAATTACACGACAAGGACGGCGATCACCACCGGCATAAAATGAGCAATTGTCCGGATTACAACATAATCCTTCAGAAGGACTGCAAAGTTTGCCAGGCTTTCTGCGACACATTGTAGACATGAAAATGTTTAAATCAGTAAAAAATAAAATTGGCAATTTAAACTAACTCAGTAGCTCCCTCTCTTGGAGTACAACATCGATCTCCCATCTCCTGACAATCTAAAGCTGTAAAACCACAATCACATTGCTCGTCATCCTCTTTGATTTGATTGCCACAGAATGATTTCAACTCTGTTTGTAAAAATAAATGAGTCATAAAAGATAAAAATTGTGCTTACGATCCGTAAAACAATTCTTTTTCCTCCCAAGTGTGAAAGCTTTCGGACTCTGAAAATTAAATTAAAGGAATAAGTAATCCAGTTAAAATGTTAGCAAACCTGTCCAAGAACCTCGAATAAGACTTCACTAATATTTGCAATTGAACATTGTGAAAATTTTGAGTTATTAGGCTTGTCACCTAAATAGAATAGTCCTAAATAGAGTAGATAAAAAAGAAAAACCAGAAGTTGCTGAAGCAAACATAATAAAATTTCCATCAGGAAGACCAGGCTGACACTCTAATGGAAAATCATGCTAAAAGAAATAATTTTAAAAAATCGATACAAAACATACAGGTGAACCAAAATTGTGACCAATCTCGTGCGCTAGTGTTAACTGTGAAACACGAGGCGGAACTCGATTACCATAATTTACTAGTGTAATGATTCCTGTATTTAATGAACGGCTAACACCGCCACGCTGATGTTCGTTGTAACGTTGATATTTTTGGCAGATTCCACCAGCCGTACCTAAAAGGGAATTCGAGTATAACCTTTAAGAAAAAATAATACTTTGAGAAGGTGATGCGACCCATGCTAAACCCAAAGTTCCACCAATAAAATCCCGATAAGTTAAGGAATAAGCCAGACAAAAAGCACTATGATCTTTTTGCGAGTTCATATTCAAGTAGTTTGACACGTCAACATTCTCCTCACAAAAAGGATTCCCTGTAGTTGCTGCTCTTTCGCCCTTGCAAGTTGATGGCGTATAAATTGTAGTTCGCTTGATTGCAAAATTGATTCCATGAATTCCATTAAAATTGGTACTTTCGTAAATTTGGTTTACAGCCTTGATATGAGTGTAAAGGAGAGCAACAATTTCCTCACGAGTTCTAAAATACGGACCATCACAAATAAAGCCGAAAATATAACCTGATATGATCGCCATTCCCTTCCTTGTTATAGATGTGCTCATATAATTTGTGATCAGCTTGAAGATATATAGTACATGTACGCGCCTCATAAACTCTGAAAATTGAGAAAAAATTTAAGCAAATCTAATGTAAAAACCTTCGACCGCCAACATCTTTCCAATCGGTTTTGATTGAACGTTTTGTTCTATTAGCTGTATAATACCTTTAAAAAAATACTATAAATGAATAAAAAATCCACTGTAAAACCTTTGATTAAAACTATTATGCATTCGCTCAAACTCAAGATCAAGGATAGTCAGATTATTCAAATTATTTTCGGTGAGAATATATTCATCGTCAATTGCTGATTGTTGAAATTTTCTCATATTCTGGTGTAGTTTCTTTGTCAGCGCACAGCTGTGATGAGCGCCTAAAAGAAAAATTCTATGATCTAAAAGTAATCTGAAATAAACCGCTATTAGGGTCCTTCTTTATAAAACGATTATGAGTAATATGTTCATCTGCGTATACAATCGAATGGAAATGAATCGGCCGTTGACCAATGTCGAAATATCTATTGGCTTTTTCGACAGTGAATGTTTTTCCATCACCGGTTGTTATATAACCATCGAATATGCCATCAAGCAATGTGCCATAAACTAATGAGTTTGGGTCACCTTAAAGATTGTAATAAAAATTAGACTAAATTAAGTCATAGAAGTTAAATATACCATCAAGATATCCTTCATAAATGAAGTCAGAAGGCCTTATCACATTAGAATGGTAAATACCGTCGACATCAATGATATGGCTATCATCAAATACATTTTTGTTAAAATTTAATGGTTGGAGTTTTAAATGAAATGTTCTAGAAAATGAAAGGGTGGGTCAGAAATTAACAAATAGTATATAAAAGAAACCTGTTGTATGTATGAGATCTGAATTTAACATCCGTAGTAGAATGACTGTTTAATTCACGGCTACGTCGAAATTGAACAGGTTTATAACTGAGTTGTTCATAGGTATCGAGATATATATTAAGGCAAAATACTAAAATTAAAGCTTAAATAAATAGGTAAATCAAAGTAAGAAAATAACCTCGTCTTTAGATAAATTTGAAAAATACCTGAGTTGAAAGCAAGAAGATTGAAAAATATAAAATGAAAGTAGAACATTAATTGTGATAAGTTGATCAAATTCAAGCTGAGATTGTGTCTAAAATAAAAATTCAGGTTTTTCCTGTAAAGCACTAGCATTCGCTGGAATATTTCCTTCCAAAAAACATTTTCACACGTTGAAATCTAAATTTTTAAATTTTTTAGGCTATGAAAAATCTGATTTTTCAATTGTTTTGAGTAATCGACAAAATAACAATAGTTGACACTTTAACATTTACCAAGATGAAATTTAACAAAGTTAATTTTGTATTGTTGCGCAAATTTTATGTTCAAATGTTTTTGGCGTCACTTTTTTCCGAAATCTGGATTTGTATCGATTTTCGTTAATCTCCGGAGATTACGCTTTTTTGTCATTTTTTTTTCATTTTTTCATTTATATCATCTGTTTTTTAATTTTTATTCGTTTATTCGTTGACCCCAATGCTGCGCGCGCTTAAAAATTGCTAAAAAAATTTTTAAAAATTTTTTAAAAAATCTAAATTTTTTCAAATTGAAGGCCAGTCCCGACGTCTGCACATGCTTCTTCTGGATGGCTGGCCGGTTAAATTTGCTTTTTTTGTTTTTTTAATTTGAGTTTGAAATTTTTTTAATTTGTTAGGCGCCTTCGACCGTGCTCTACATGGTGGTATGTGGTGGCCCTGACTGGATGGCTTCATCCAAACGGTGGGTTTTTTCCTAGTTTATTTTGAACTTTTTAATTTAAAAATGAAATTTTTTTATTTTTATGTTTGTTCTTCGTGTGGTGGCCTTTGGAGAATATGCTGATGGCCTTCATGGTGGTGGTCTGGTGGCCTGTTTTTTTTAATAAAAAAATTTTTTTTTTAATTTTTTTAAAAAGTTTTGCTTCTGGTGGTGGTTTGGTGGCTCTCAACATGCTTTTGGTGGTTGGTGGCTCTCTTCATGCTTGTGGTGGTGGTTTGGTGGCTCTCAACATGCTTTTGGTGGTGGTGGCTCTCTTCATGCTTGTGGTGGTGGTTGGTGGCTCTCTTCATGCTCTTGGTGGTGTTGGTGGAATATGGTCGGGGTGTGGTTTTTTATTAAAAATTAAAAAAAATAATAAAATTTATAATGGGAGGGGGTGATTTTTAGCCAGGTTCGTTCTACTCCATGCACTGGTGGTGGTGGTGGTCGTCTACATGCCCGTCCTCGTCTACATGCTCTTCCTGATCAACCCTTGGCCCGGTAAATCTTCAAATTTTTTAAATGAAAAAATGCAATGCTAAAAATGTGCGAGCGAATGACCCCACCCTTTCTTCATTTTCTTGTTTTTTTTGTCCTTGTCTCTTTTGTCTTTGTTTTTTTCAATTTTCTTGATTTCACGATTTTTTGAAAGTTTTAGCTCAACCAGTGGTATGGATGGTATGGACAAAGCAGAATGTGCTTCAATGGATGGAATCAGTTTTTGGAGGTTTTTAGTTCATTTGGGGGGGGGGGGGAGTTTTGTGGGGAAAAGCCTGGAGAGGGCAGAGGGGTCGTTTATTGATTTTCGTTACCGGTCTCTCTGCCGTGTTTTTATCGATTTTATTTTTGGCATTCTGTTTAATGTCAATTCATCCCATTTAAATTAGGTACATTTGAGTCTTCACCATTTGAGTCTTGCACACATTCATCTTCAACAACTTTTTCTTCATTTACCTTAACCCATTTTTTAACTCCGATCGAGATCATTTGTTTTAATTTTGCGCGTATTTCCTTCTTTTTCAACAGAATTTGATTGATTTTTAATCTTTCGCGTGTTTAATTGAATACTTTTTCAGATTTTAACATTAACTATCTTTTAACTACTAAAATGACTACTCTCCTAATTACTCCAACTTTAAATTCAACTAATCAAGTTGCTCTCAGTTTTGCTCTTCATTTACTGAAAGCTGGCCGATCTACTAATGAGAACAGACAACTCTTTGCTTTGGTTTCGCCTAAAGATGGAACGAAGATTTCAAAATCACTGGAACCTTATCTTGAGGGAGGTCAACTCAATATTTTGTTTGGCTCTGCTAATTCTCAAAAGATTGTTAAGAAAGTTGTCGAGGTTAATGAGGTTTGTGATTTAAGTTTGGGTATTGTTCAGGGTCAATAAAAGCTTCTGGGATTGCCCCGTTTGTCTCTGGTTATCTGGCTATCCTTATGACACAAGATTCAAGATCGAGTACTTCAGATTCCGTGGACCACTCTCTAGGTTCTCCGTGAGATAAGATTCAAGACCGTGATACTTCAGGGTCCGTAATTTGCCAGTTTGTCCTCTCTGGTTCTCTTTGTGGGATAAGATTCAAGACCGTGTACTTTATTTTCCGGGGACGGCCCGTTTGTTTCTCTCTCTGGTTTCTCTGTTAGATAAGATTCAAGACTGTTACTTCGGGTTCCGCGATGACCCATTTTTCTCATGTTTCTCTGTTAGATAGGTTTAAGACCGGGTACTTCAGGGTCCGTAATTGGCCGTTTGTCTTCTGTAGTTTCTCAGTAAGATAGCCTCAAGACCGTTTACTTTAGTTGATTAGCTTCCCTTGTTCCTCTATTCATCTTAGTCCTTAAAATTATTTTTTACAGATACGCTCAGTTTTTGTCATAATAGACGAGGAAGGTAACATTGCAGACGAGGAAAACAAGCAGCATTCATTCCTAACATCTTTGTGTTCGCTGCTTGACTGTCTTAGGCAAACTAATGCAATTCCTTCAATTGTTGTTCTCTTCCATTCTTTTGGTACTGTGAAGGAGGAGTTTTTTCTTCCGCAATTTGGTATTTTTTAAAATTTATAAAACTGCGCCCTCTGTTTATGCCTTTGAAATTTTCTCAGTGGGCAGCGGAAACTGTTGAGAATGGTTTCATTTATTGTCCAGGATTCTTTTTTGAAAAAATAAGTTTTTAGCTAACTTTACTCTTTATTTGTTTCGAACTCTTATTCTAACCTGAATGTTTGAAATTGTCAGAGATCAATAGTTTTTTGAGAAAATCGTTTGCGTTATGCATTCCATTTCTCGTCTTTATTTTTAATAAAGCTTCCATTCTCGTCTTTATTTTTTAGAAAGATTATATGCTTTTCCCACAAATATTCGTGTATTTTTTAAACTAGCGAACAAAAAATAAACATCTTAAATTTATTTAATATGGGAATTTCGAATTTTAAAGTTCAAATGTCTTCTTTAATGTTTAGTTTTCTTTTTAATCGACATTCTTTGCTCATTTTTATACAAGTTAAAAAAATATTGGACACTTGTCATCATTTTTCATTTCTTTCTTCCATTTTTCATTTTTCACTCTTATTTATTGACAACAAAAATGTCATTTTACTAGTAAATAATCCGAAATTAAAAAAAGCCACGTTTTAACTTTTACAATAAATTCCAATATTTTGGAAACTTGTCTAAAACAAAAGCATTCATTCCTTTCTTTTTTTCGTTTAAAAAGTTGTAAATGAATTTTTCATATTTTATGTTTTTGGCATTGCTTACGTCAAAAATATTCCATTTGCCTTATTAGACGGTGAATGTTTTTGTTTAAACTTTTCACAAATTAAATTTTTGCAAAGTTTTCATTAATCTTAAACATTTTTAAAAGTTTACCTTTCTTTCAAACTATCATTTTTTAATTTTTCAAATTACTATCCATGTTTACTCTCTTATTCTTACAAAATTAAATCCTTGGTCTTTATTTGTATTTTTTTTAATGTTTTCTCGTTTCTTGCCAAACGAAAAAAGCAATTAACTAAATTTATTTTACTCCAACCAATTACATTTACTCTATATCCATTTACATAATTCTTTCTCTAACCATTTTCTAAATGCTCAAATCTGCCTTTCTAGATTACGTACTTTAATACTTCCGATAACGGATTTTCCCTTTTTTTATTAAAATAATAAAATTGTGCACTTTTTAATTATATTATTGTCATGCATTGCAATATAAAGTGGATTTTTTACGAGTTGTGCACTGACATGAGCACATTGAATTTTTACGCCAATTAGAGAAGTAATTCACCCCACAAAGCTCTTTCCGAGGGCAACATCAATTCTGCTCTACCTCATATACAATGGGGTAGAACTCTATTCTCTTTTTGCTTTTTTTATTTATTTGTCCTCAGCGCCATTATTTTTTTCATTAAAAGGACACCGCTAGTATTGCCGCCCTTTCGCACGTTAAAAAAATTTTTTTAATGAATTAATCTACTTTTTTTATTTTAACTTTTTTAGGTGAATTATGCGTAAACGAAGAAGAAAAACAACAGCTTTTTCTATCAACACAAGTGAACTTCTTCGTCTTTATTTTAAATTTTCTTCACATTCTTGCCTTACTTTTTTATTTTGTTGTTTTTTCTGCCTAATTGTTTATTGCTCTTCTGTTCATGGACGATCTTCACCTGTTGCTCTAACGGATGTTCTAATTCAAACTACTTTAGGAAAAATTATTGGGTTTAAACAGGTTTTGAGTACTTTTTAATTTATCTAAATCTATTTTATAGAAGTTTGATGGAAAATCTGTCCATACGTTTCTGGGCGTTCCGTATGCAAAAAGGTTTGCTAGAAGCATTTTAAAGTAATATTTATTCAAATTTTCAGGCCAACTGGTTCAGGTCGATTTGGGCTTCCTGAAATGGTCAGTTTAAAAAACATGTTTACTAACATCTCAACAAAATTTGATTAAAGTGATGATTTTATTTCAGATTGAACCTTGGGAAGGAGAATTCCGAGCAGATAAACCAGCTAGAACATGTTTCTTTTCCAGAGGTTTTCATAATTTTTTCCTCTATTCGTAAATATTTTTTTAATTTCAGATACCATGTTTCCAGATTTTCCTGGTGCAGAAATGTGGAATCCGCCTAACGATATTGACGAGGATTGCCTTGCTATGAATATTTGGGTTCCTGAGCATCACGATGGCACTGGTGTGTATATATTTAATTAAATGTTATTTACCTTTTTAGCCTTTAATCTTTCAGATTTTTTATTTTAGTTCTTGTGTGGATTTATGGAGGTGGATTTTACTCGGGCTCTCCTTCTCTTGATTTATACGATGGGCGAGTTTTGGCTGTTCAAGAGCGTGCAGGTACTTTTATTAGTAATTTTAAGCCGAAATTTTCAGTTGTTATCAATATCAATTATCGGTTAGGCCCTTTTGGATTTTTGTATTTTGGGGATGATACATCAGTTCCTGGCAATATGGGACTACAGGACCAACAAATGGCTTTGAAATGGATACATGAACATATTGCCCATTTTGGTGGCGATCCTCGACGTGTTACTCTTTTCGGTAATTTTATAATTTTTCATGTGTAATAATTTTACATCATAGGTGAGAGTGCGGGTAGTGCTTCAGCAATGGCACATATGTTTGCTGATGGAAGGTTTTTTTTGATAGAATATTGTTTTAAATTTTCTGTAGTTATTCTCTTTTTTCGCGCATTATTGCACAAAGTGGGTCAATCATTAATAATTGGGCTACAAAGCCAAAAGCTTCCATCCTTCAAATTTCTCTGCAATTGGCGCATCATTTGAAGTGCAGCAATGGAAATAACTCTACTAAAGCGTAAAAATAATTTTTAAACTTAAAATTTTTTTTATTTTAATAGGATGCAGAATATAGTGGAATGCATAAAACGTGTACCAACAGCAATTATTCAACGGGCTGGTGATGCTGTTTCTCAATCGTTAAGCCTCCCAATGGATTTTGCATTTGTTCCAATAGGTTCAATTTTATTGTTTATTCTTTGGTTATTTTTTATTTTTAAAAGATGAAGATACGCACTTCTTTCGTGGTAATGTTTTCGACAAATTGCGCCGAAAAGATTTCAAACGTGATGTTAGCATTCTTGTGGTATTTTTCTATTTTTTTTATTTTTAATGTTTTTGAATGTTTAGGGGACTGTTCGAGATGAAGGAACTTACTGGTTGGTTTTCTTGTTACCATGAGCTTTTAATTTTTAACCTTTTTTGTGTAGGTTGCCCTATTGTTTACAAAAAAACGGGTTTGGCTTTAACCATACAATATCTCCTGAGGATCATATAAACCAGGCATTGATAACTGAGTAAGATTTAAAAATTATTTTTTAAAGATTTTTTTAATAATTAGAGCAGATTACAGCAAAGCTTTTGATGCATTTCTTCCTTATTTTGGCAATTCAAATGTAAGAAAATAAAGAAAAATTTTATTCGTATTTTTTTGTAAGCTGGTACGTCATGCCCTAATGCACGCATATTCACATCTGCCTACAGAAAAGCAAGAACAAAGATGGCGGGATGGTGTTGCACGCTTTCTGGGTGATTAGTAAGTAAACTTGGATTTTTTTATTTTACTTTAAAATTTAGTTTCTTCACGTGTGATAGTATTGAGTTTGCTGATATTGTGTTTGTTTAAAAACTGCTTAATTAATTTATTTAAAATATTTAGCTCTGATGAATTGTATGGTTCTGTCTACAGTTTTTATTTCACGAGGCGATCATCAGTTTATTTTTAAAATATTTTGATTAATATATTTGAATTTACAGGCAAATCCTTGGCCACAATGGATGGGAGCAATGCATGGCTACGAAATTGGTATGATTCTTTAATTTTGTGTCCATTTAATAGTTAAAAATTTTATATTAGAATATGTGTTTGGATTGCCTTTGAGAAGCCCACATCTTTACGATCCGTCAGAATTAGAATTGGAAATATCTTTTTCTACAAAAATTATGGAGTTTTGGGGACATTTTGCGCGAACTGGGTTAGCTCAATCTTTATAGTATAAAGTTTGAAATATTTGTTTTTTAGGGAACCTGTAGAATTTTGGCCAAAATATAATCGAATAACGCGAAAGTATAATTTTCATTTTTCTTTAGTCAATTAATTTCTCTTTAGATCTTTGGTTCTAAGCGAGGAAATTGCTACTGGCACTAGTCATCGTATTTATGTAGATGTACACGGAAAACTTTGTAGATTGCTTGAGGAAGCTCAAGCGGTAGCTGGAATTACTGGAGGTTTCTTAAGTTTTTTATATTTTTTCTATACGTTCTTCTTAGAACAGAGGTCCCGTATTTGTCCCGACGGTCGTTCAACTACAGTTAATTATGGACAAGAGATTTCAATGGAAGATGTTAAAGAAGAAATGCAACTAAATAGAGGAATCGGTGGTATTAATAGAATTCCTTCTAGCAAAATTTATATTTCACTAATAATTTTATCATTAGCGTTATTAAGATCTCCTGAAATATCTTTCCTGTATTCATCATTTATTTTTAAATAAAATTCAAAATTTTTGGTAAATTTAATTCTGAAAAATTCGCTGCCTTCGATTTTGATTTAAATTTTTTTCCTATTTAATTTGACAAATAATCTTTTTTTCAAATTCTATTTAGGTAAAAATTATTGAAGAAAAATCTACACTAATTTTGGACAAGGTTTGTAATGAAAATTGATATGGTCCCCTTGTTTATCCTTTCACATAAATGTTTTCCGCTCATTTTATATAATTTATTGAGCGACGCACGCATGAGTTTCCCCTAATTTTTACTACACTATATCGCCCGAGTTTTACATTCTCTGTCATAAACATTTCACTTTTTTTATTCTCTACCTTGGTTAAAAATGAAGAAAATGCTTTAAGACGCTTCTTCTAAAATCCATATCCCCCTTTCATACTCTGTTAAGGCATTTGTTTGTGAGTAGTAGTAGTAGTACTAAATTCCAGCTGTCGATTCTCGCTTACCCATAAAGGATTAAGCGCTATAGGAAAGGAGGTCACCAGTCCATCTTTTCTCCTCATTTTGCAACTCGCTGTTAAATAGTGAACAATCCTTGTAACTCACAAATTCTTTCTTTTTAGAGGCACACATGCTCGGTTAGACAGCCTCCTTTTCTCAAAATTTAGTAGCTTCATTCACTAGTCAAAAACAAAGGGAGCTTTCGTTTAAATTCCAAATAATAATTTGTTTACAAAAATACAGATTTTGAATTATTGATTTTTCAGCTAAATTTAATTTATTCAATGGGTGATCTTTACAACCTAAAATTATTATCAACAACAGCTACAACAACAGATAACAACAATTCCAACTTTTGGCCACCAAATATTGATGAGCGCGTTGCGCATTTAGACTTTGGAACGTCGACAATGGAAGATGTTGGCAATACTAGCGCATTATTTGGTAGTGTAATTGGTGGTGATCCACGGCTTGTATCAACTGATTCTTTGGATATTGAAATGCTTAGAATGAGATGTGAAAATAATAAACAGAATGACTACAAATTAACTTTCGAGGATGATAGTGGGCAGTGGACAACAAGTGGTATTGGAGCAAGCTTTATGACAAATGCAAGTGCAAGTCCTACAGCATTGCAAACACGGAAAGCTCTTCGATGTTTTCGGGGAAAAGAAGGCGAACAGGTTAGCGATGGAGTGGTTTTTTTCAATATTATTATTTTTCAGACAACTTATAATCAACATCATCCAAGTTTGAGATTGTTAGAACGATTAAATTCTGTTGATGATGAAGATTCAGCAAAAATCAATGAAAGGAGAAAGATTGGCAGTGAGAAATGGCGAGATAAAATATTGGATGAAATATTTAATAATAACAACGGCAGCACCAGCTTTTCTCAAATCTACAAGAATTCTAATAATAAAAAACCATCAGCAATAACCTGGGGAAGAATTGGTTGTAATTTTGAAGCGGCAGGATCAGAATCTAATGAACAACTTTCGCGACCGCTAGCTTTTGATTCTGACAAAGTTAACAGGTTAATTAATTTTTTAATCAATCTTATATCAAAATCAATTTTAGTTTACCTGTTTTGCACACTAATACAAGTGGACAAAGCCATGGACAAAGTAAAAATAATGCTTTCATCAAAGGAGACTCTTCACCGGCAGTTGCTCCCTCTCAAAGTTCAAGAAGAACGCAAGCAAAAATTGATTTTAATGATGATGGAAATGAGGATTTAAACAATGAGTATTCTGAATTTTACCTTGGAGATGGACGCTATATTGACATGAATCACAATGGTTTGATTTTAAGATTACATATTTCGATTATTATTTTTTTTCTTTTAAGAGATTGGATTTACTCCAAATAACACAAATCAAATGAAGCAACATGACATCAAGCAAAATCTTCAGGCTGCAAACAAACTTCAGAAATGCGAGGACACTAAAAAACAACAATTACCCAATCGTCAAACTACTTCATTGGCATTAACATCGTCGGCAAACAATACTAAAAAGGAAATGCCTAGAACCTTTGCAGATCTTTCTCCAAGCAAAACTGCGCCAGATTTACAATTTATTGCATTGTCATATAAGGTTAGGTTTAAGTTTCTAGTGTTTTATTTTGATAGAAATTAGTCTTGATTCCCACGAATATTTCTTATTTACTCTTAAGAGTTATTTTTTCACTTTTAAGGTTCCATCAATTACAAATTCTTCAACAATTGCCGCTACAGCTTCTTTCGATGATCTATTGAAACAAGCAAAAGAAGGAAATCTTGGCGCTGTTTTAGAATGTTATCCATCAGAAAAGATGCTTTTTGAAGCTGGTAGAGATGATATTTGCGAGGATGTAGCACCTGATTCTGGGTTAGGATCTTCACATTCAGAAGGTTTGTTACACTTTCTTTTTAATTGATTAATTCTATATTTTATAGGACCTTCACATATCGAAGATTGGCATTCACTCTCTGTGCTTTTGCCAAGGTTCATTTTTCGTTTGATGAATAACAGCTAATTTAAAATTTTTTAGACATGTAGTTGATGCCTGCTCCTTTTTCAAAACCAACAGTTTCCTTCTGGGTGTGAATGATAATAACATTGATAAACGACGTTGTTACTGTTGCCATGCCTCTACAATTGGTTCTGGAAGAAGATTTTATGAAAATAAATGGCAAAAATTGTTGAATCATAAACAGAACAAAAATGAGTGTTGCTGTTGCGATAATGAGGCGTGTGTCAAAAGTTCAATCGCAACATTTAATCCACAACGCCATCGTTTGAGAAGCAACACTTGTTTGGCTTCAACTGTTACTGATGATTTGTTTTTCTCTTCTTATCCAATTGGAAGTTCTTCAACTTCGCATGAAAATTATACACTGAAACGTCTCCATCAACGCGAGTTGGCGATTATTGGCTTGCCGATTTATGAGCAAAAACGTGGAATTGTTGAGCGTGTCGTCGCTGGTGTTGGAGAACAAGTTCGAGGAGCCCCTACATCTGTGGTTACTTTTCTGGGTTTAGTATTTTTACCAACAAATTTTTAGGTATTGTTGGCAGCATTGGAGGCTTTATTTGTAGATGGTCTTCATTCAACTATTCAACCATGGGATGTTATTAGACAATTAACGGGAAAAGGTTTACTAAATTTTTTTGAATTCATCAATTTAAAAATTCGTTTAGGACCTGTCACGGCGTCAATTTTTCAATTATGCGAGGAGCTTGAGGTTTCAGAGAAGCCGAAAAATTCTCTTGTCAGTCATTTCTTTCAAGGATTAATTGCGCTTCATTCTGTTGATTGCTGGTAACTTTTTATGATTTTATAAACTTCTTTTGAATATTTTTTTCTTCAGGTTTTCCTATATTGTGCTGAAGGAGCATCAATTACGTAAATTTTATCTTGAAACTTCTTTTCTTCTTGGAGCCAATACTTCATATAGATGCCTTTTTGCCCGTTTTATTGACTATCTAGAGTTATTGTCAGTGCTCAATCTTTGCAATAGAAGAGGATCATTGTCGTCAAATAAAAAATTTAATAAAAAACGCCGCCCATTAGTGACAACATCATCTTTGGGAGTTTGTGAAAGAAATGTTGCTGTTGATAGTGTTGCGGCAAAATTACCAAGTGATTCACGTGTTCCAAAAAGCTCGTCATTACCATCAAGGATAACATTGAATTCAAATAATGTTGCGGTCAAGGATGAGAACCCTCCTCACAATCAGATAAATAAAGGTTTTTTTAAAGTTGTTGAACGATAAAAACAAAATTTCATTCGTAGGGGAAGGTGAAAAAATAAATGCGTCGGTTCCAAAAAAGCGACGATCAATGATTCCAGTGCTCAGGTTTTTTTAATTTTTTCAAGTTAGAACTTTACTTTTTTTAATTTAAAGTTCGCGAAGCAAATCAAATGCCACATCTTATTATCTTCATGTTTATCATTCACGAAGTAGTTCAAGGCGATCAACACCAATGCATATTTGTAATGTTAAAGAAAATGTTTCTGAAGAAGCGACAAAAAATAAAACAAAAAAAGGAACGCTTTTGAATGCACATAAAGGAGAACAAATTGGAGTTATTTCAGTACGTGGCCCATATTCACGATGTGTACGTCTTGGTTCTGAAGATGGAAAATTAGTTTTACGAAATGGTGTGATACCTACTGACAAATTAGAGTTTCTTCATACTGACTAGAAAAGAAAAATACAAGAATGGTGCTTTGGTATAAAAATAAAAAATAACTATGGGACGCAAAGTCTTGGGAATCTCTTTTCCCTCTTTTACTAATATAAGGACGCAATTACATATTTAATTTTTTTCTTTTTTTATTCCTAAAAAATGATTATTATTTTTTTTCTTATTGCACAAGACAAACGAATTTATTTAATTCTAGTCGGCACAAAAATTGTTGCTTATATATAATTTTTTAAATGTATTGTGTATTTTATTAAATTAACAAAAAACAAATATGTATATGATGCGGAAAGGATATCGCTTATAAACACAATAAAATCTAAATTAAAAATTCAAAAAATGACAGATGACTGTAGCTAATATATTCATAAGCGATATCCTTAGCCAACGGGGTCAGTGCAATAATTTTTTTAATTTGTAAAAATTTCTAAAAGGAATATATAAATTACACTGATGCCTCAATAATTCAACTCTCTATATTCTAAACGTTTAATCTTTTGAATAAAAATTTTTCGCTCGTTAAAAACATTCGAGAAATGAAAGGGTTAGTTCCTTCAATTTTACCTTTCTAATCGTGACAAAAAATTTTGGCGAAATGTCCGTTGACGAATTGTTCCCTGGCAAAATGTCCGTTGGCAAACAGTCAGCTTGTCTTTAAATAGTTTTGGTTTTTTGTAATTTTTTATTTTTCTTTTTTCGTTAGGCGTTAAACTTTTTGTTCAAATTCTTTCGATTTTTTTGATTATTTTAAGGTGTTTATTAAATTTAATTGCAACTTTTAATTAAAAAATGAGTCAAGATCAAGGTCAGAGTGAGGAGATTGTCAAAACGATTCAAAACTTGGGTAATTTTTGTTTGAATATAATTTTTTTATCTGAATATATTTTTAGTTGAAAATGAGGAGGTTTTGCGTGCTAAAATTTCATTTGCAACTATTGTTGAACAGAGTAAGAAGAAGATTGTTTTCTGCACTTAACTAATCCGACTTTTTTAAGAAATGAGCGAGAGATTGGAACAGCTTCGTGTTTCCAGAAAAGAGGAGAATGCCAAAATGGAAGCTCAAAAGAAACAAATTGATGTTTTGGAGAAAGCTCGTTATTATGCTGTGTGTCATGAACATAAGTATGATTTTAGAATTAGATTTAAGCTTCAAAGCTCCTTTTTCAGTGTTGGAACCGAACTGAAACGTAAGCGGACTGTTATGGGAGAATTTAAAAAGCTGGTTGAGAGTAATAGTGCGGTTAGTATTTGAGGTTAATCTTTTTTGATTTGTACTTTCAGGCGGATCTGTCCTCGGAGCTTTGCGAATTGGAGTTAATTAAAGAAGATTTTTGTAGTCAAAAGGCTCGCGCTCCATGGCTTCCTGAAAAACAGGCAATTTTGGGAGAATTAAAAGTGCATGAAAACGAATTGGTTCGTCTTCAAAATGAAATTACTCGTACTAATGGACTTATTTCTGAACGTGAGGATTTATTGGCAAAACACAAGCAGCTTCCATTCAAAAATTTTTGTGTTACTTTGGCGAATTATTTGCATAAGACTAGACAAATGGATAATGCAATGAAGAATGAGTTGAAAATTCAGGAAACGGTATGATTTTATAAAAAATTGAGGGAATATTTATTATTTTATTTTAGCTTTTGGAAAAGACAAAAAGATTGGAGCATGAGGCGATCCAAAAAGTTCCGGGGATTAATCAAGATGAGGAAATTGATGTTGTTAATGTTCAGGAAGTTGTTGAGAAGGCTCCAGAATCTAATGTTGAACGTGTTGTGAATCACTCTCCTGCTGTTACAAACCATTCGCCTGCAATTACTGTTAATCAATCTCCTGTGGTTATCAATCAATCTCCTGCAACGGCCAATTCATCGAAAATTACTCAGCGATCAAAATTTACTCCGGACCCAATTGAAAAACACATGAATACGCCAAATAGAGTTTGATTTTATTTTTAATTTCTAATTAATTTTCTTCCGTTTTTTCAGTCTGTTACGGATATTATACAAACTGGGACAAATGATGAGCAAGCTAATAATGTGATTGAACAAGATGATGATCTTCTGATGCATTTTAATGGAATTGATGTTTTTCAAACTGGTGGTAATGAAGAAGGTGATGATATTATGCCAGCAGGCGGTGTTACATCAAACTTTTCTTTTGGGTTCAATTTTAATTCGCCAGCTCGTGGAGAGACAACTCATAATAAGGATACGCAGAATGAGGAAACTTTTGGGTTTAATTTCAATTTTTGATTTAATTTTATGAATTTATGTTGCTTTTAATGTTGCTTTTATTTTTTGATTTTATTTTGTTTGATTTAAAATTTCAGTTTTTGTTGTTTTGAACTTTCAGTCTTTGTTGATTTCCTGGTGTTATAAATTTATTGCTTTATTTTCTTTTGTTCTTAGTTTTTTCTTCTCTAAATGCTTTAACATTGCATTTGTATTTTCTTTAAGATTTTATTTTTTTCGCTGTCCATTGGTTAGATGCGATGATTTGTTTGTTTTGAATGGTTGATCTTTTGATAGGTTATTTTTAAGAGCTTTTCAATTACTTAATTTTCAGCTCTGAGAGAGTATCCAGAAGCTGTAAAAATTTTTAAGAGGTTATTTTTAATTATTTACTATGGTTTCGAGAGTATTTTTTAGGCCGGTGAATTGTTGCGGAAAGACAGTCTATTTGATGAGTATGCTTTAGAAGACCAAGAATCAGAAAAATCACTGGAGAACTCAAATCTTTTGTTAGACTGGTGGTGTTACGTCAATTTTTTGACATGTCCAATGTATAAAGGAGTACAGGTTTATATATGAAATTGGGGTTGGGGTTCAAGGTTAAGGGGGCCCAATTCTATCTGTTTTAAGTCTTTTCTTCCATCCCATTAATTCTCTTATATCATCATAATTCTTCACTTTATTGCTTGAATCGTAATTTTTGTTGAATATTTACCATTTTCCATGTGGTTGATCTTTTAAAAAATTGCGTTTATTCTTTCCAATCGACGCGCGATTATTCTAGAAGAAACTAGACTTTTATACAATATTACGTCAGAAATTTCTGCCTTAGGGCCTTTTTACCTTCGTCATTCATCATCTGTACTAATTTTTCTTTTTTCCACACCGCAAACGTGAAAATGGGTCATAAAATGAGAAAAAAACATCTTTGGTTTTTGTCGTCATTAAGCTATCAATTTTTACAAAAGATCATTGCTGTCTTTTGATCATAGAATTTTTATATCCTTTTTTATTTTTAATGAGCGCGTATATAAACAAAACTGACTCTATAGATAATTATAGTGAATATAATTAATTTTCCTTTTCTTTTAATTAGTAACTGGTTGTTTGTCTCTTATCTGTAGCTACGCATATTTATGTGATCAAACATCGTTACTTGTAAATATTTTTTAAAATTTTGTATTTTTTATAAAAAAGGATATATTCTAATCTTCACATAAAATACCAAATCTGTCAATTCTTTTGTCGTCTTGTTCTTCATTCTTCAATTTTTTTCGAACAATTTAAATTTTTTAAATAAATCTGACAACGCATAATCCATCATTTTTATCAAAATTTTTTAAAGTTTTTTATTATGATTTAAAATAATTTTTGGACCTTTTTTCAATCAAATTTTTTCAATAATTCTTCCGATTAATGGCCTTTAAAAATTCTCTCTTTGTTTGCCACGATTTTAATGTTTTTTATTTAAAATTCTATTTTTAGTTATGGGGAAAATTTTTAAAAAATTTTTGTTTAATATTTTTATAATTCTTTTATAATTTTATTTTCACTTTATAATCTTCATTCCTCTTCCTTCCAAAAAATTTTTTTGACTTTATAATATTTATTATTAAATTACTGCCCACAAACAAAAATAAATGCTGTTATTATTCTTTCCATATATAAAATTTCTTCTCTCTCAATTTATTTTTGTACAATTTTTTTTGAATTTCTCATTGGATTTGGTTTTATTTGCTTATATGTGTGAGTGTATGTTTACTTCTCCCAAGATGAAGCAAAACAATGTTTTGAGAGTAGTTGGGTTAGGGGGGAAAGAAAGAAAAAGGAATTTGCTTCATTTTATGTTTACGTGAGTGAAAATAAATTTTTTTAAAGCCAAAATAATTTATTTTAAATTTAATACCTCTCCAATATTCCGACTTCATTTTTCATTTTCAAAAAATTATTTTTCCAAACCTTTGCAACAATTGATTGACCAAGTAATTGATCTTCAATTCTTTGATATCTTCAATTCTTTGACTTTTATCAGAAAATTCCACAGATTCTGAAGATTCACTAGTAATTTTATTTTATTCATTTTATTCCTTGTTTATCTCCCCCTTATATTCATTAATTTTACACACATTAACAAAAAAGTGTGTATATTTGAAATAATAGAATGAACCCACAAACAAACACTCACACATTTCTTCTACTCCTTTCCTGTTTCCCCCCATATCTTTCTTTGCCCTCCACACACTCCTTTTAAGGCCAATTTAAAATTCGCGGACGAAAATTATATTTATATGTCTCGTGACTTTATTGGATTGGCCAAGCGAATATATTACTTTATTTTTTCGTTTTTTGTTCTCTTTTTTTTCTTCTTGTTCAAGTAATTTTTAAGTAAAGTTGTAAAGAAGGAAAAGTGAAAAACGTTCTAAAATTGTGTTGATTTTTCTTTAAACTTTTGAATTTTCTCAAAGATTTTTTAATTTTCCCTCCTATGTTTTTTCTAAAATTTTTCAATTTTCTAATTTTTTTCTTTCTATTGCTTTTCCTATTTTTTCCTGGTTCATTAAATTTTGTTTTCACTTTTTCCTCTTTGCATAATAAACAAATTTATCACTAAAAAGCAATTTAATTTTTATCTTTTTTTTTCAATTTTATTTTTTCACTCGCGACGGCGTAGAATATTTTTTTTTGTCACTTTTAGAAATTTATGGGGGAGTATTATATTTTTTTATTCTCACAAGAACGTGTAGAAAAAAATTTTTTTTGAAGTGTAGCAGTTAGTAGTGGAGGGGAGGAGGAAAGTGGGAAAATTAAGGGGGTAATTTTTTCGTTTTTATAGAATAAAAAGGGGGTTATTATAAGACGAAAAAAATTTTTTATTTTGCCCATCTTATATTCGTAGCAAAATGTTGTTTACGTCTTTTTTTATTTGCTACGAACAAATTTGGCGTGCATGTGTGCATTTCTGCGTCCCCATTCTACTCTTTTTAGTTAAATTGCTGCCAGCTGCTCGTATTTTTTTCTTTTATCTTTTTTGTCTTTATTTAAAAAAGACATTTTTTTGTCAGCCAGAAACGTAAAAAAATGTTCAAAAAATATTTTTAAAGTCCGGCAAAAATTTTTTTAATTTTTTAAAAACACTGAAAATTTATTCATTTAAAATATTCTCAAATTTTCTCTCTAAAATTAAAATTACTATTCATAGCGCGCTCACTTTTTTGGTGGTTGCTGTTTGGAGGGTTGGCTTTTGGCCGCTATATTTTTTGTGGCCATAAATCCTTCTTTTTTTCTTCTCTTATTTTTTCTTCCCTCTGAATTTTCCCACAAATTTTTTCTATTTTTATTTTTTTTCTTCACCAACACTTTCGTATATATTTATTTTTAATGGTTGAATCTACTCAAAACCATCAATTATATATTCTATACTTTTTGTACAATTCCGCTTGCGTTGACTGATTGTATTAAATTTAGAATTATTAAATAGTTGAAAGGAAAGTGCATTTTTATAAATAATTTAAACAAAGTTTTGGCAAAAATCTTTAGTCTAAAGAATTTTTTGTGTTTGTTTATGCTAGAATATTTAATTTAAGTTTTCTAAAAAATTTTTTGTTTGGGTGACAAAGTTTAAAGGGAAGAAAGGGAGAGAGTGTTGGGGGAATATAGCTACTAGAAGCTACTAGAATTAAGTAAAGGGAGAAATATTTATTTTTTAGAGAGGGCGTATTGTCTCAATTGTTTGCATTTTAGCTTTCTTTATAAGTTCAAATTTTTTATACAATGTGGGAATTTTTATTATACTAATTTTTTAATAAACAAAAAAATTTTTTCAATAAACAAAAGCTATATCAACAAAGTACTCATTTTTGTTGAATATTTTATTTTCTAATTATCCTTTAATCATCAATGTTCACTTGTTGTTTTTATCTATTCTTTATTGGAAAGTTTTGGGAAATAAAAAGAAGTTCCTGGAATATTTCGGATATCTGGGGACCTTCGGTTCTTCGATTCCGAACTCCCACCTCTTCTCTGGAATCCCTGACCATTTAGGGCTTTTTTGTTTGATATGGGGGGTCGATTCTGAACAGTTTTGTTGATTTTCCTCGGGGAATGTATTAAATATAGAATTATTAAATAGTTGAAAGAAAAAAGTAAAAGTAAACAAAAAGCTAGGATTTGATGATTCCTTCTCCTATTACCTTCCTAGGTCACTTAAAAAATATTTTTTTGTTTATTATTTTATCTCCCTCATTCAGTTGTTTATCTTTTCTCAATTCTATTGCTTTATTCTTTATTTACGTGAAAACTCTCAAAAATAAAACAAGTAAAATGCTAGGTTGGGCAGAATTGAGTGTATTGTTTATAAGAAAAATTTAAGTGGCAAGGGTGGGCGGACATGCACGCGCGAAAAAATTTTTTTTCACACTTGTATTTTTATTTCTAGCTTCTCTCTTAAAATAATTTATTTAAGGGGATGAAAGCTTTATTATAGAATTATAGATTTTTATAATGAGGTGTATGTAGGTGGCAAATAAAATTAGTTTTTTGGGGATATACAAGGGGGAGAATGAATTTTTAAGAAATTTTTTAATGTTAATTGACAAAAAATTTTTTAATCAAAAATTATCGGGGTCAGCCCTGACGACTTAAAACTTTTAAAATGAAATATAGAGGGATTAGCATACCCGGCTCTATGGGAGTAGTATCCAGTTTTACCTTTTAGAACTAATGGGGCGGTATTGCGAGCGTGTGCTATAACTCTCAGTTAGTCTATCCACTTCAATCACACCAAATTGATCCAAATCCCTCTAAATTTATCGACATTCACTTTTGATATTCCCTTTTAAAGATTGGAGGTCTTCAGGGTTAAACGGCATTGAGGGGATGTAGGTCTTCAGGGGTGAACTAATTTTATCTTCTATAAACTATTCTATAAACCATTCCATAAACATTTGATATATCTTTTTTTTTCTTCAATAAATCTCGTGCTTTTTGGCCAAATACTCACTGGGGAATATATTTATAGAAGAGGATAACGGATGTAGAGGGTTGTCACATATTCGATCCTTGGTCTATTTTGTTGCTCGCTCCTGTAAAATTTTTTTTCTTTTTTCTCTTCACAGTTTGTTGGGGCCGCATCCATCCTTCTATATAAAATGCCCTTCCACTAACTAGCAAGTTTTCCTCAACCACTTTTTTCTATTATTTTCGGCAGCATTTTCTTTCAGTTTTCCTCATTCATTCTCTCTCTTTTAATGTTTAGTTGACATTTTCTCTCTCATTTTTGCACATTTTATATCAGCTGCTATATTTTTTTGTTTAAAAATAATAAGAAAATCCAAAAAAGTTGTAGAGTTTTTTTTTGTGTTTTTTCTATAGCTTGAAAGGGAGTTAATTAATTTATTTTTTTTGAAGATTAAAAATGCTTAAAAATAGAGTTATGCTTGCAAAAAAGAGGGTTTTTTTCTTCTTTTATTGCTACCGGTATACTCATAAATTTTATTTAATTTTATTTTTGTGTGTAAAAATGATGTGGTGTGATGTGGGGTTGTCTTGAGAGAGAGCGAGAAGTTTGTTGGTTGATAACCGTTAAAAAAATTTTTTTGGGCCATGAAGAGAAAAATAATTTAAGGTTTTTATAAAGAATTTCCGTTCATAGAAATGATAAAGACCTTAAAAATTTTTTAAATTTATTTTCTAAATTTTCTATCCTTAATCTTTGGTCTTCCGTTCCCAACATTTTCTTTAAAAAACACAGATAACAATTTTTTTGAATAAGATGGGTTATAAATATTTTTTCTTCTTCCTTTTTTTCTCTACTCAATTATATTTTCCCTATTTTCTTCCTTTCAAGTTTCTGCAAAAAATCTTCACATTCATCTTTTCTCCTCCTCAATTTTCGACCGCCTGTAAATAAATATATTTATTTATTTGTGTGCTGCAAAAGAGAAGATTGCATCATCTTGTGACAGCACACACAACAACAGGAGTAGGGAGAGGTAATCGTTGCTGCCACACTCCTACTAAACTAACTAAAAAAACTCTTTATTTTCTACCTCCATCTACCTTTTTTTTACTAAAAATTTTTATTAAAAATAGGAGGGAAGAAGAGAGAACAGGGCGAAAAAATTAAAATAAAATTTAGGTACACCTCAACTGAGTCCCTACTCAAGCAAGTCCCGGACCCTATAACTTTTGAAGAGTTGGTCACTTATTTATGATCTTAGTATCAATTGATAGGGCATTAAATGAGCTACAAAATTTCAAAAAATCAGAATTTTTGATTGACTAGCAAAAAAGTTATGATCGCTAAAGTGCCGAAAAATCATATTTTTTTAAGAAAAAGTTTAGTTTTTAGGTCATAACTTTTTTATTAATTAATCGAGAATTATGATTTTTTGTCATCTTGTAGCCCATTTAATGCTCTATCAAATGGACCAAGAATATTAAAAATGATCCTCCCCTTCCTGAGTTATAGGGCCGGGACTGCCGTTAAGTCAGGACTCAGTTGAATTGCTTCAATAACATTTTCCCTCCTTTATTTTTGTTCAATTTTGTTTATGTAAAGGCTTGCTTGCTACTCATGAAAATTGAGTACACGCATACTCACACAAATTTTATTTTTTTTGTTGAATTTTACATTTTAACCAACCAAAAGCCTTTGCATAAATAAAAATTATTTTTTTTTATTTTTCACATTAAAAATGCAAAAACTGGAAAAAAATTAAAAATTTTGTTTGAGGAAAAAAGGTGTTTTATTTACGTGGAAAAAGTTTTGGGCAAATTGACAATATATAAATATGACTAAAATTGAAAATAAAAAGGTTTTTTGTTAAAACTTTGAAAAAAATTATTTTTGTGCAAACAAAATGTTTTTAAATTTTGTGCAGCATTTTTAATTTTTTTCCTGGCAATTCTTTCTTGAAAACATTTTTATTTGAATTCAATTAATTATTTTTTTTTATTTTCTTTTGTTTTTTGAAAGCCGCTTGTTTTTCAATCATCTCTCCTTCCTTACTTTAAATCCTCTCTTTATCAATCTTCTTTTTTACATGATTTGCTGACAAAAGCTTTAATGAAAAGCTTTAATGAAAAGCTTTATTTAATGCTTGTTTAGTAGCCCTCACTTATTCTTTATATTTTTTCCAATATTTCCCTCCTCCCCTCAAATCTTATCTAAAAAACAAAAAAATTCATTTTATTATTTTTTAACTCCGCCCCAATTTTTACTAAAACACCTTCCCTAGATAAATTAATTTATAAAGCAAGGAAAATTTATTCTAGACAAACTGGCTTTTCTAAATTTCAATGAAAAATTTTGTGTTTATTTTTTCCGGATCCGACAACCTTGGTGAACGACCCTTTTGGAAAAACTTGATTTTTAAGAATTATTTTCCTTTTTTTATTTGAACTTGAATTTAAAAAAAAAAGTTTTCTTGGGGATCTTAATTTAAGAGGCTCTTAAAAATTTTTTTAGAATAAACAAAAATTTAAAAATAATTTTTTACTTCCTCTCAATATTTTCCGTAAAAATTTTGTTGAGCATTTTGCCGCCACTTAATCGGATTTTAATTTTTAATTCTTCTTTCTCGATATATTTTTTTTGTTTGTTAATATTGTACCTATCAGGGATGGGTCGGGTCGACGATTGCGGGTTTGCGGGTTTGTAATTTTGCCCATATTCTTATATCTGAAATTATTTGAAAAAGTGTATACGGAGTAATTTTTGTTAAATTTTTATAATTTTTTATGCCTGCTTTTTGAACAGAAGTTAAGATTTTTTGTCCAATTCTTGGCAGTTTGTCTGTCAAACATGACGCTATACAAATAGAAAATTATTTGAAAATTGGACCAAAAACAAAGGCTACGGGTTCCTTTTAACCTACTCCATATACACTTTTTCAAATTAATTCCATATATAAGAAAATGAGAAAAATCTCAACACGCAAACCCGCAATCGTCGACCCGACCCATCCCTGGTACCTATTTGTTTATTTTTGCTGTCTAATTTTTATTTAAAATCTAATATTTTTCTACTTACTATTTTGGATTTTTTTTATTTTTTAAGTCCACCTCTGAAGCTTCGATCTCTGCCTGAAGCTTGAGGCGGTGCCTGAAGCCTACACCCTCAATGCCTATTGACCCTGAAAACCTATAACTTCTGAAAGGGGATATCGAAGGATATTAGAGGGATTAAAGGGATATGATGGATTTGGTTTTCTGGGTGTAGGTCTTTCTTCCTCAGTCTTAAAAATGAATTTAATTAACATTTTTTGATAATTTTTCTAAATTTATTTATAGAAATACTACTAAAAATACTAATATTAGTTTTAATTTCCAAGTACGTACGGCTTATCTTTATTTTCAGTATGTTGTTTATTTGAATTTTTGATGAGTGTAAAAAATATAGGAGGGGAATGTTTGTCTGTGTGTGAAGTAAAAACTAACTCCGACAATATGGCGCCGGAGGTCCTCCTTCACACTCAAAATTTTTTTTTATTTCTGTAAAAAAGCAACGGAAAAAAGGGAGAATGGACAACAACAAAGGACGATGGAGGGGATCACATTACTCTTCCCCTACATATTTTTTTGTTTAGAAGTACATTAAAGGTTATTTTTAAACAATTTTAGTATTTAGTCTTAGCGGGGCATTTTAAAAAATCTGGGAGACAATCAGGAAGCATTTAAAAAATTTCTTTCGCAGACTTTTTTTTTTGTTGATCATATGTTTTTTTGTTTTAAGTATAGATCTCTTATTTGGAGGGGAAGGGAAGGGGGTTTGTTGAAGAAAAAAACTAATGATCAAATGTGACATATATTTGTAAATGTGATGTGTTAAGCTTACGTGTCTCTAAAATAGAGGAAGCTTTAAAAAGCGATTTTAAAAGGAAAAAAAGTACATTGTTTCCCAAAAATAAGGTGGATAAAATATATTTTTTTTCTTCCTTGTTTATTTTTATTTATTTGTGTGAGTAAATATTTCCGAGTGCATTTGAGCGGCGGCACTTTCTTATAATTTAAAAGATGGGGATTTTAAAGGAAATTAATCATTTGACTATTCAGTGAAAATTTTATTCTATTTCAATTTCACCTCTGAAAAAATCCGATTATCATTTACAATTCTAATATTTCTTCTATTATCCTTCTATTTTTCTTTCTGCTAGGTCGTTTTATAAAAAATAGTTGTCGTTTCAACAAAAATAATTTAAGAATTTTTTTGTAACTGTCTAAAAGCTTTGAAATTTTGGGTGTATATTTTTTAGAGTATTTTTTCTAATAGATCCCAAAATTCGAGAATTTTAGGTATTCAAGGAGTTGTAGTCGTATAAACACTCAAAGTCTCAAAACCATCAGGGTTCCTTCCTTCTTTGTTCCTTTCCTCTTTTTTAAAATAAAAATCCGATTGTCGTGATTGCTAATTACTCTAAGATTTTTTCTACATCCTTCTATATTTTCTAGAATTTTCTCGTAAAATTTTTTTTGAATATTTTTTTGTCAATCACCTCTCTATAATAATTTATTTTTCGCTTGCAATATTCTCTTCAAGGTTGAGCACAATCATACTCTGGTTAAAATCGTTATTAGAGGGGGAGAGCTCAACACACACACACAAATCTTTCCCTAGTTTTTTTTATTTTTCAAAAACAACTTGTATAAAACACACACAAATATGTGTCACAGTTGTTGTTGTTTTTCAACATATTACTATTTTTTTAATAAATAATAAAATAGTTAAAGGGAGGAAAGGGCATAGTAGTTGTTTTATTCCCCGTTAAAGCTTTAATACAAATAGTAGTATGTATTTTCAGCCGGAAACTGTTTTAGTTTTAAGAGGCGTTTACACAAACGCTTAAAAAAATTTTTTTAGTCATTTTTAATGAAAAGAAATTTTATTTATTTAAAATTTGTAGACAGATAATTTTTTATAGTTTTTTTAAAAAAATCTTTTGAATTTCTTTTTAATCAGACAAATTTTTAATTGTTTTTTTTTTCAAGAAAAAACTATATTATGTAGGTATTTTTAGTCTTTCTTTAAATAGAAATATTTAAATATTATTTGTTTAAAATCGTTTTATTTTTATGACCAAGAATTTTAACAATTTTTATCTATTAAAAAGATTACTTTTTTTTGATTTTTAAGACCGCGTTTTCATTACATACCTATTTTTATATAATTTTCAATTAAAAAAATATTTTTTTAAATTTTTTCAGACCAAAAATATATTGACTATAGCTAGTATTTTTTCATTTCAACAACAACAAAATTCCCATCAAATGTATGCTGAATGTCAACTTGAAAGTATTCAACATATTCATGCTTTACGTACTGAATTAGAAAATTCTTTAATTTCTGATGATTCTCCTATTGATTCTGAACGGCGACAGCCACAACAACTTCGTCAATTAAGAACTGTATTTCGATCGGATGAGGCTGTACATATTCAATTTTCGGTTCATTTTAATTTATTTTTTTGGGAATTTTTTGGCGCTGGGTAGTGTGTGTGTCCACGACTTGGTAATTAACATGGATTTTGGTATCCGTATCCGGATATCCGCGGGTATTTTGAACTTATCTTTATCCATATCCGTATCCATTACCAAGCCTGGTGTGTTCAATGAGTCCAATAAAAGTTTTACGACTCCAATGAGTCCAATTAAAAGTTTATAAGTACAATGGACTTTATAAAGTTTTTTAGACTCGCAAAGGTTCATTGGACGCATAAATTAGACTGACGCCAATTTTTGTTATTTTAAGGGTCCAATAATTGAGGAGGAGCAACAACAGACCTCTCATCATCACCAACAAAATATTCGCCCACCATCTTCTTCAAGATTTACTGTTTCTCCAACCCCACCAAATGCTTTGCCTTCATTTGCTTCAAGTATTGAAAATAGAAAACAGGCATTACATGTATTAATTGCTAAACCAATTTTTGAAGCGGGTAAATTTTAGATTAATTTTTTTAAAATTTAATTTCAATTTTTGAAGAAGGCAAAAAAGAAGTTGTGGACGTAAAGAACAAAAAAATTCCAACTCCAAATTCAATTGTTGTTCCACCACCCTCGCAAACATCACAACAATCATCAACATCAGCATCATCACCAGCATCTTCAATTGACTCCGGCGTAGCTTCTCCAGGTTCTTGTGCTGATGAATTTTTACTTTTTGGTGGTGGGACTAATGGCCCATTTTGCCAACTCAATCGACAACATAGAAATTCTTTACCAAATCCTTTGGGTCCTTTTGAATCCCAAACACTTCCAAAAGCTAGAGGAGGACGTGTTTTTAATTTTACTACAACGACAACAACAAATAAATGTGATGGTGGAGGATTTTCTTCTTTAATTGAGGCTTTGTCTTTACTGCCAGGTGCTCATATAAATGAAGAAGGAGAGTGTAAAACAAATAGCGGAAAGGGAGGAGATGTCAACAACAAACCTTTTGAGTTGCAAAATCCTCCGATTGGAAAGGTTTTTTTTTATTTTTTTTTGTTATTTATTATAGATATTTAAACAGATTTTTGGGAGGAAAATTTTTATTTTGTTAAGGTTTTTGGGAGAATTATATTTTATTTTTTAGGGGTTCTGAGGGAAAATTTTTCTAGTTTTTTTTTGTGCAAATTTTTTTTTATTTTTTAGATTTGGGAAAAATTTTTTAAGGTTTTTAGGGGGAAATTTTAGCAAAAGAAATTTTAAGTGACGTGATTTTTGTTTTTGTAAATAAAAAATAAATTTATGAAAATTTGTAAATAAAAAATTAAGTGGGGGAGAGAGCGGATTAGCTTATTAAGAAGGTATTTTCCTTCTTTAGCTATTGCACATGGAGATAAAAAATTCCTTTTAAGTAGTTATTTAACAAATTGAGAGAGGGGATTTTTAAATAATTTATTATCCATTTTTAGCCTCATAATAAATAAAATTCCTTTTATGGAATTTTATTTATGTTTTTTTTCTAAAAGTAATGTGCGCGTGTGTATTTAAAAGCTTTATAAAAGGAATTTAAGGAGAGATTTTATATCTTTAAATATTTTATTATATTTTTTGGGAGTAAAAGTTTATTTTTGGAAGGTTATAAAGTAAGAAGGAATTTAAAGGGAAAAAAAATATTTTTGAGAGCATTTAAGTAAAAGGGAAAATTAAAAATAGAAAGGGTATGATCTTGTAATACCTAAAGCTTGAAATACCTAAGCTTGAAATACATAAAGCTTGAAATACCTAACATTGTAATACCTAAAAGCTTGAAATACCTAAACCCCAAAAACGCTTGAAATACCTAATTGTGGAAAAAAGCTTGTAATACCTAAGCCCCAAAAATTTTTTAAATACCTAACCTTAGAAAAAAATTTGAATTACCAAATAAATACCAAGCTTCAAATTCTTCTGGTTATTTATCAATGTACACTCTTAACAAAAATGGGTTTTCTCCCAACAATAGGAGATATGTCCCAACTGAATCTTTGCTGAAAAAAAGTTGTTCCCGTCATTGGATCGTCATTCCCCGTCACGGGACAACTTACCCCGTCACTGAATCAACATCCCCCGTTGACGGAACAACTTCCCCCGTCACTGAATCAACATCCCCCGTTCACGGGACAACTTCCTCCGTTCACGGGACAACTTCCCCCGTTGACGGAACAACATCCCCCGTTCACGGGACAACTTCCTCCGTTCACGGGACAACTTCCCCCGTTGACGGAACAACATCCCCCGTTTACGGGACAACTTCCTCTGTTCACGGGACAACTTCCCCCGTTGACGGAACAACATCCCCCGTTGACGGAACTTACTCCGTTCACTGGTCAACTTCACCCATCACTGATTGTGAGTCAAGATCTCCCATTGTTAGGTCAACATTTTGGTATTTCAAGTTCTTATGGGTATTTGGTATTTCAAGCTTTTTTCCACAATTAGGTATTTCAAGGGCTTTTGGGGATTAGGTATTTCAAGCTTTTTTCCACGATTAGGTATTTCAAGCGTTTTAGGAGCTTAGGTATTTCAAGCTTTTTTCCACATTTAGGTATTTCAATAGTTTTTGGGGTTTAGGTATTTCAAGCTTTATGTATTATAAGACGTTCCGATAGAAAGTGGAGAATAAAAACTTATAATCGGATTTATAGAGAGGATTAGAGGGAGAATTGAGGGGGGTTTTTTAAGAAATAAAAATATTTTTGAAAAATCCTGTAAAATTTTAGAGTTATAATCGACTGGATCAGTCATCAACAACATCACTTTTACTACAAAAATACAACTCTGGAATTGGAGAAAAAAGAAAAGAAGAAGGTGATGGTTTACCTCCACGTTCAGCTACAATGCCTCCTTTAAAAAGCATTTTGAAAAAGAAGCAACAATCATCAATTGGTGCTTCAAATCCTTCATTAACAACAACAATGCCAACACCTTTGGGTTATTCAAATCAGAGGAAAGGAGGAATGTTTTCGAGGTTTTTTTATTCTTTAAATGTTAAGGGTTAGGGAGCCTCCTTTCTAACTTTTTATTACGGTTTACTGGCGGACCTTGACATTTGCTGGACATTTTGTCTAACGGGCGTCGTGATTGTCCCCATTTTTCCTTTTATTTCTCCCCACAAGTACCGAATAACTCAATTTATTACCTAAAAAATTAATTTAAAAATATTTTTTTAAAGATTTGTTCCATTCCGATCAATTTCTGAAGATCATCAAGATGAACAACGTCAACGATCACCACCTTTGTACAAATATAATTTATTTTCAAACAGCAACAAAAACAATAATGTTTCTTCTTCTCCAACAGACTTTTCTACCTCAACATCCTCTTCTAATGGAACTATTGGTTTGTTTTTAAATTTTTAATTATTTTTTTAAAGTAAATACTTATAAAAAATCGAAGTAAGTGGAAGGTCTTTTAATTTAAGATAATTTCTCTCTGAAGGGGGTCGAACCTTCTACCCCTAGTAGGTTAGGTAGAGATTTTACCCACTACACCAAAATGGTAATTTTCTTGAATGATTTTTTTTCTGCTAGGTTATTGTTTGTCGTGTATTTGAAATAAAATCAAAAATAAAATAGTTTTCTCTAACCGGAATCGAACCGTTTACCCCCGAGCGTGTTAACTTAAAATTTTCCCACTACACCAAAGTGATAATTTTCTTGAATGATTTTTTATTTGGCTAGGGTTTTATTTTCAGTATCTTATTCTTTATTTTTACCTTTTTCTTGTTTATAATTTAAAATTTATTTAAGAAGAAGAAGAAATAGACAGTGGAATTGCTGATTGTTTTTACTGCTCTTCTGGAAATATTAATAAAAATGAAATAAATCAACAACAAAAACAGCAAAAACGTGTTTCATTTTCTGAACAAGTACAAGCAAGAGTTTATCGTTCAACTTCTTCTATTCTTGGGTAAATTTTAGAAATTTAATTAAAAAAATCTTTTTTTCTTTAGTCAACGTAAGAAAAATGAAAAGAAAGCACGTAGTCGTGCAACTCGTCGTTGTAATTCTGATGAATCGGAGACAACAACAACGAATTCTTATGATGCAACTAATGATGAATTTAAACGGTTTTTTATTTTTTAAATTATTTTTTATTTTTTAAATTATTTTTTATTTTTATTATTTTTTAAAGGTCTTACTTGGGCATTTATAAAGACAATTTATCAACTAATAATAGTGGAATTGTTTGTAAATCTATGGCTTCATCTACTAGTGATGGTAGTACTAATGGTGCTAATAGTGGAGGAGGAATGTCTGTGCTAGCTCAATAGGGAAAAATTTTTTTGTTAGAAGAAAAGTATAGAGGTTTTTTTGTTTAGTTTTTTGGGTAAATAAAAACCTCCCGAATATATTTAATTCTTAGTTTTAGTCAAAAAATATTTAAGTTATTTATACGAGTTTAATTTTTATCATTAAAAATATTTTTTAATTGATGAGAAAGCATCTCTCTCTTTTATCTATTTGAAGATGTAATATGTGACCTCTAGGAAAATGAACAGTGGTAGAGGGATAAATGAGATTTGTAACTAGTTGTAAGGTTCTTAGGTTCGGTTCCAAATATCCAAAAAATTATTTTCGGTTGCGTCCCAAATATTCGAAAATTTTCCAGGAACCGATAACTCTAAATACCACTGTTAATTCAACATCTAAAAATATTCCCCATCTTTGTTTTTAATTTCCTGGTACTCTCCACAAAATTTTAGTTTTTTTGTTGCATTCTCTATCAATCTCTATCTATTAATTATTTTTAATTTTATTTTTAATTTATTTAGTGATTGATTTGTTTTTCCTGTTCGCAAAAGAAAAATTTTTTCTAAAAGAAAATTCCCTTTTTTATTTAAATATTTATAAGCATATATTTTAAAAATATATAGTTCAATCAATTGACCTCTTTGATTTATTTTTGAGTTGAATTTCTGTTAAGCTTTGATCAAAATTTTAATTTTAGTAAGTTTAAAGTCGTAGTTTTTAAAAATAGGATCGATCCATAGTGTCAAAACCAGGGGGATCAAATGACTATAGGATATTTGGATCCCAAATATTTGGATCTGAACCTTCTGGGTAATTTGAACTCCTTGGGTTTTTTAATTCGAACTTCAATAACCTCTCGGGTCTTGACCTTATGTGGTGGGCTCTCTAAAAATAATTTTTCTAAAATACAGAAATTCAGCTTTTTTTTGTTTTTTATGTTGTTTTTGTTTTATCAATTGTTGCAAAATACAAAAATGACACGTTTTAAAAAATATATTTTTTGGCAATTTAACGCTCTCTGTTAATTGTTTCAAAAAAAATGTTTTTTTGTTTATCTTTGCTTTAGTATTTAAATTTTTTAGTTGGCAAATTTATTAAAAATTTCATAGGTAAAAAGTAAAAAAATATTTAAATTAACGATAAGCTTTTTTTTAAAGCTTTAGAAAAAAAATATGTGTATTTTGATTTCTCTCAATCATTTGTATTATTATTTTAAAATGCGTGTAGCAAATTGTATAAAAATTTTAAAAAATGATGATTGGTTTTAATTATTTTAAAAATTAATTTAATTTTATTCGAAAATACTTTTTTTATTTGTTTAGATTTTTTGAAAGGTTTTGAGGGATTCTAATTTGTAAGAGAACAGGGGTCGGTCGGAAATACGAAACTGTTGGAACTCGGAAATGGTTTATCTGAAATCGGAAATTTAAAAACAAAATTCCGACCGACCCCTGGTAACAGGTACTCAATGATGAAGCGTGGAAGGTGATGGACATGTGAAGATTAGAATTGAAATGGAGGTTGAAAATTGAAGGTTAAGATTGAATGGTTAAGTAATCTGAAAGTTTTGCAAGGTTTTTTAAAAAGTTTTAAGGTTTTTTTTTAATATTTTTAAAGTTTGGTAGCTCTTGTTAAGTAGTTTTGTTCGCAACATTTAGTACGTATTTCCACTTATTGTAGTGCTAATCCTGTCATTTACTATAAGAAAATAGGGCTAAGAGGGAATCAAATTACTAATAAATTGAGTATAAATATTTATAAGATGCGCGCAAATAATGCTGAAAAAAATTTTTGTGAAGAGTGGAAAGAATTTTTTATGCGCTACTGTAGACTAGGTTGTGTTTTAATTAGTTTTTGTTCTTGTTTTAGAGAGAGTTTGCTTGTGGAGAAAATTAAAAGAAATCCTCCAGAAAATTCCTCAAACATCTTCCATTGTTGGAGAAAATCCTGCAGGCATTTCTGAATTGGAGAACCCGTCAGCAATCCTTTTTGATTTTGTTCGTCTGTTTTGGAACCAAACTTTCACCTGTATTTTGGAGAGGTAATTAATTTATTTAGGGTGAAAATGAGAATTTTAAAGATATTTTAGACATTTTACGAAATTTGACGCTATTTTTTATAGTCAAATTCCAATACCCAATTAAGGGTAAAAATTGTCGGTATTAAGTGAAATTTTTGTGTGTGTTGTTTGCATACTATTAGGCACAAATCGTTTGTTTTATATTTTAAATTTTACTCTCGAGGATAGTTGAGATATTGCCTTGTTTTCTTTTTAATGTTTAATTGTGTGTGTTTGTGTAATACAAAACTGATTTTAGTTAGTATTCTATTAGTGCGTGTTTTTAATAATGTCTAAAAATGTTGGCCTTTTAGCGGGAAATAATTCTCCTTTTTTCTCCTTTTCTGGGGCCTTTTTTAAATCTTATGCCGAAAATGTTTATGTAATTGATAGCCAATTTGTGCTTTAATGGAAGGCCAATTTATTTGGCAAAAAATATGGCGAATATGAATTTTTGAGGGTAAATTGAAAGGGAATGTAACCTGTGTTTCTGAAAGTAATAATTGTTTTGCAAGTTGTTTTCTTTCTGATCCAACAATATATTTGTTGTTTTTGAATGCGTGTTCGAGGTGTGATAATTGTTGGGGAGAGAATGCTGTTCTAAATTTGTGATGTTTGAAGGGGTTACCATATTTACTTAAATAATTCCCCCCTCCAGCCAGAGGTTAAAAGAATAGTTACCCTCTTAGAAATAGTTAATTACTCCCTTTCTATTAATTTAATTACTCCCTTTCTATTAATTTCTATTAATTACTCCCTTTCTATTAATTTCCCTTTAGCGAAAGATTGAAACAATAATTATTCAAATCATGTTTATTTCCCTTACCTGATTCTTTTTGTTTTTTGCATTTGTTGGAATAGAGGAAAGCCTGATCCCATTGTCAATGCTAACGCTATAGTTTAAACTTGCATTTCGAGTTTTTTTAATATTCCAATCTTACGTGTCTGTAAAATTAGAGGGTCAAAAGCATTTGTTGTTTGTGTTGATTGTTGCAAATTGCTGTCATTTTTTGTTGTTGAGGGACTACCGTTATTCTGTTCTAAATATGTTGTAGCCCAATGTGAAAAGCATAATTGTGCTGCCGATATTGAAGGAGAAATTGGTGGTTCTTGTATGTCCTGCTCTTGTTGTTTTTCATCTTCCTTGATGAAAACATTTTGAGGGTTATCAAAATTTGTAGTTGAACGTTTTGAACAGCTTTTACGTTTAAATTGTTTCTTTAATGCTTTTTCTCTTTTGATATTGTTGTTGAATGCAAGTATACTGTCAACGCTAAAGCCTAAGGAGGATAGTGACATTTGTGTGTTTTAATTAGAGGGTTTCTTTATAGGGGATTTAAGGAGATTTTTGGAATGATTGGCCAATTAGTGAGAATTTTAAAATTATAAAAATTGGGCGGAGAATGGTAAAAAGGGGAAAAAGATATTTTGTTCTGTGCGGGAGATTGACTGGACAAAGCTGGGCCAGGTTTTTAGTAAATATATAAATAGGTAAGTTGATATGACTGCCAATATTTCCTCTCTCAACAATCTACCTATTCTCCCCCTTAATAATGTAAATATTATATAGGTAATTGTAATTTAAGGGCGGTAAACATAGAGAATTTTAATGGGATTTATTTGAAGTCTTAATTAAAAATAGAGGTGGTAGAGTGAGCTATTGTAGCGATAGTTGGTTGTATCTTAAAGTTGCTTTGTTTTCGGAAATCTCAAGCTTGACATTTTAATGGGGTCAACCCTGAGGACCTACACCCTTCGAAAGGGAATGTCAAGGGATTTGGAGGGATATCGACGGATTTAGAGGGATTGAAGGGGATAGAGAGGCAATACCGGACCATAGGTTCTTAACTACAGAACAGGGACTTATCTCCATAGATGGGAGTTTGGGGAGAGAGTCAAATTCAAGATTTTACGAGTTAAGCAAATTCAAACATGGGGATTTTTTACTTTTATTTTACAACAATTATACTATAATGTGAGTATTATTTATATATAGAAAACAAGGAAAACAAATATATAGAGACAAGAATCAAGTAATATTTATATATTGTGTCACTGCACTCATCTTCTTGTTTATGCTATCTCCGTTTGATTATTCCCTCTGTTGGAATACTTTCTCGGCGCTTAGATCCGCGAGCGTGTGATAGGATCCGGGATCTGTAAAAATGGGTAAATTAGCAGTTGGACAAGTGAACCAAAAAATTACCTGTCATCTCGTCCTCAGGCCCGTCCTCATGCGCTCTGATAGCTGCACTTTTCTTCCTTTTGGCACTCTTTTTGCTGGCACTCTTCTCACTGACACTATCGTCAATATCCTCGATTATGTTGGAACTGGGAGCTGGATCACTAGTGGCTGTTGTAGCCGTTTCTACAAAATAAAGAAAATTTTTTAGAAAATTTTCAAAAACTCCAAAAGCTTACCCGTAATCAATTTAGATGTACCACTAGTTCCACTCTCTTTCGAAGAAATTGTTGGCACCGAAGTAGGAGTTGATGGAGACATTGGAATCAATGATATAACGTCTGAACCCGCAACAGGAGGAGGCGTAGTCGGTGGTGTTGGACTTGGAGCAGAAGATTTTTTACCACCAACTTCTGCAATCTTGCCTAATCCTTTGCCTTTCTTTGATGTTTTTGTAGCTTTAGTAGTTTTTCCTGGTGTAGGTTTAAGTGGTGATGGTTGAAGAGGAGAAGCAGGAGGAAGAGGAGCAGTTGTTGTAGGCTTTGCTTTTGACTTAACACCTTCTTGTGGCGCGCCAGTCGCTGTTGGAGCTTTCTGAGTAGTTTTTTCAGCTGGGGTATTTGTCGAGATTACACTTTTATTACCAGAAATCTGAAAATTTTTGAAAAATTTTTTTGAAAAAATTATAGAAAAAACACCTTTTCTCTTGTTGACGGTGGAATAGCCGTTTCTGACGCCGCCGCTTCTTTTCCCGCGATCATCGCTGACTCCGGTTGCCGAATTTCACTTTTCAGTGAAGAAGTAGATTTCTTATTCTTCTTTGATTTACCGCAGCATATCGCCATCAATAAAACCGCCGAAAAAACAGACGAAAATGCGAGCACCAGTAGAAGTTTGAAAAGGACGAAAAGCTGTTGCATTGTAATATGACGAGAGAGAAGATAATTGATATTTGTTAAGTGGGAGTAAAAAAGAGATGGCTTTTATATGGGAATTTACAGAAGGACATGAAAGTTTTCTTAGGAAGTTGGTAGTTTCTGCTGCTTGTTTTCGGGAGCAGGTCAACGTACCGTCGAGCCTAATGTATCGACGAGCTATAACTTCATTCAAGATTGTCGGGGGATGGTAGGGGATGTCCTGGTATGGTTCGAGCTTAATTTTACTAAAACTTTAGGAAGAAAGTTGTAAAAATATTTATATGTGAGAAAATCATAAAAGGGTTACTGAGAGATCGTTTAAATTTCAAAAATAAGAAAAAAACTAAAAAAACTTGACTAATTTGAACCAATTTATTCGTCACTTCGAATTCGTCTTCTTCCTTTTGAATGCCGTTTTCTAGCCTTTTGTTGTTGCCATGGAAAATGGAAAGGATTTGCTGGTTTCCAATCACGCCATCCTGCACGCTCGGGTAAATTGAAGGGGTATTCACGAACTCGAACTTTGAATACCTTAAAGAATTTATTAAGAATTTGGATAGGAAAGAGAAAGTCTACTAACCTTAACCATTAGAAAAACAAAAAGAATTGAAGCTGCAATTACAAGGTAGACAAGGCGATAGAAGCTCTTCTGAAATAAGCTAAATTAAAAAAAAAGTTATTTAAGAAAACCTCGTCAAATACATCTTCAAATTTGGGAATTTTTGAAAGCAAGGAGTTGAGAAATTCCACAAGCCTGTTGTTTTTCATTATGAAGAGTTTAACTAGTTCTGTATTGGAAAGTTTTTGGATTAGAAGCTTTTTGGTGATAAGCTATCGTTAGACTCTATAATCCACTTTTTGAGAGAGAGTACATAAAACGAGTAGTTTTGGTTATAGATGGAGATTAAATTGAAAATGACATTTTATCCCGTAGATAGTGTGTAAAAAGAGGAGTCGGTTAGAGAATTATGTTGATTAAATGACATTTTGTCTCCTATTTTACATTTCGAAGGTTTCATAAGAAATTTTTCAAAATACTGAAAATAAAAATACTCAAAGAAAAAAATAATCAAGGTGAACAAGTTCGTCATTGATGTTTGATTTGTTCATGTCTGATTTTCTACATTTAATTGACAGATAATTAATTTGTTTTCTGCTTTTTCAGATTTTTGTTCATTAATTCATTCTATTTTTAATAATTTGTTCAACTACGCTTAGAATATGCAATCTTCGAGTCCAAGACATGATAATAATTCTGCAAGAACCGATGTTGAATCACGTGGATCTGGAACAACTACAATCACTCAAGTTAATCAACCTGAGGATAATACGGTTAATTTTTAATTTTACGTTAAAAATCAAATTTATATTTGTAGGAAAATGGCAATCACTTGTTATTGAGATTAGAACAACCATCAACATCAGAAAACACAACAGAAAGAAATTCGCCTAGAGTTCAGTGGACTGAGGACACAGTGGACAATGAAAACTTGGGGAAGCGAAAATCAAAATGTTGTTGTATTTTTAAGAAGAAACGAGATTGGAATGATTCTGATAGCTCGGATGAGGTAAAACTTATTTTTAAAAGATTTTGAGAGGCTTCCTTATGGGCTTCCCTTTAAAAGGAAAATTCCCCTTTGAATTTCTAAAGTTAAAAATTAAAGGATTGTGAAAGCGACCATTGCCGCGGTCATAAAGGAAAAGCTCAAAAACCTGAGGGTGGTGGAGGCGGCGATGATCACGATGGGGGAGGAGGCCCTGTTCAAACCTGAACTAATTCGAAGTTATCGGGATTTTTCAAATTTACCTTATATGCATACAAGTATTAAAACTTTATTATTTAAAATCACATTTAAAATGTACAATTTAAAGTGAAAAGTTTAGAAAATAAGTGAAGATAAAGAAATGATATTTTTTGTTTCTAAATTTTTGGGTAAGGGATTCTATAATCTAAAATAGGGTAGTTATGCGACAAGTTTTTGAACAGAAAAATTCTTTAAATGATAGGTCGAAGAAGTAGTTGAAGTTGAAGGGCTTTATCATTGCGTAACAAAGCTGAGTTGGTATCAAGCAGTTCGTTAGCTTCAAGTTTGCCACGAATATCAAGTTCTTGGCTATATCTGTAAAGAGTATAAAATTGGACAGGGTTTCATTTTTGGGATAGGGGCAAGTTTTTAAGAAGAGGTATCAAAGCCTATTAAGATTTTACCTCGATTTTGAGAAGAATTTTTTGTCAGTAATTGTTCTTAAAACTTTTCTTTCACTACAAATCATTAACATATATTCGACAGATCGGCCAGTGTGATCAACATCCACGGCGGTAAGGGTAACTCGAAGCTCGTCGTTAACACATGACAAATTTTGTACAATTTGAAAGTCTAATTTCCATTCCCATCTAGGCAGAGTTAAAGAAGATGACTTGGTGAAAATCTGAAGGAAATTAAGGTTTAGAAAACAATTATAGTTTACTTTAAAAGTATGGTCGTGGTTTTTTAGGCGAAGCTGTTCTGATGTTATATACATTTTCTTATCCCATTGAATATCGGTATAATTTCTAAGCAGAAATTGTGTGCCGTTTGTATCGTTGGAAGTACTAAAAAAGAATTTTTCGAGTTTTTAGATTTTTAAAATATTTTTACTTTATTAATTTAACTCGACTGGCAAGTGGAAGTGAAATAAACTTGAAGGCAAGATGTGTATAAGGCCTAAAAAGCTTTTCGTGCAGCTTGACAATTAATGGTTCTTCAACTTCTATTGCGTATAGCTGTTCAGCTGTCATAAATGGAAACCTGTAAATCAACAATTGTTAGAAGAGGTTTGCCATAAAAAGATTAAAACCTAATATAGGGCAAGATTTGGGCAAGCAAGGGCGCACATGTGTTACCTCTTCTCTCTGGATGTGCTGGCGCGTTCAACTGAATTTCTGGTTTGCTATTTTTTGTTTTAAAGTAATACCCATTTAAGAACGCTCTCCCAAACAAAATATTCATTTGGAACAACAAGTTCGTTTGATCTCAAAAACTCAACAAGCTGGTCCCTGTCCAAATCCAGCCACTCCCTTTCCCATTCAGCACTGGTCATTAACTGCTTGAACTCTTTGGCAAGAATTTCAATACAAACTTTGATCAATGACTGGTGAAAAGCTTTTGTTGAATAATTAAACCAAAAATGGAAAAGTTCTTTCAACTTCATATCAGGTAATACATATTTAATGGCGAATTCAATACAAATCTTTGGGAAAATGCTTATATAATCTTTTATAAATTTAGTTACTTTTTTAAGACACGTAACATTATATTTATCAGCCAATATTAAAATAGGCAAGGCATTTTCTGAATTTAAAACAACATGGTTGCAATATTGAAAACGCAAAAATTGGCCAAAAACAGCTTGACATTGAGGTTCTTCTGTCAATTCAATTTCCTAATGTATGGAATAGAAGGATCAACAACTTTAAGAAAATACCCGTTTTTCGCCATGCCATTTCTGGCTGAGCATTCTGTCAAAAACTTCGCTGCTTCTGCAGAGAATAAGCCGATGTGCGGGATAACTAGAAGATTGGATTTTAAACAAGATATTTTCAATGATTTTCTTCTAAATATTTTTAAAAGAGCACTTTTTACACTAACATTTCCTCCCCAACAACCAATGTTAGATCACTCAGATGAGCATTATTGTAATACTTTGCGAAGTCGTTTAACACATCTCTGTCCATTCCATAACAGTCAATTCCCACTAAAGGGTAATCCATTTTTATATTTTAAAAATTATTTTAACAAGAATTTTCAGAAATAATTGTCAAAAACGTGAAATAAAATTTGCAACTAACTTTGTTCATTGCCGTCAGTCAAAAAGTCTGGCGCTTCAGAACTTGCACTACCACCACCAGTTGATGCCCTATAACAACTTCCACTATTGCCGTCATCTCCGATAAAATTGTTGCCGCTGATTGAGGCGATTACGACCATTGTCTGGGAGCGAATATACAACAAGTAGTGGTTGTGGCAGTACTAATAGTTAAAATATACAAGTGCTAGTTAATAAAAAGAACCGGACAATGAACAACAACAACACAAAAACGGAGATAAATGCGTATGAATTAAAAATAAAAAGAGGGGGGGGGGGTAAAATAATGAACGAAATGACGATAAAATATATACGCTGGCAGTGTGTGTATCTAGTCAATTGAAAGAAAAGGGAAATTTATAAGTAGTGAATGAATGCAAAATTCAATGGGGAGGGTATGGGGGAAGGACGTAAAGAAGAAGTGGTTGTCAAAAAATGAAAAAAAACACTCAAAAAATAAGGGAGAAAGGTAGTGCAATGCGCAAAATGAATCATAAAACAATCGAGCATTGCCGTGTTTTTTTTTAAATTTGGTAGTAGTAATTTTAAGGTAAATTAAACAAGGGAGAGTATAATGAAAAATGGTCTTTGTTTTTTATTTGGTTTTTGTTTTTAATAAAAATTTTGCATTTTGGCCTCTTTTTTTATAAAAATTTCAATTTTTTCAATCGGAAGATTTTACTTTTTTTTGCGAAATTTTTAAATTTTTACTAGATTTAATTAAATTAGAATTTTTTAGATTAGTCTTTGACTACTTAAAATTTCACTACTTATTTTTTATTCAATGACTTCACTTAACAAACAACAAGATATTGATTACATATCAGAAATTTTTGTAAAAAATTATCAACAATTACCATCAATAATTGAAGATGCAATGGATTGGGCACATTGTAATGGATTAATTTTTAGAACAAAGGAACACAAAGACAGGTTATTTTAAAGATATTTTGATTTTTAAATTAATTTTTTTAGAAGTGACATTTGCCAAATTGCACCATTTTCTTTTTTTCCGTCGCCTTTTCCAAGAAGATTGTTTGATCAAGCATTGTCTGTACAAAAGGTTAGAGTTTAAAAAATAAATGGGGTAATTTTCTAACTGAATGGGAAACCGGTTGAGTTCCACAATTTACTAGTCGATGATTTTTTTAATGTTCCACACTTTCTAATAGGCAAATTTTACCATTGTTTATTGCCTGGGTAGAATTAAAGTTCGTCCCCTCCCCCTGCTTTTTTCTTCTTCAGAGTATTAAAAATGGTCAGACTTTGAGAAAGGAAAGAGGAGGGTGAATTAATTTGAATTTTACCATTACTTGATTTTTTCTCAATTTCAGGCCTTAAATCTTCTTTATTTTAAAGTCTCATGGGATTATGAATTTTTAAAACAAGCACATCAACAAGTTATAAAATCGGATGAATTTACTCGTCGTTTAATGTCAATTCTTGATATTGTTTACAAAGAAGGTATAAAACAACCAATTACTTTACTTACTCAAAGAGCTGATTATATGTGCCATTATGATGGAATATTTACAGAAAATGAAATAAACTTTGATAAATTTCAGTTAAAACAGGTTTTTTATTTTTAACTTTTTGATTCATTAAAAATTTTAAAGATTGAGGTAAACAATATAGCGGTCAGTATGGGTGGACTTGCTGAAAAGACAACTAAACTTCATCGACGTGTATTTAAAAAAATGGGAATGAATGTGCCTAATAATGATGTTATGCCGGTAAATGAACCAATTAGAACACTTTGTGAAGGAATTTATAATGCTTGGTTTATTTTGATTTTTACTTTCTTTCATAAATTTAAATTAGGAAACTTTTATCTAATCCAAATGCTATTTTATTGATGGTTGTTGAAAAAAATAGTCAAAATCAATTTGATCAACGCGCTATTGAATATGGATTGGAAGAACTTTCAGAAGGGAAAATGATTATTATTCGATTGACTTTTGTAGAATGTGCTGATAGGTTTATTACTTAATACTAGAGCTGTCCAAGACTCATGGTCTTGAGTCTTCCAAGACTTTTATTGGGGTTTTCAGGTCTTGGTCTTGGGATTCCGTTTTGGTTTTGTGTCCTGGGAAATTTTCAGTCTTTGACATCTCTATTTTATTTTTTAGCTATTTTAAAACTTAAGACTACTTATTTTTAAGACTTATACTGGATGAAAAAACTTTTAATCTTCTTCTTGGCGATAAAACTGTTGGGATTGTTTACTTTCGTACTGGATATTTACCTGAAGATTATGCTTCTGAAGTCGCCTGGAATGCTCGACTTTTGATGGAACGTTCTACAGCAATTGTATAAATAAAAATTAAAAAAATGTTAATATTAGAAACTTTAGAAAGATATCCTTTTATCTTTAAAAAATTATTTTTTATATTTTCAGAAATGCCCTTGGATTGGATTACAAATGGCTAATACAAAGAAAATTCAGCAGGTTTTTTAAAAATATTTTTTCGAATTTAAAAAATTGTTTGTAGGTTTTGAGTTGCTCTGGTATATTGGAGAAGTACTTGACCTCTTCAAATGATTTGGAAAATGTTCGTTCAACATTCACTTCATTGTGGGGACTTGAACGCGATGATGATGAAACTCAAGAAATTATAAAGGTTTTGGATTTTTAGAATTAAAAAAGAATTTTTGTAAGGATGCCATACAAAATCCACAAAAATATGTCTTAAAACCTCAATTGGAAGGAGGAGGAGGAAATTATTTTGACAAGGAGATAACTGAAAAATTGCAAAGTTTTACTTTTGAGATGCGTGCCTCACATATATTAATGCAAAGAATTCGGCCTTTAATTGTTAAGGTTTGTGGAAATTTCTATTTTTTTAAGAATAATTTTAAGAATTTTCGGAACTTGTTGGTTATTCCAAACCAGTTTTTAGTGGACTTGTAAGGGTTCATAGTGGTCAGAGCATTAATACTTTCCCTCTTTCTATTCATTCAAAAGGTGTTTTTTCTTAAGAAAGGGTTTGAGTCGGAGTAATTTTCTTTAATATTTTTTATATCTGACCATTATGAACCCTCAGAGATTGGTTTGGGTTAACCCACAAGTACCAAATTTTTTTCAGAATTGTTTAATCCGCCCATTTGATGATGACAATTTTAAAAAATTACATAATGTAGTTAGTGAACTTGGAATTTATGGTTCTTTAATTGGAATTGGTGGAAAAGAAGAGGAAGTTAAATTAAATTCAGTTGGTGGCCATATACTTCGAACAAAATTAGAAAACGTTAATGAAGGTGGAATTGCTGTTGGTGCTTCTGTTGTTGATTCTCCGTTTCTTTTTTAATCAAAGAAGATATTTTTAATTAATGTGATGTTGTGGTAATTTTTGTTTTTAATTTATATCCTTTTTAAAATTAGATTTTTTATGGAAAAATTTTTTGATTAAAATTTTCAAATAAAATTCTTTTTCGAAAATATCCCGAAAATAAAGACAAAAGATCCCTCTTTTTAGATTAATTAATTAAGGATATTTTTGGTTTCCCTTTTTCAAAAACAGATTTTTTCGATAAAATCACATTTATTACGTTAAAATACATGAGAGAGTTTTGAGCAAAGAAATTGGGTCCTTGGTAATTAATTTTAAAAGAGATACTTTTTTAAGCACTTGAAGAGGGTATTAGATAAATAAATAATCTTATCTTTTTTATAAATTTTTTTAGAAAATATTTTTAGAGTCCAAAGTGGCCCTTTAGGCTTTTCTCTCCCTTTTTCTTTAAACCTTTCAATCCCTTTCTGACTCTAATTCCCCTTTTCCTCATTTCATTAAACAAAATTAAGTAATGAATGAGGGAAATAAAAGCGACCGTTTAGTTGCAAAAAAGGGGCTGAAAATTAAAACAAAAAAAAAAGAATTTTTTGGACAGCTGTCCGATACTTTGACTCTCTCTCTTTTATCTTCTGATTTTTATCCTATTTTTATTTTTCCTCATTCTCATTAAATCGATTTAATCTAATGAATCATTTGTCCTCCTATTCATTTACCTCATTACAAAAAATGTTTTTAGAGTATGGGAGCCATCTTCTTATCTTTGAAGGTCATCGAGCCTTTTAATTCTATTTTCTTGCGGAGCAGTGAGGTGTACCCATCGAGCCTCTTTTCTTGTTTGACACTTATTAGATTCTAGAACTTTAATTGTCTTTAATTTTATTCTCTTTGATTTTAAGCGGCTTTTGTTGAATTTAGATAAGGGAATAATGAGAGCACAATCTCGATCTAACCGCCAGTCTTTTTGACTAAAATGAGGTCCTTTTTGTTACTTTGAGAGAGGGAAATAAAAGAGTCAGTCGAAATGTTAGATTGATTGTAACAACAAAACAACAACAGAAGCATTTATTATTATTTTTTATTTGTTGTGTTGTCCACTCAAATAATATAGAAAGTAATTATTCGGACGTCCGCACAAACACAAAAATACTACACTAAAAATAATAGCCAAAAAAACTTCTTTTATTTTTAAAGGTTAAGAGGCTCCAAAAGGGCACTCTCCCTCAACTAACTCTCCCTTCCTCTCATTATTTCTCTGAATTTTTAAAAAATTAGGCAAATTGCCTAATTAAAAATTTTTTCTAGATATGATTTTTAAAATTTATTATTGACTTTTAATCCAAAATATGGGAAATAGTGCAAGTGAACATCATCATCAAGGAGGGCGATTCTTTCGTCCAGAAAATCTTTCTAATGGTAGGGCACTTTCAATTAATTTTTTAATTTTTTTATTTTTAAAGATCCTACAGCATTCCGTGTATTTATTAAAAAGAAGAATAAATTCATTCCTGGCTGGCTTAAAGTCAATGACGATGAAATACTTTTTATGCGTGGAAGTAGCCATTTTCAATGCTGGTCTTTGGCACATTTAAGACGTTATGGATATACTTGTTCTGGAGTTTTCTTTTTTGAAAGTGGAAGACGTTGTGCAACAGGAGAAGGATTACATACATTCCAATCACATCAAGCAGAAAGGATATTTCATGTAAGAAAAGATTATTTGAATTATACCTAAATATTTTTATAGATGGTGCAAAGCAAAATAAAAATTGAAGAATATGCGCGTTATTCTCGTCTTGGAAGCGCAGCATCAAATACTAATAATAATACTCCAGTCAGAGTGAATTCATTAGTTCCAGCCCCATTGGCATCTCAACGTATTCATCCTGTTCAAAGATTTTCTAGTGAAGGTTTTTGTTAATTTTTTATTTCTTAATTCTCATTGTAAGGCGCCCCATCACCTTGCAATGTCCCTACACCTACTGTGCCGGCTGCTCCACCTCCTTATACAGCCTTATATCAAGAAGTTAGACGCGCACAGCAAAATGCTTCCCCTTCCTGCCCTTCAGTCATTTCAGCAGTTTCTACAACGATTGCTGGGGCCAATTGCTGTACAAATAGAGTAGAAAGGCCAAGATCCGTTGTGTCAAATATTGAACATGGAACTGCTATTCATCCTCACCGTACAATGCGTCCACATGCAATAAATGGGAACACAAGTAGTTCAACTCTTAATCAACATATTCTTCAGCAACAGCATGGGCAAGTTTTTTTCTCAGAGTCTTTCTAATCTTCAATAAATTTTAAGTTATATAACCCCTTCAATTCCTTCCCAAATGCATCATTCATTGGCTATATCAGCATCAGGTTCTTGCCTAATGGATGCTTCATTTCATTCTGCCCTTGATGCAAATGGTTCAATAACAAATGGAGGCAGTCCTTGGGCAAGTCAACAACAATTGGAGAGAGGAGAAATTGTGTTAGTATTCTTATAAAAAAATTATTTTGACTTGATAATTTTTCTGGAAATTTTTTTTTAATTTTAGAATGGAACATGTTTTGGGCAACAATGAAGATTCTGCTAGTACTGGTGGAAGACGTCGGCTTCTTGGTTCTGGGAGGCACATCTCTTCCAATCAACAACAACGTGGGACATTACCCCTTCGTGTGCCAGTGCCACCACCAGTCCAGTCAACTTCTGATTACAATAACCAAAGGTTGATTTTTAAAAATTAGAAAATTACAAAAATAATTTTTAGTTTAACCCATTCTTGTGCTGCTTGTTCTCCCTCAACTTTATCAAATAATAATAATTGTCCTCCCCCACCACCTCCTCCACGTGATCAAAAACAACGTTTAAATACACATGCATATGTTAATGTTGATTTAAAAACAACTAAAGGGCAATCATCAAATTTGAGTGTTCGTGAATTGCAACAACAACAAAAGAATAATACCTCAACAGATAGAAGAATGGAATTTTTAATTTCTGGACCTGGAGCGTTTCAGTTGTTTGTTTAAAGAAATTTAAAATTGGACAGTGGTCCAGTCCACTCAACAGCCCTTCGTTTTTTTCAACCCTCCTCCCCCCCTATCAACCACTTACAGGGGAAGTAAAAGTCCGTGGACCAAGATACAGGTCCCTAAAATTGAAAAAACATAGCGGGACCAAGCTGCTCTTTGGGGTCAAAAATTTGATTATACAAACGATAACTCATTTGATTTTTTTCCTTCACAGATCTTCCCCCAATCGACCATGTGCAATAAATAATAACTCGTTACAACCTCCGTCAATAAGTTTCAATACAAACTCTTCGAATCCTTCCTGTTCAGCATTTTCACCAACTTCATCTCCAATGCAACATTCTTTTCATGCATTTTGTCCAATTAATAATGAAAATTTACAACAATTTCAAACATCTCCATATTCTTTATCACCTTATCGACAACAACAGCAACAACAACTTGGTTGGAATCGTCGTGAAGTAGAAGATCCATGTCATCGTTTAATGTCTCAATCAATTAGTGGTGCTTTACCTCCATCTCCTAGCGGTATTTTTCCTTATAATGGAAATGGAAGTGCCAACAATAACGACAGTCGACAATTGTCTTTGTATGGAAAAACTTCGAATAGGTTTAGATTTTTTTGGAAATTTTACAAAATTGTCTTTTAGTTTGGAACAAATTGCAACAGGAAGAACAGCCCCAGCCCCTTTACCTTTACAATATTCAACAACAAAACAACAAAATGGTTATCGTGCCTTAAATAGCGGCAGTAGACAACAACTTCTGCAACCTAATAATAATGAAGGTGGAGGAGGAAGTAGTAGCTGTTCAACATTAATTACATCTTCAACAAATACAATGGGAGGAGATTTATAAAACAACAACACGTCAAGTAAATCAACTTTTTCTCTTGGATTTTCTCTTGGAATTTTTTTTCAAGAATTTTTAATTAGTGGGGGTGGCATTAGGAAAAGAAAAAATATTCTAAAATAATATTCTAAGAACATCTGTTATTCTTTTTTTGTTAATTTTTTTTAATATATCTGCTCAAAAATATATATTCTTTACGCTTTTTAATTTAGGTATTGACTTATAGGATACAATTTCAAAAAAAATTTTTTTAGCTCCAACTTTAGGTGTGGTCCAATTAATTTTCCCTATAATTTAATCAAAATTTTATTTAAAAATGGAATTATTTCACAATTTTTATTTAATATTTCCCCTTATTTGGCTTTCTTTCTCTCTTTTGTTTATACTAAAAACAAAGAAATATTTGCGCGGTTGTTAGGGGGGATTTGTATATATTTAGGTTAGAATGGTGGAGGGGGATTTATAGTTTTAGCCTTAATATTTAATAAACTTCGAAAAACAAGTTTTTGTTTGGGAGGGGATTAGTATGGTTTTTCTAATTTATTTTTCAATTTTGTTTTGCTCTTTTTTGTTTATTTGTCTTACAACTCTTGTCATTTTCCGTTTTTTCATTTATCAAATTTTATCAGTCTTTTTGTCTATTGTTTTATTTATAAGCCTTATGAAAGATCCAAAACTCTATCAAATAAGTTTAACTTATGTGAACGAACTCTCAATTATATCCCAAACTTTGTGCCAAATTAGTATATCTATCTAATATCCTCTCTAAAAACATAAATGCCACTTTTTTGTACCGCTCTAAAAATAAATTCTTTGTTGGCCAGTCCACCCTACTGGCTAATAATAACAAAACAACCAGCCACCTTCTCTCTAAATTCTCTCATTATTCTTTTGCATGCGTGCGACAAAAGTATAAATAACATAGGGGGAATAATAACATGGATGAGCTTTTCCTTTTTAAGCGAGAGGTTAGCCGTTGGGCAATACTGAAAAGAGAAACCCTTATTTTGAAATTATTTATTAATTCAATTGTAAAATTGGCGCAAGTATTTCCTTTGTTAGAATTGATTGAAGGGATGATATTAAATTGATATATTAATGAAATATTAAATTCCGGAATATTAATGATATATTAAATTCCGGAAAGGTTTTTACAATTTGTAAAATATTTTATTAATGTTCGGAAAAGTTTTTACAATTTGTAAAATATTTTATTAATCTCCGGAAAAGTTTTTACAATTTGTAAAATATTTTATTAAATTCTGGAAAGGTTTTTACAATTTGTAAAATATTTTATTAATGTCCGGAAAAGTTTTTACAATTTGTAAAATATTTTATTAATGTCCGGAAAAGTTTTTACAATTTGTAAAATATTTTATTAAATTCCGGAAAGGTTTTTACAATTTGTAAAATCTATTATTAAATCCCGGAAAAGTTTTTACAATTTGTAAATATATTATTAAATTCCGGAAAAGTTTTTACAATTTGTAAAATATTTTATTAATGTCCGGAAAAGTTTTTACAATTTGTAAAATATTTTATTAATGTCCGGAAAAGTTTTTACAATTTGTAAAATATTTTATTAAATTCCGGAAAGGTTTTTACAATTTGTAAAATCTATTATTAAATCCCGGAAAAGTTTTTACAATTTGTAAATATATTATTAAATTCCGGAAAAGTTTTTACAATTTGTAAATATATTATTAAATTCCGGAAAAGTATTTACAATTTGTAAAATGGGAAACGGAGCTAAAAATGGGGGCATATAACACAAGAGTACCTCTTTTATTTTAGGGTTAGATCCTCTGGGTTGATCCCGGATATAGCAGAGTAGACTAGACTGGTCAGCAAAAAAAAATTTTAAAAGATATGTTTATTGACTCATAAATTACAAAAAAAATATTTTTTATTATTCCGAAAGGTTTTAATTTTGTTGTCTTCTTTTATTATTTTTCTTCCTTTTCCCCTTGGAAACGAAATGCCTTTCAAAACGTAATTTCCGCATACATTTTAAGGCACTATATATCTTTACCCATTCTTTTTTAAAACAATAGTTAACAAAAAATGATATTAAAAAATTCTTTCAATTTTGTTGTCACACATTCTTCTTTTTAGACCATGAAAATATTTTTTTAAAAATTTCCGTGTGGTAAAAGGAGCAATCTCTTAATGATTGTCTAATGATTGCCTTTCCTTCTGACTGAATGATTGCCTTTAAGTTTAAGAATTTTAACTTGAAAATTTATTTTTTTTGGAGACCACCCATATTCTTCTTAAAAAATTTTTTTTCAACACTCATTTCGTCCAAAAAATATTTTTTTGTTTATTTCGGCCCTTCCCCAGACTTGTTTTTTTTCTCGCCGTTTTCCCCTTCGTTAATCCTTCCAAGTTTAAAGGGATAATGTTATGTTGTGTTTAAAGTTGGTAATAAATAGGAGAACATTTTTCTCTTTTTTAAACGAAAAATAAATTGTTTAAAGTTTATTTTTTAGGGAAGATTTTTTAAAAGTTTTTTGCCAAGCTAAGAAATTCTACAAGAAAATTAGGAGGGAAATATAAGGAGAAAATAGGATTTCTAGAGATAATCGTTATTTGTTGTTTCTACATTTCTCCTTGGTGCAATGTTGAAAAATGACTAGTAATTATACAAGACTTGTACCTGGCAGAGCTAGACGTGTCAAAATTTACAGAAATGGAGATGCTCATCACAAGGGTTTAAATGTGAGAGGATTTTTCTTAATTTAAAAAATTCCTTCGATTCAAACAGGTTGTACTAAATTACAAACAAGGCCAAGATATCAACACATTATTAGATTCTATTAGTGAGAGAATTGGGTTGGTATTGGGAGCAAAACGTTTATTTACCACTGATGGAACTCAAATAACTTCAGCAGAGGAGTTGGAACATAATGGGGTATTTTTTAATTTTTTTTTGGGATCGAGCCATTTTCATCCAATTCAAAGGAATATGTCGCCTCCTCTGGCACATTTACACCAGCAGCATATGGTCAACCAGGACTAAATCGACTAGGACAGAGCGGAGGTTCATTACGCCGTCCCCGCCGTGACAGTGCCTCTAGATCTACACAAGAAAATAATTCTTTGGGCTCTTCATATTCTGCTACAAGGCAAACAAGAAGTATTGAAAGAACAAGTGAAAAGACGGCATCAGCACCAAAACAAAGGACAAAGAAGCTTAGCAAGAAAAAGGGTTTTTAAAATGTGGGAAATTTAAATTGTGTTTGATTTTTAAGTAAAAGAAAAGGCTCCTCCAACTCCAGAAGAACCTGCCGCACCCCCAACAGCCGATAATAATGTCGATGAGGCAGCGAATGAGGAAGATTCAGAGGTGAATAATCAAAATGGAGAGGTAAAATCACCAGAGGGAACAACAGAAGTAGAGGTGATAGAACATGAACAGCATGATGAAGAAGAGGAAAAAGTGGAGGAAGAAGAAAAGGCTGAGGTTAGGTTTTAATATTTAACGTAAATATTTCCTAATATGTCACTTGAGTGGGTTTCTATTAGAGAGCGGGCTTATATTTTTCGATGAGTCTTCCCGGGAAAGAGACTCTCTTTCCTCTAATTAGAGCATTTACGGTAGTTAAGAATCAACAGTATTTCTTTTTAAAGGAAGAAACTTCTGAGCCTCCTGAAGAGGAGAAAGAAGAAGAACATAATGAGGAAACTGCAGCTACACCAGTAGAGGAAGGTTATTAATTATTTTTTAATGAAAAATTTCAAAAAAAATTTAGAAGAATCAGAAAGAAATGGGGAAGAAGGAGAACATGAAGAAGAGAAAAAAGAAGGGGGTGAGGAGGAGGAAGAAGAAGAGACTGAAGAAAAAGAAGAGACTGAGGAAGAGAAACGACAAAGTACCCCAAAAACACCAACTTGAAAATAATTCTTAAAATAAATTTTGTCAAAAAAAAACAATCTTCAATTAGTTTTTTCTGTTTATTAAAAAATTTAAAAAACAAAACAGAAAATATTTTAATACTTTTATTTGGTTGGAAATTGTAATTGATGTATACATTTATACGTCTCAAGAGCCAATTCAGCATCAGTCAAGCTGCTCATTTCGCAAAGATGAAGCTAATTTTTAAAAGAAAAAAGAACTTCAAAAAACTTAAAAATTTGAAAGAAACCTCTGAAATATTGACAGGATCAAAATTTAATTTGCCAAATTTTTCCAAAAGTTTGGATACATTTAAAAAGGATCTTTTCTTCTTAAAAATTTAATGAGGATTATTTTTAAAAAAATAACAAAATTTAAACCTCTCGTAAATATTTTGTATTCATCATCGTCATGTGCAACACAACTTCTTTGGATTTTCGTTTTTCGGTTAAAAAGGAAGCTGAGAGAGATTCTTCAACAATATTGGCCAATTTTTGGAGTCTAAAAAAAAGAAAAAAATATTTTAAAATTAAAAAAAGTAAAAACCTTTCAGAAACACATTTGGCAAAAAGGACAGCAATTTTGTCTGTAGGTCTATCTTCAAAATGTTCAAGTTCAGTAAATTCAAGTTGAATGTGTTCAAGGTCAGAATTTGTAAATATTTCTCTTCAAAAAATTTTTAAGATTAAATTCTTTAGAAATTTACTTGACGGCCTCTGATCGAAACAATTCATCCAAAAACTGTTTGGCAGAGTTGACATCCTCTTCAGTAAATAATCTAAGAACACAGAGGGTCAAATGAAGCTTGCTTGGAGTTATAAAAAGGTCTGGATTTTTGCAGTCTTCCTAACAAATTTAAAATTTATTTTTATTTTAAAAAGTAAAAACCGGCAAATCCTCATCTGCACGAATGTTGTGAACAAAATTTTGGTATTGCTCTCTAATTTTAACACTAGTCAACCCAACCGGGACAGAAACAAAATGTGTGGGCATTGCCTGTTTGCGAGCCTTTTCAACAGCTATTTCTAATGCATCTCGACATTTTAGGACGTTTTCGGCTGATTGTGGAGAGGTAATTTCTAATATAAAATTATTTTAAAAATTAAAAAATTTTCTGTTTGAAAACAAAATGTATTTTAAAAAATCCAAACTAATTTCAGTCATTTTTCCATGAACTTTTTCCTTCTTCTTGGGGTAATGTATTTTGCAGCCAAATTCTTTCTCCATTACTCTTTGTTTATAACCTTCTTTGCCTTTAATTAAACCGATAAGAGCACCCGGTATTTGAATTCTAAAAAATTTTTAAGAATTAATTTTAAAAATTAAAAAAAACAAACTTGTCATAATATAAAGAATCTTTTGTGTCGTATTTAATAGAATCAATTAATTTAATTTGTTGTTTTTCTTCTTTTTCAATAATTAAAGTTTCTTTATTATTTTTTATTATTGTCTGTTGTTCTTCTAATATTTCAATTTGTATCTTTTTTGGAGGTGTTGGACCAAGAATTTCTTTATTTAAATGTTCTGGTTCATCTGTTGATGTTGAAGACGATTCTTCTTTTGGTGGGAAGACTTCTTTTGAATGACTTGGCTTTTCTGTAATAAAAAGGTATTAGAAATATTCTTCAAGAGGTAGGAAGAAAAGAAAGTTATGGGAAAAAGTCCAGTTGGATCTGAACTTCTGGGTCATATCTAACAGTCAAATCTTCAGAAGAAGGTACAAAGGTTCTTAAAATACGCGCATAAGAGATAGGAAACACGGTAATCCTGGGAAAAATCTTTTGGCTGGACCCGGACTTAGGACCGAATCATCAGTACAATCTCTAATAAGAAAAATCCTTCAAAATATAAAATCAACCTTGTTCTTCTCTAATTTCCAATAAAGTGTTGGTAGTTGCTTCTTCAATCATTTCACAACTTCTTTCCTCCTCTTCTTCCATTTCATTAAATTTTTGGGCGGAAACAGCTGCTGGATTTGTTGTATTTACCATTTCAAGAGGACAATTTCGTCGGTAAGTTTGGTTTCCAACTTGGTAAGTAGGCACTTCGAAGGGATTTTGCATTGCCAAAAATTTTGTTTTGGATTTGTAGCGAAAAGCGATTGTTGTTGTTGACAATTTGATGGGTAGACGAAGTAAATGTTTTCGCATTCAATTCTTCAAAAGTTCATGAAGGGTTGTTTACCGCCTCTATAAGACTAAAAAATTGTTTAAAAAATAAATTAAGAGAAAAATTAAAAATATTAGAAAAAGAACACTCAGAAAAACATCAAAAATCTTCTGAATGTTTAACCTTCCAAATAAATTAAAAAACAAATTAAAGCTCTAATATTCATTTATTAAAAATAAATAAATAAAAAAATACTATCTATCATTAACACCAAGTTTAGAAGCAATTTTCTTCCTTTCTTCAATTTTTGCAACTTCTCTTGCCAATTGTTTCCTCAATTCTTCATACCTAGGCGTATATTCTTTTAAAATATCAACTTTCCCTTCTTCAATTTCTGCTTTCATTAGAGCAAATGGATTGTAAATTTTAAATATAACAGTCGTGCCAACAATAGCTCCACCAAGAAAAACACAAAATTTACGTGCATAATCCCAACTTGTTGATGGCAACATAAATTGAACTTAAAGTATGTTTAAATCCCTGAAAATTATAAAATTTTACTTGAAAATTGTCAAATATAAAAAATTCTGGGAGAGTGACTAGATTGTTTTTGTATATTTTACTTTTTTACACTTTGAAATAGCTTGAGTTTACATTTTGAAGTTCTCCACGAAATAGTGTTTTCTAGAGAAATAAAGTAAATTTTTAAATAATACTCGTTGGCGATTATTTTGGCATTACGTTATTATTGATTTTCAGGATTATTGATTTTCCTCTGTTGTCCATTTATAGCAAAGATGTTCTACAACAGAATGAAGGCTTTTCTCTTTTTTGGGGATTAACCTTTTTGGGGGGGTCGAGGGAGTAATGACTTGCGGACAAGACTTGCTTTTTTCAATTTTTGAAAAATATAGCCAATCTTTTTCAGTCTTCACTTCAGCAACAACAACAGCAGCAACAACAACAGCAGCAACAACAACAGCAGCAACAACAAAAGTCCCAATGTATCGCTTCGGCGGTATATGGGCAAAAGTCCCAATGTATCGCTTCGGCGGTATATGGGCAAAAGTCCCAATGTATCGCTTCGGCGGTATATGGGCAAAAGTCCTAATGTATCGCTTCGGCGGTATATGGGCAAAAGTCCCAATGTATCGCTTCGGCGGTATATGGGCAAAAGTCCCAATGTATCGCTTCGGCGGTATATGGGCAAAAGTCCCAATGTATCGCTTCGGCGGTATATGGGCAAAAGTCCCAATGTATCGCTTCGGCGGTATATGGGCAAAAGTCCCAATGTATCGCTTCGGCGGTATATGGGCAAAAGTCCCAATGTATCGCTTCGGCGGTATATGGGCGATGACTTCAGTGCAACGATTAAACTCCAATGCTCTCGTCTACATGGTTAGCTTTTTTACTTTATTAAATTCGCAAGTTTTGTCCGCAAGGTTTCTCCCCTAAATAAGTTTATCCTTTCTCTATGTTGAGCCATTTAAATAGTGGCCAAGTTCTTAACAAATGAGAAGACGCTCAGCAAATGTTCCATTGGTTAGATGTACTGATTGCTTGTTTTGAATGGTTGATCTTTTGATAGGTTGTTTTTATGTTTAAAGGTTTTTTAATTACTTAATTTTCAGCTTTAAGAGAGTATCCAGAAGCCTTGGAAACTTTTAAGAGGTTATTTTTAATTATTTACTAAGGTTTCAATATTATTTTTTAGGGCAGTGAATTGTTGCGGGAAGACAATCTTTTTGATGAGTATGTTTTAGAAGAACAAGAATTAGCAGAAAAATGACTGAAGATCTCAAATCTTGACAGCATTCAGCAAATTAGGTTTGAAGATTAATTCATTTGTTTGATTATTTGGTTTCCACAATTTTTCGTTTATCGGGTTTTGCCCCTTTTTAAAACTTACTAATTTAAAAATCCATGTTATCAATGTTTAAACCTCCGTCCAGTTGCTTTCCTTGGGTATTGTGAGTTGTCGAGGGTTTTGTTGGCCCACCAGATTTCACGATTATACAACATTCGAAAGAGCTCGTCGAGCTGACTTGAGCGGGGGAAGAAGGCATATGGACGTACAGGGACCGAGTTTTATAGACTCCTGAAAACAAAAGTAGCTGATTTTGGGATGAAAAATTCGAACATGCAAATAATAGCCACAGGGATCTTTTTATTCTCAAGATCGAACCAAATAAACCTTCCTTTTCTTTTGAGATTTTCAAGCTTAGGGGTTTGCAAACAACTTAAATTCAAGACATTTTTGTTTCTTTAACGATTTATTTTTTCAGTTTAAAAACGTATAGACGAGGAACAAATGGTCAAACACGGACAAATATTGACTGTCTACAAAGACAAACACAACATCTGGACGTTGAGCAATAAAGAAGCAATGGAATTACAAAAGAAGTGCTTGGGAAAGGAAACGAAAACATAGTTTTTTTATTTTTTTTTGTTTACTTAGATACAGTCGAAATATCAATCAAACTGTTGGAAAGTCTTCGACATTATCTCAAAAATGAAAAGAAAATTTACGGATTAACTGTCAAATTCCCAATTTCGACTGTATTACAATTGTCGAGTTTTATATAATTTTTCTTATTTTTTAGCCAGATTTTTATTTGTTTGAATAAATAAAAATGAATTTGTTGTTGTTGAATTACCATTTTTCATTAAACTATCGAGGACTTTAAATTTAAATCGACTTCTAGAAGAATTTAACGGTCTTATACCCTAATTAAATTCCAAATAGACCATTTCTCATGTTATTAGACTCTTGTATTCCTTTTTGTGTTGAGTACTACTCTTGCTCCTTTTTAAGTAAGTTGGAATGTAGCAAGTAGAGAAAGAAAATGTTTGAGGGAGTTGATAAGTTGGGATGTAATGCTAAAAATAAATGACATTTTGTCCCAAAAGTTAGAGAAATTTTATAAAACATATAGTGTAGCTAGAGAAAAAAATAAATATCAATGTTTAGGCCGGTTCAGTGCTGAATTCAGAGAGTGCAAAGTTACTGTATTTGAAATATAATTTTTGATAAGAATTTAAAAAATATTTATGTTTGTTCATTATTATCTTTCAAACGCCATGTTAATGTTTTTAAGATTTTTCTAGGATGTAAGATACTAAGAATTTAGTGTCCATGTAAGATTATTTTTGATTATTTTTACTCAGTTGGACATTTTGAGATGTGTCATTTTTGGAGAGGGAATTTTTGGGTTTCTATTCATGGGGACATTTTCTGGGCACTCCCTTGTTGTCTTTATAAACAAAATAATAATTTATACAAGGAGAATTGATTCTATTTATAATATATTAATCTTCGTCAATTTTTTATAAATATTTATATCCTATTTAAAAGGCCGATTAATAAATGACCGGTCACTAAAAGACCGAACGGTCAAACTGGGTCAGAAGATCGTTAGTAAAAAGATCGTGGCACTAAAAGACCGGAACAGCATAAAAGGGTTGGAAGATCGGTTAATAAAAAGACCTTGCACTAAAAGATCGGAACGGGCAAAAAAGGGTTAGAAGATCGGATACGTAAAAGAACGTTGCATCAAGAGACCGGAAAAGCCAAACAGAGGTTAAAAGACTGGCGCAGCAAGAAATCGTAAGAAATTGATAATTTCGAAGGCTATGCGAGTAATATCCGTTGCATGGCTTTTAAAAGCCCAAAAATAGACAAACAAAATATTTTTTAAATTCTTATCAAAAATTATATTTCAAATACAGTAACTTTGCACTCTCTGAATTCAGCACTGAACCGGCCTAAACATTGATATTTATTTTTTTCTCTAGCTACACTATATGTTTTATAAAATTTCTCTAACTTTTGGGACAAAATGTCATTTATTTTTAGCATTACATCCCAACTTATCAACTCCCTCAAACATTTTCTTTCTCTACTTGCTACATTCCAACTTACTTAAAAAGGAGCAAGAGTAGTACTCAACACAAAAAGGAATACAAGAGTCTAATAACATGAGAAATGGTCTATTTGGAATTTAATTAGGGTATAAGACCGTTAAATTCTTCTAGAAGTCGATTTAAATTTAAAGTCCTCGATAGTTTAATGAAAAATGGTAATTCAACAACAACAAATTCATTTTTATTTATTCAAACAAATAAAAATCTGGCTAAAAAATAAGAAAAATTATATAAAACTCGACAATTGTAATACAGTCGAAATTGGGAATTTGACAGTTAATCCGTAAATTTTCTTTTCATTTTTGAGATAATGTCGAAGACTTTCCAACAGTTTGATTGATATTTCGACTGTATCTAAGTAAACAAAAAAAAATAAAAAAACTATGTTTTCGTTTCCTTTCCCAAGCACTTCTTTTGTAATTCCATTGCTTCTTTATTGCTCAACGTCCAGATGTTGTGTTTGTCTTTGTAGGCAGTCAATTCTTGTCCGTGTTTGACCATTTGTTCCCCGTCTATACGTTTTTAAACTGAAAAAATAAATAGTTAAAGAAACAAAAATGTCTTGAATTTATGTTGTTTGCAAACCCCTAAGCTTGAAAATCTCAAAAGAAAAGGTTCATTTGGTTCGATCTTGAGAATAAAAAGATCCATTTGGCTATTATTTGCATTTTCGAATTTTTCATCCCAAAATCAGCTACTTTTGTTTTCAGGAGTCTATAAAACTCGGTCCCTGTACGTCCATATGCCTTCTTCCCCCGCTCAAGTCAACTCGACCAGCTCTTTCTAATGTTGTATAATCGTGAAATCTGGTGGGCCAACAAAACCCTCGACAAGTACAATACCAAAGGGAAGCAACTGGACAGACTTATGGAACCAAAATTATGGAAACCAAATAATCAAACTAATCAATTAATCTTCAAACCCAATTTGCTGAATTCTAATAAAAGATTGCAGTTCTTCGGTCATTTTTTCTGCTGATTCTTGTTCTTCCAAATCATTCTCATCAAATAGACGTCCTTCCCGCAACAATTCACTGCCCTAAAAAATAATCTTGAAACCATAGAAATAATTAAAAATAACCTCTTCAAGATTTTTTAACAGCATCTGGACACACACT